TTCCCTGTTGAGGGTCATTGTTGTGGGATCTGTGCTCACACTGAGGACTGCATAGATCCTGGTGTGGTTCTTGTGGCACTGCAAATGAATATTATATAAACTGGGGCTTGTGCCCAGGCATTGGTCTCCTTGGAGAGGAGGAGGTCAGGGTGAGACTACGCCAAGAGAGAACAAACCTCCCCTCTGACAAAAAAACAAAACAGAACAAAACAAGATATTTACCATGCCCAATTTGGGTGTCACCTTGGATACTCCACTCACCCTGGAGCACTGAACAGAGCCCCCTATCACACCTAGCACATACCTCAGGGTATTCACTGAAAGAACAGAAACTCCACTAAGCCACAGATGTATAGTCCAAATATAAAAGCCATCATAAGGGGGAAAAAAAAACACCCCAACAAGTGTCTCCACATATGCCTAAAAATAAACACAGCAATTCAAGAAACAAGAACAAGGAAGACAACATGACACCTTCAAAGGAACACAACAACACTTCAGTACTAGAATGTGAAGATGCAGAGATTGAGGAAATGCTGGAAACTTAATTAAAAAATTGATCGTAGGATTACTTAGAAGTAATCAGAAGAAAATCCACAAATTAAAGAAATCCATAAATGACATGAATGACATTTTTTCCATGATATTGAGATTTTAAAGAGAAATCAAAATGAAATATTGGAAATGAAGAAATCAACAGATCAAATAAAAAATGTGATGGAAAGCCTTAACAACAGACTTGGTGAGGCAGAAGAAAGAATATTGGAGTTAGAAGACAAAAAACATAAATTGGAAAACTAAAACACAGTGTTTGGAGATTTATGGGATACCATCAAATGACCCAACATACAGATCTCAGGAATTCCTGAAGACATGGAAAGAGAGAATGGATTAGAAGGCTTTCTTGGTGAAATAATTACAGACACCTTGCTAATTTGGAGAAGGGGACATCCAAGTACAGGAAGCACATATAACTCCTAATAGACAAGATTAGGATACATGATACACTGTAGTCAAATTCTCTACAGTTAAATGAAGAAAAGCTTCTAAAACGTGCACAAGAGAAATGCCAGATTACTTTTAGAGGATCTCCAATTAGACTCACAGCTGACTTCTCATCAGAAACCGTATAGGCTTGGAGAGAATGGCAAGAAATATTTCAAGTCTTAACAGAAAAAATTCTGTCAACCCAGAATACTGTATCCTGCAAAGCTCTCATTTATACATAAAGGTGAAATAAAGCCCTTCCATAACAAACAGAAATTGAGAGAATTTGTCACCACTCATCTAGCCTTACAAAAGATGCTTAAGATTGTGCTACACACAGAAACATGGTCATCATTACAAAATAAGGTGAAGACAGAAAATCTTCCAGTAAAAGTATAAAGGAAATTCAAAATAAATGGGAATATTAATGGAGAAATGGCAGGGCCAAGTCATTAGTTATCAATAGTCACCTTGAATATAAATGGCCTCAACTCTCCAGTTAGAAGATACAGACTACCTGTATGGATTAAAAAACAAAACCCATCTACTTGCTGCCTACAAGAAACTCATCTTACCAACAAAGATACACATGCACTGAAAATGAAAGGATGGAGGAAGATATTTCATGCTAACAGAATCCAAAAAAGAGCCGGTGCAGCCATGCCAGTATCAGATAAAATAGACTTTAACACGAAAACTGTTAAAAGAGACAAAGGAGGGAGGATACTATGTAATGATTAAGGGATCAATTCAACAGGAAAATGTGATTGTAACAAATTTATATGTACCTGGCTATTTAAAGGAAATGTTAATGGTTCTAAAGGGGATATAGACTCCCATACAATAGTAATGGGGGACTTCAATATTCCACTTTCAACAATGGACAGATCAACCAGACAGAAAATCAGTAAGGAAACAACAGTTAATCAACACTGCAGACCAAGTGGACCTAATAGATTTCTACAGAACTTCTCATTCTACAGTTGAAGAATACATATTCTTCTCACAAGTGCATGGAACTTTCTCCAGGATAGACCACAGGCTAGGCCATAAAGTAAGTCTCAGCAAATTCAAAAAAATCGAAATCATACCATGCATCTTCTCTGACCAGAATGGAATGAAGCTTCAGATGAACAACTCAAGAATCTCTAGAACATATGCAGACACATGGAGACTGAACAATATGCTCTTGAGTGAACAGTGGGTCATAGAAGAAATCAAAAGAGAAATAAATAAAATGTTGAGGAACAGTTTTTTTCATACTATTTGCTGAATTCTTTACCTAGTATAGTCAATCTTCTATGTATAAAGTTAACTGAAAACAGATTTTAGTAAAAAATAAGAATGGGAATAGGAGAAGAGGAAGAAGAGTGGGAGAGCAGGTGGGAGGGTGGGTACAATGGGAAGAATCACAATATTCTTAAAGTTGTATTTATGAAGTGCATGAAGTTTGCATACTTTAAATAAAAGGTTTCTGAGAAAAAAATATCTGGTGGATTTTTAAAAATAAGAAAAGATACTGCTTTATGCTACAATAAAGGTATTAGTACTTTAAAAGCAAACTAAAAACTAGAAAGAAAGGAGAAGGAAGCGAGGAAGGGAAATATCATTATATTCTTAGAATTAAATTTATGAACTATATGGGACCTGTTCTCTTTGTGTTAGTATCACATTAACATGAGAATTAATGAGAAAAAATAATTATCTTCAATTTAAAAAGAAAATTTATCGAACATTATGGTTAGTGGTGCATTAAGCTTGTGATGATAAAATGAACTGAAAGTATGTTATTGCAAAAATCAAAGGAAAAAAAGAGAGGAAGGAAGAAGGGGAGATTGAGGGAGGAGTATGGTTATCTTAGAATTGTATCTGAAATACATGGAATCTGTTCTCTTTATATAATAAAAGTTAAAATCATATCACCACCAACAAAAAAGGGGCATCTAAGTAGGAAAGAAAGAGGTAAAATTATCAGTGTTTTTAAATAAAATGATTTTATATTTAGAAAACCTTAAGATCCTACCAGAAAAAAAACTACAAGAACTAAAAAAATTCAGTAAAGATTTAGAATGCAAAATCAACACACAAGAATCAGCAGCTTTTTAATACACAAACAATGAAATTTCTGAGAAGTTCAGAAAGCAATCACATTCACCGTAACTACAAAAAACATTCAGAAATACATTTAACCAAGGAAGCAAATGGTCTGTATAATGAAAACTGCAAAGCACTGATGAAAGAAATTGAACAGTACACAAAAAAGTGCAAAATGATCCCATGGATTGGAAGGATTAATATTAAAATGTCTATTGTGACCAAGCTATTGCACAAATTCCAGGCAATTCCTTTAAAAATGCCAATGAAATTCTTCATAGAAATAGAAAGTATACTCTTAAAATTTGTATAGAACCCTAAAAGACTCTGAATAGCCAAAGAAATTCTGAGCAAAAAAAAAAAATGTTGGAGGTCTCTCACTACCTGACTTCAAGACGTATGACAAAGCTGTAGGATTCAAAATAGGATGGTATGGTTATAAAAGTAGACTCATAGACCAGTGGAACAGAACATGAAACTCATAAAGAAATACATATATGTACAGCTGATGAGTTTTTGACCAAGCAACGAGAACATATATTGGAATATATTGGAGAAATACCAGCATCTTCAATAAGTGGTGCTGGGAAAATTGTACATGCAGAAAAAAGAGACTAGATCCTTATTTCTCCAATAGTTACAAAAATCAACTCAAAATGGATCAAAGACTCAAATATAATACCCAAAGCATTGAAAGTACTTTGGGACATTGGTCTGGGTAAATATTTTCTGCATATAACACCAGAAGCACAGGCAATGAGAGCAAATTTTGACAAATGCAATTATGCCAAGCTAAAAACTTCCGTACAGCAAAGAAAGCAATGGAGTAAAGGTACAACACAGAGAATGAGAAAAATGTACTTGCAAACTATTCATTTGACAAGAGATCAATTTCCAGGACATAAAAGGAACTCAAAAAACCTAAGAACAAAAAATAAAAAATCTGACTCAAAAAAAGTAATCACCTGAATAGCCATTTCTAAAAAGAGGACAATGCAATATAAATGTTCAACAAGTATATGAAAACATGCTCAACATCACTAAACAGGGAAATGAAAATCCAAATCACAATAAGGTATCATCTCTTTGTCAAGATTCCTCGTTGAAAAGACAAAAATTACAGATGCTGCTAAGGATGTGAAGAAGGGACACTCATACATTGTTAGTGGGGATTTGAATGAGTACAGCCATTATGGAGACTACTAGAGAGGTTCCTCATGAAAGCAGAAATAGAATTACCACATGAACTAGAGATTCCATTCATGTTGGTAGCAGCATTATTCATAATAACCAAGATACAGAATCAACCTCGGTAATTGTCAATGGATGACTGGGTAAAAAAAATGTGGGACAGATACAGAAAGGAATTTTTTTCAGTCATAAAAATATGAAATTCTGTCATTTTCAGCAACATGGATGGAACTTGAAGACAATATGTTGAGTAAAATAAGTTAGGCACAAAGAGGCAAATACTACATGTTCTCACTTATATGCGGAAGCTAAAAAGTTGATCTCAAGCAAGTAGAGAATAGACTGGTGGTTATTAGAACCTTGGAAAAGGGTATGGGAAAGGGAGGGATGGAGAGGATGGCTAATGGGAACAGTGGTGCAGCTGGATTGGAGGAGCAATTTCTAATGCTGTATAGCACAGTAAGATACCTGTGGCTGACAATGGCTTGAGTATTTCAAAATAGCTAGGACAAAGGGTTTTGAATGTCCCCAACAAAAGAAACGGTACATGCCTGAGATGTTAGACCTAAGAATGACCCTAATTTGATCACACCACATTGTATATGCATATTGAAATATCACACTGTCCTCCATAAATAATTACTATATGTCAATTAAAAACAAAAAATCTATAAATGTTGGTAGATTCTGTAAACAGGCAGAAACTTTCACGTGTATTAGCTACTTACCTCATCACTCTCTAAATTCAGTCTTCCTTGTAAGAAAGAGTTGGCTACAATAAGGAGAGCTTCTTCCGGCCACTTTTCGTACCAGTCAATTGTGCAGGAGCTAATCACAGAAGGATACGCTCTACAATACTGGCGGAAGTTAGGTGCTGAAGGACTCATGACCACAAAAACGTGAAGATTTATATATACTTTCTGAAAAGGAATGAAAATATAAGTTGTTAGAATATAAACCATTGCGGGCCGGTGCCGCGGCTCACTAGGCTAATCCTCCGCCTTGCGGCGCCGGCACACCAGGTTCTAGTCCCAGTCGGGGCACCGGATTCTGTCCCGGTTGCCCCTCTTCCAGGCCAGCTCTCTGCTGTGGCCAGGGAGTGCAGTGGAGGATGGCCCAGGTGCTTGGGCCCTGCACCCCATGGGAGACCAGGAAAAGCACCTGGCTCCTGCCATCAGATCATCGTGGTGTGCCGGCCGCGGCGGCCATTGGAGGGTGAACCAATGGCAAAAGGAAGACCTTTCTCTCTGTCTCTCTCACTGTCTAGTCTGCCTGTCAAAAAAAAAAAAAATGTAAACCATTGCTTTAAAAATTATATTGAAAATTCCACCTGAGACTTGTTTTAATTCTTTCCTTAAAGGGAAGAATAGTGACAGATCCATTGTTTGAGTGTCTGCCAGAAACAGAGCCCTTGGAAGGGAAAAAGTGTCCCACAGAGCCCTTGTGAGGGCAGCAGGTGGTTCTGAACCACGTGACCTACTTGCTTGGCTGGGTTGGGAAGGGGAGGCACTGGACTCATCCAGAGCATCCCTTGTATAAAGCAAATCTTAACAATGTGCCTGGTGCTTGAGTTCTGTTCAGCAGGGCATCAGCCGGTGACAGATTTTACTATGTAACTCTATTCTCTGGGGTGGTGTGTGCTTAAGACCCAGAGAAATGCAAAGTGTGAAAATGGTCAGGTGATTTAGAGCTGAAAGACACAGACAAAAACAGAGCCTGACAGGATGGGCAGAGCACCAAGGGAGGCAGCAAAAAACTACAGCTACAGAATCACAGCGCAGCGGTATTAGATCCTTGCCGATCTGCACATCTGAGGTGAAGTGCTTGTGTCTTTGAAGTTTGTCTGCATCCCTTTTCCTCCTGAGACCTGGCTGTGCTGCTGCTGTTCCTGGGTTCCTGGCAAGACTGGCCCCCAGGGCAGAGAATCCTTCCTTTCTATTCCCACCTGTCACTTTATAATAAACTTACATTACTGACAGCAGCCTTAGGATTTTTTTTTTTTTTTTTTTTTTGACAGGCAGAGTGGACAGTGAAAGAGAGAGACAGAGAGAAAGGTCCTCCTTTTGCCGTTGGTTCACCCTCCAATGGCCGCCGCGGCCGGCACACCGCGCTGATCCGATGGCAAGAGCCAGGTGCTTCTCTTGGTCTCCCATGGGGTGCAGGGCCCAAGCACTTGGGCCATCCTCCGCTGCCTTCCCGGGCCACAGCAGAGAGCTGGCCTGGAAGGGGGGCAACCGGGACAGAATCCGGCGCCCTGACTGGGACTAGAACCTGGTGTGCCAGCGCCGCAAGGCGGAGGATTAGCCTAGTGAGCCGCGGCGCCGGCCCAGGATTCTTCTTAATTCAGAGTCTAACTTGTACAAAGGGATGATATCCTCAAGTGTCAAGCAATCTATTTTGTCAAATAAGTGTGGTAAAATGGAAAGAAGACTAAAGGGTAAAATCTTCCTCCTTTTTGACTTTAAAAGAGTATTTAAAAAGGCAAATAACACAGGACACTACAAAATTCATACAATACAGAAATGTTTAAAGCAAACATGAAAATACCTCTTTTTGTTTTACACAGGAGTGCCCTAACTCCTGCCGATACTCAAATTAACAATTTCAAGTGTCCTTTTATTATTATTATATCAAATATTTTTGAAATATATTATATATGAATAATGAAATAAACAATCAAAAAGGAATGCTTGGTTTAATTTAATTATTTTCATTTATTTGAAAGAAAGAGAGAGAGAGAGAGAGAGGGAGAGGAGAGGAGAGAAGAGGAGAGGGAAGAGAGGAGAGAAGAGAGGGGAGGGAAGGGGAGGAGAGGAAAGGGGCAGAAAGGGGAGGGGAGGAAAAGAAAAAGAGGGACAGAATAAGAGAGAGACAGACAGACACATCTTCTACCTGTTGGTTCACTCCTCAAATGCCCATAGCATCTAGGGCTGGGCCAGCCAAAGCCAGGAGCTTGGAACTCAATCTGGGTCTCCCACATGGGTTTCAGGGACTCTAGTGTGGAAGTCATCATTTGCTGTCTCCCTGGGTGTGCCTTAGCAGGAAGCTGGAGAGGACACGGAGGTGGGTCTTGAACTCCAGCACTCTGATATGGGAGGTGGGTGGCAGCTTACCTGCTGTGCCACATGCCCACCCTATTTTTTATTTCTGGAGTGCACTATTCTCCACAGAATGCCTTTGTTCTTCCTTACCATTCACCACCTACTGAGTAAAATAATAATATATATGAATGATGAAGCAAATAGTTTAAAATTTCTTACTGGGATTCCCTACTACACTAACAAGGTATGAGAATGCCATAAATTATCATGGTAACTTCCAGTATTATTTCTACCATGAAATATTTAAAATGTATCTAAATCTAAGGTCCATTTATGCTACATTATTCCATTTCTGAATTTTTTTTTTTTTGGACAGGCAGAGTTAGACAGTGAGAGAGAGAGAAAGAGAGAGGTCTTCCTTCCGTTGGTTCACCCCCCAAATTGCTGCTACGGCTGGCACGCTGCACTGACCCGAAGGCAGGAGCCAGGTGCTTCTCCTGGTCTCCCATGGGGTGCAGGGCCCAAGCACTTGGGCCATCCTTCACTGCACTCCCTGGCCACAGCAGAGAGCTGGCCTGGAAGAGGGGCAACTGGGACAGAATCCGGCACCCCAACAGGAACTAGAACCCGGTGTGCCGGCGCCACAGGCGGAGGATTAGCCTAGTGAGGCACGGCGCCAGCCCATTTCTGGATTTTTAAAAACATATGTTTCATAGACTAAGTATCTGTAGAGTTATGTCAGCTGGCCTGATTCAATTTTCAAATGATCCTATGATAAGACAAAAACTGGCACTAGAAATAACCTGACCTGAGGTCCATCACCAGTGAATGCTTTGCTTTGGGTGATCATTCGGTAAGCTGCCGGTCATTCTTCATCACGCCAGAAATGCACAAAGAGCCCAAGTCCTTGCTCCAAACATCTCAGCACACCAGTTCTTTGATAGCTACCCTGCTGCTGAGCCCATTCTCTGTATCACCTACTTTATCTGGCTAATTTCTTTTTGTATCCTGTACCTCCAGGTTAACTCTGGGCTAGTCAAAGTGATGAAGTAATTTTTTTTTTCTTTCTGGATATGTTACCTACATAGCTGAATGAAAACCTCACTAGCTAGGAAGGCATCTCAGTGTAAGAAATAACTGTGTGATTTTTCATTTGATCGTCTCCAGTTCTTATCATGTTTTTAAAAGTCAGTGATAGGCTCAGGACTTTGGTAAATCTTGGGTTTACCAGAGGGTACGGTGTGTCTGTGTAGGGATGGTGGTCATTATTTCAAAGAGTCACTTAAAGAATTAAGGAAATTATATCCAATTGAAAACCATGTGCATAATTATAAATATAGTTTAATTTTAATGCAATATGAGAATTTTATAAGTACCTTTTGGAATAACACAAGTAAAGACTGTCTGTCATCCACATATCCAGGCTCTTTAACAAAAGGTCTAGTTCTGATTACGATGTTGTCCAACTCCGCGTCTTCAAACAAGTCAGGTATTTTTCTTGAATTGACAATGCAATTCAAATCTTCCAAAAGAGACTTCTTAGGAGAAACATATAGTTTATCAGGAATAACTAGATTATTCATATATTCTACTTTGTACACATCAAATTGAGAAAGCCATAGTATTTAGGGGTAACTAATGCTAATTTTTTTGAGCTAAACTTTCAATTCAAAACTATTGAAAATGTTTTTTTTTTCAGTCAAAATAAGCTTCATCCAGCTATTCATTCATTCAAACACGAAAGAAACATATACTTGGTATTGAAGATATGCCAAACACCTGTGTTTGGCACTGTACAACAGACATGGAGGGATGGGTACATAATAAATGGGAGAAAGACCTTGCTTCCGGCAGTTCCTCGATGCCCCTGACGTACCTATGTGTTTGAACTGTAGACAAGCTAGACCTAACACAACTGCTGGAATATTTTAACTTAACCAAGTTCATCTCTACACAGGGTTCCTGATCAAATGGGAAAGGTAGCAGTAGAGAAAAGCAGTGAAGGAAACTCTACTGGCAGAGTTGTTACAAAAGTCTAAACACCTTGTGCTTCAAAATAAACCCAAGCCTTCTTAAAAAAAAAAAAAAATCCCAGCTCTCTTCAGTATACCCCTCATGGAGTCATGGTATTTCAGTTTAGGTGGGAACGGTGGAAAGCTTGTGGGAAGTCCGCAGCAGAGAACACCAGTGGGGCCATGGGGCTGGCTGATTTCCTGTCTCCCCAGGACATGGGAGAGAGCTGCCAAAGCTGATTGTTTAATGGAGTGCTGGCTGGTCTTCTGGACTCATGTGGAAAGCAGTGATATGGCCAGAAAAAATCCACAAAGTGTGGAAAGTAGATCCAACAACTTTGAGGTCCTGAGTCACAAGGGAGGATTCATTCATTTCAGCTTTGGTCTGAAATAGTTGTCTGAGAGATTATTAGAACAACGGGCTCTTGGCATGGTAGACACTATAACTTGAGAAATCCTAAGATAAAGCATATGGTGGAACCTCAACAAGGTCAATCGAGTAGGATATTTAAATTTGGAAAAAGGAGAATGTATAGACAGAGCAGAAAACTTGGACGTCTTGCAGTACAGTTAGTAGGTTTACAACTAATAAATGACATAAAAGAAAACAATAACCATCAAGAGAGGCCTAGTGTTAGAAGAAAAAACAGGATGAGGGTTTGAAACAACATTTATAACTAGATGTTTGTCTGAGTCATGCATAATAAACAATGTTTCTGTGAAATTTTGCCACAAAGGGGTAAATGCATGCTTGCTTGCTTGCTATCTATCTATCTATCTATCTATCTATCTATCTATCTATCTATCGGCTATGGAAGGCCATAATGCAAAATAGCAGAGCTAAAAAAGGAGGAGTGATTAGCACATTTTGCTTGTATGTAAAGAAAATGTGTCTTGCAAGTAAACTTCTGAATCTATTGTAAAGTTAGAGCCAAAGGAGGAAAAAGGAGAGAAACCGAAGACTGAGTGCCTGACAGCATGTGCAGGTCACATATGGTGGAACATACGTTGATACTTTAATACAGATCACACAAATTCTGGTATAAGATGGGTGACTTCAGTTATATAAATAATTTCCCATCTTCAATGAATATGAACGTGATAAAAACACAGGAAATATTTTATTGTAATGTTTAGTCAAGACTATCTACAGCATGATTACAAATATAAAAATTGTGGGCTATGACTGGGTAAACACAGAGAAGATTGAAAATAATTGATATGGTGGGCTAATAGAACTACAGAAAATCTATTTTCCTACTTTCCATTCAAACATTCAACTTCTCATTGGAGAGCTATGTAAACATGAAACTTTGGAAATAATAAAAACAAGAAGAGCTTACTTGTTCTAGGTTTAAATTAGAAACCATCACCACAGTGGGGTTCCCTTCTAACCCTGCTTGAATAAAGGCCTTTTTAAGGACTTCTTTGAACTCCGCGTATCCATAACTGGGAGATGCAGGTACTCGGTACAGCTTGTGTTCCGTCAGGTAGCAGGCCAAGGCTGTACAAGCCTCTTTTCCGCATCCATCGATTCCAATCTGTACAAGAAAGAAAGCCTACCATGAGATGCCTGCACATGCTCTGGGAGTCTTCCAATGGACAGCATCTTCTTTCTTGTACAAATATGTCAGGTTATTTTTATTTATCATCTTTCATGAGATATTTTTAACAAATATTTAAAGTGTTATAAGGCATTCATTCACATTCAATATTTTTATCTGTTCTCTTCATACCCTCTTGAAATATGAGATAATCTCACTGGAAAGGTAACTGGAAAAAATAGCAAAGATAGGCTTGTAAATCACTACTGTGTCTGTTGATATTCTTCACTTATAAGAAAGTAGCTAGCTATTTTCTTATTCCTGAAGAACACTTGATGAATGCTTCTTGGTGAGGATGGTGAGGTGTCACCCTTTAAAAACAGCTTTACTATAATTCACAGGCTATGTCTGTGCAGTGCACAAGTCAAATATTTATACAATTATTATCACAATCTAATGTTAGAACATTTTCATTACCCTGAAAATAATTCTTTGAACCATTTGTAGTCAATTCCCATTCTGACCCCCAAGCTCAAACGGGCAGTCACTGAGATGCTCTCTGTTTCTGTGGATTTGTCTTCTCTGGGCATTTCATCTAAGGGGAATTATGCAGCATCCAGTTTACTGCATCTACTTTCTTTCACTTGGTCTAACAATTTTGTAGTTCTTTGTATCAGTAAATTTTTCCTTTTTAGTGCTGGATAGCATTCTATTGTGTAGACCAACTAGGATTTGTTTATCTGTTCACTGAAGGACATTTGGATGGTTTCTACTTCTTGGCTATTCTGAATAATGTTTCTAGGAAAGCATCATACAAGTCTGTGTGCATCTTTGTTTCACTTTCTCTTGTGTAGCTGTATCAGAATGGAATTCTCAGTCAGATGATAAACCTATGATATACTTTATAAGAAGTTCCCAAACCATTTCCCAAATACTTTACAATCCCAGCAAAGTCTGAGAGTTCAGTTTATCTACAATCTTGACAGTACTTGTTATCTTTTTGATTTATAGCTATTCAGATTGGTTAATATTATCTCACTGTGAGATATATATGATATATATATATATAATATGACTCACAATTTTTTACCTAGAAACCATTTACTTGAGGTATATAACTTCATGAGTTTCATATATACAAATTTAGGAACACAGTGATTCTTCCCATCCTATACTCCCTTCCACCCCTATGCCCACCCTTCTTTCTCCTCCCTCTCCTATTCCCATTCTTATTTTTTTTAAAACATTTTGAAACACCCATTTTTAAAAGATTTATTTATTTGAAAGAGTTATACAGGGAGAGGGGAGAGAGGAGAGGGGAGAGAGAGAGAGGTCTTCCTTCCACTGGTTCACTCCCTAATTGGCCACAATGACTGCTTTCTCAGGCCACAGCAGAGGGCTGGATCGGAAGTGGAGCAGCTGGGACTTGAACCGGTGCCCATATGGGATACTGGCACTGCAGGCGGCAGCTTTACCTGCTATGCCACAGTGCTGGCCTGTGCTCCACTTCTGATCCAGCTCCCTGCTAATGTGCCTAGGAAAGCAGTGGAAGATGGCCCAAGTACTTGGGCCCCTGTAACCACGTGGGAGACCTGGAAGAAGCTCCTGACTCCTAGCTTTGGATTGGCCCAGTCTGATTCATATATTTTCAATGTGGCCTGACTGTTCTGTTACCTTCCATGTTCCATTTTAGGATTCCCAGACCTCCTACAAGCTTAGTTTTCTACAGGTTTTTTTTTAATTTCAACACATCAAGGTTCACTCTTAGTGCTGAGAAGTTCTATGGGTTTTGACTAACACATAGGGTCACGATTACAGTACAAAACTCCATCATTTTACCTCCTCTCCTTTCCCATGAAAACTTTGGCAACCACTAATTTTTCTACTTCTCCATAGTTTTGCCTGTGGAGAGTGTCATATTATTGGATACAACTTTTCCAAACTAGCTTCTTTCACTTTGCAATATTTCTTTAAGATGTGCCTCTGGCTTGCTGTGGCTTGATAGCTCACTTGTTAATCTCTGAATATTATTATTCCATTGTACAACTGTGCCATACTTTATTTGCTTACTGAAGGCCAGTAATCTTCCAGTGTTTGGGGATTGCGAATAAAGCCATTAAAATTGCTTGTGTGCAGGTTTTTGTGTGGGTGTGTTTTCAAATCAGTTGGGTAAATACAATCACTGGCTCACACAGCATCACAAGGCTAAGTTTAGCATTGTAGGAAACTGCCAAACTGTGTTCCAAAGTGACTGTGCCATTTTGCATTCCCACCGGCAACGAAGGAGAGCATCTGTCGCTCTGTATCTTCGCCAGTAATTGATCTGGATCAGTTCTTTGGAGGATGCCACTTTAAAAGGCACTCAGTGGTATCTCTGTTGTTGTCCCAAGGGAAAATTGATTCTGAGCATCTTTTGACATCCATTTGTGGAGGCATTTGCTTATTTCTATGAGGATTTCATGGGACTACTTTTCTCACTCTTAACTGCGTTAAGAAACTGGTGTATTTTTAAATCTCTCTCATTTTCTTGCCAACACATGTGGCCATCCCAGCTCCTGCATCTTCTTCTCCACACTGTTGGACGCTCATCCCAGGCTGTCTGGACCTCTGGCTACCACAAATGTGAGCCAAGCTACCCAGCCTCAGGCATTTCCTTAACACAATGCAAGACGGAGGAATAAAATGTCTTTGTCTGGTTTTGATATCAGGATGTTATGGGCCTCAAAGATGAATTCTGATGTATTCTATTTTCTGGAAGTTTGTTAAGGATTGGAATTCATTCTTCTTCAACTATTTGATCAAATTCTCCAGTGAAGCCATTTGGCTTTGGAATTTTTCTTATGGGAAGTTTTTATCCCCCCCCCCCAAGAAATATTTTATTTAATGAGTCTAAATTTCATAAATACGACTTTAGGAATACAGAGATTCTTCCCACCATACCCGCCCTCCCACCACCACTCCCACCCCCCCCACTTCCTCCTCCCTCTCCCATTCCCAGCCCCATTCTCCATTAAGATTCATTTTCAATTAACTTTATACACAGAAGACCAACTCTATATTAAGTAATGATTTCAACAATTTGCACACATACAAAATATAAAAACTGTTTGAGAACAAGCTTTACAGTTAATTCTCATAGTACAACTCATTAAGGACGAAGTCCTGCATGGGGAGTAAGCGCACATTGACTCCTGTAGTTCATTTAACAATTAGCATTCTTATGCATACACCATTTATTTTCTAGTTTCCCTGTGATTTCTTCTTTGACCCACTAGTCATTTAGTAGTGAATTGTAAAAGTTCCACATAGTTGTGAATATCTCAAATTTTCTTATGGTGTTGACTTCTAATTTAACTCTGTCATTATCAATGAATATACTTTGTATGATTTCAATCCTTTAAAATTCATCGAGACATTTTATGGTATGGCACTTGGTCTGTCTTGGAGCATGTTCTACATTTGCTTCAGAATAAATGTTCTTTGCTCTTGTTGGATGGACATCAGTCAGGTCAACCCACTTCACAGTATTGTTGGAGTGTTTATATCCTTGCTGATTTTAGGCCTAGTTGCTCTAACAATGGTGGCACTGAAGTCTCCAAATATTATTGTTTTATTGATTATTTCTCTCTTAAATTCTGTCAGTTTTGGTTCTACATATTTGGGCTTAGTTTTTAACATGCATATATAACTATTGTATCTTCCTGATCATTGACCATTTTATCATTATAATCTGTATTTTTTCTCCTTAGATAATTTTCCCTTTTTCCTACTTTGCTATTAATATGCTCATTTCAACCCTCTCATGATAATTGTTCACATGAATTATCTTTCTTCATCTTTTCATTTCAGTCATTTTGTGTCTTTGAAACTAAAGTATGACTCTTGTTGACAGCATATCATTGAATTTTGTTCTTTTTGAAGTCCAGTCTTTCAATCTCTGCCTTTTTGTGCATTTAAATTTATGTGAAGATTGATGTGTTCGATTTATGTCCATCATATTGCTGCCTTCTGTATATCTCGTGTCCTTTTCCTCTTTACTACCTTCTTTATTGACAAACATTTTCTAGAATTCTGTTTTAATTCTTTTGTTCTTTTAAAATATTTTTTTGAGTTCAGTTTTTTATATTCAAAATAAGAACAATTCATTGAATGATTCTATAAATAAAGGAAAAAGTAAACCACAATCTGGAAAATGGTGAAAAACTTGGTATCTGAATGTATTATAAACAATTCCTACAAACCAATAAGAAAAAGATAACCCAACAGAAAAATAGACAAAGGATATGAATGCACATTCACAGAAGAGGAGACTCAAATGATCAAGTCAGTATTTGCATGTCTGAGTCTGAGCCAAAAGTAATTAATGCGCTCTCCCCTAGCAACCCTCAACAATGGCTGATTGGAGCTGCTATATAGATACTCCACATACTCTGGTCCCTTCTGGGTCATGTGTCCTATAGCATTTCCTAGAGTTTCTTCCAAGTCATTAAGCTCCAGTTGCTTATAATAGTAACTGGCTTGAAATGCCCCAAGTATAAATGACCTTACCTTTCCTGTGTCACTTCCTCAGTCCCTACCTGCTTCCTGTGATTAGCTTTCTCATTAACCTTGAATGTTTGCTTCAGAGCCTTCTCTTGGGGGAACTTAAAATAATACAAAATTGTTTAAGCTTCCTTGCTGTGATTGGACAGAGACTGAGCCTTGGCATCTCAATGGGAACTTTCCAAATGAAAAAGAAAAAGCCACCGCCTATCTTGAAATGCTTATGAGAGAATGGGCCTGAATGTTTCAAGCCAGCCTTAATGACCAGGGGTTCAAACCATAGCCAAAGGTTCAGACTTCGAAATTGCCTCACGCTCAGGACTCTAGCTCATGGATCTCATGCAGGTCTGCTCTCTTTATACCCTCTGAACCTTGTCAAAAGTCAATCCCTTTGGTCCTGACTTTCTTGGCATCATAGCAAAACCATCCCTTTTCCTTAAGCCATTTCAAAGAACACATTTATTGAGATATCACTGAAATATAAACATTGTAGATATATAAGATGTATAACTTGATGTTTGTTAAATGTATACACTGTGAAATATTCATAACAATTAAGCTAATTAGCACACCATCACCTCTACACACTCTCTATGTGTGTAAAAGGTGAAGATCCATTCTCTTAACAAATTTAAGTATATAACAGAGTAGTGTTAAATATCATCACCATGCTGTACATTAGATCTTGTCTCCAAAATTTATTCATTTTGTGCAACTGGATTACACTATATATCTTAATTTACCACAATCTACTTCAGGTGAACACTAATTAAATTCCAGTAAAATATAGAAAGTTTGCTCCAATTTGCTTCCATTTCCTCCCTGTTCTTTTGTGTTTAGTGTTATATATTACAACTTAGCTCATTATAAGCTTAACAATAGTTTCATAATGATCATTTTATGCAATTATATTTTGAAGTAGTTAATAGTAACAGAGAAAAATTATTTGTGGTAGGCAGAATAATGCCCTTGCCATCTTGTCCTGACAAAATATGTCTATATCACGACCCCTGGAACTGTGAATCTGTGTGTATTACCTTATATGGCAAAAGACTAGAAATAGTGAGGTTATTCAAGATTAAATGGCCGGACCCAGTGTAATCACATTAATCCCTGAAAGCAGAGAACCTTTCTTGGCTGTAGTCAGAGAGACAGAGATGTGATGTCTGTTGAAGGGTCAGAGAGATGTGATGTTGCTGGCTTTGCAGACAGAGAAAGGGGGTCACGAGCCAAGGGATACAGGAAGTCTCCAGATAAAAAGGCAAGGGAACAGATTCACTCTTAAAGACCCCCCGCGCCCCCTCCCCACCAAAGCATGCAGTCCTGCCTACACCTTGATTTTAGATGAGAAATATGTCATATTTCTGACCTGCAAACCTGTAAGGTATTAAATTTGTTTAGGCTGGGGTAATTTCTTTCAGAGGCAGTAGAAAACTAACATACTCTGTTCTAATTATGTATGTAATTTCTCTTATTAATGCTCTAATCTTCATGTGGACTTAAGTTACCATCTAGTTGCATTCCCTCTCAGCCTGAAACATTCCTTTAGTGTTTCTTACAGAGTAACAGTAAATTTCTACTTTTTGTAACTAGGAATGCCTTTCTGTCACTTTACATTTTTTGGAAGGATGTTGCTAAATACAGAATTTATGAAACTTCCTTTTTTCTCCTCTTATTACTTCAAATATGTTGTCCCAATGCATTCCCATCTCCACTGCGCCTGATAAGTCAGCTGTTTATCTTTTTTTTTTTTTTTGAAAATATTTATCTCAAAGAGAGAGAGAGAGACAGAAACAGAGAGAAAGAGAAAGAATATATGTCTTCCATCTACTGGTTCACCCCCCCAAATGACTGCAATGGCTGGGGTTGGGCTAGGTTGAAGCCAGGAGCTAGGAACCCTATCCCGGCCTTCCATGTAGGCAGCAGGGGCTCATATATTTGTGCCATCTTCCACTACTTCCCCAGGAGCATTAGCATAAGGGAGCTTAATCAGAAGTGCAGACTTGAACGGTGCTCCATCACAATGCTGGCCCCAGCCGTTAAATTTTACTGAGATTTCCCAGGACACAGTAAGTCTTCTTTTCCCTCTCTTTCTGTCTTTGTGATTTTCCTTTGCTATTTGACTAGTTTATGATGTGTCCAGGTATGAATCTAATTATGCTTACTCAGAGTTTCTTGACATGTCATTGGAGCTTCTTGGATGTGAAGATGAATGATATGGGGCCTTATTTCTATCACAATGCTTCTGCTCCTTTATATTTCTGCTCTCTTTTTAAAAAACTCTTATCTTGCAAATTTTGATACACATGTACCCTTCAAGTCTCTGAAGGTTTGTTCTTCAGTTACTGGATAATTTTTCCTGCTCCATATTCAAGTTTGCAGATTCTTCTGCCATCTTCAATCTGTTGAACTTTCCTAGTGAAGTTTTTTTATTTCATTTATTCTAATTTGCAAGCCCAGAAATTCCATTTTATAAAATAATTTTTGCATATTTTCCTCTAATGTTTTCAATTGTTTTTTCCCCCTATTTGAGTGTATTTCTAACAGCTTCAACTCCTGATGTCTGCCAAACCCAACATTTATACCTATTTCCAGACAGTTTCCACTTTTTTCCCCTGTAAATTTTTTGTCTCTTCTAAAGTCTTAAAATTTTTGTTGAAAACTAGATATTTTACATAATATATTATCTGTAACAACCTTTTAAATCACTGCCTTAAATACTAGTTTTTCAGTTATCTTTTTCTGAGCCTTAAACAATACAATCTAGTGTAACTATGTAAATTTTCTTTTAAAGGGTCATGTATGATTTCTTCTTTTTACTTCCTTACCTAATTAAACTAATGTCATTTGAATTCTCCAACCTAGATTTTGATTAATTTCATTATTTTATCTGCTTTAAATGTTATTCATTAAATCATTAAGCTCCCCCTGAGTTGTTTTCCCCTGCTTAATTGCACATGCTAGGACAGCCAGTTAAATTACTGCTTGCAACACTGAACCCCAGGACAAAAATCTACCTATCATGTTTACAGTAACAGAATTGGAGGAAGCAGGGACTTGCCACATATTTTTAATAAGGGTTTACATTTTTTAATAAAAAAGGGCTCTAAGAGGGCAATTAGGTTTGTGAGAGAATATCTATGGAGGAATTATTAAGTAGGCAAGATTCTATTGAGAGTAGGTTTTTAAAAAATTGCTCTGAAAACATTTTCAGTAATTATGTAATTGAGAACTTGTTATAAACGTACTTGTTATTAGGAAAGGGTTGATTTAATAGAGACAAGAGTCCCTGTGGTAAAAGAAGTAAACAGAGTACATACCATTTGGGACTAGAAAAGTAACCTGTTAATAGTTGAAATAAGACACACAGAATCATACCCCTTACAGAGCGGATGTTCTAAATGTGGCAACAGACAATAAGGAAGCACATATGTGGGGAAAGATACTGCTGAGAACACGCAAGAAAAACAAAGTCGAACAAGGGGACAGAGTGACGGGGACTGAGGGGAGAGAAGGGACTCGCTATTTTACACAGAGGGAGGGAAGACTACTGAGCAGTCCATGTGGAGATGAGGGTGGTTTTAACAGAGTGGTGGCTGTGGAGATGCAGTCTGGAAGTTGCACGGCTAGGACCTACTGATGGAGAGTAGGTGAGGAATGATGGAGAAGTCACAAAATTTAGTGACTCTGAGGTTTCTGGTTAGAGCAGTAGATGTATGTTGATGCTGTTTATGAGATGGGGAAAGTTAGCAAAGGAGTGGTTTTGGTGGTTGAAAATTTGCTGTGCATTTTTCTTGATTATATTTTCTAACTGCTAATTAGTCTTGTTACATATGTCTGTTTAGATAAAGGAGTATTTAAATGAAACTCTAGGGAGGGGGACATACCCTAGTGGTTAAAGTGCCAGTTAGGATGCCCACGCCCCCTGCTGGAGTGCCTGAGTTGGAGCCAAAGCTCCATTCCCGATTCCAGTTTCCTGCTAATGTGCACCTGGAAAACAGTAGGTGATGGCTCAAGTAATTGGGTCCCTGCCACCCATGTGGGAGACCTGGAATGTGTTTCTAGCTCCCAGCTTTGGCCTGGCCCAGTCCCACCTGCTGTGGATATTTGAGGAGTGAACTCTCTCTCAGTTAAATAAGAAAAGAGCCACAATATTAAAAAAATGAAACTACCTATTCTGGATATAAAAATGCTCTTTTTGGAAAAAAAGGCATGTTAGATAACTAAGCAGTTGTAAATAATTTAAGTATAACATAAATAACTAAAAAGTAGGCATAAATAATAACTTAAAGAATCATAAAAATAATGCCTTATGTAATTGGCTAAATATGTGAGATTTTATTTAACTTTCCAGAAGCTTTTCTGTACTCAGAGTGTTTGGGAATTTTCCAAGAACTTAACTCCCACTTGTTCTCATGGGAAGTAAAACTTAGTGCAAAGGTTTACATTTCTAGGTCAGTACTAAAGGAAGTAAACTATGTCTGAAGTCAGGATCTGCTTGCACAGATCCTCTATTAATTCTGAAGACACATTAAAGAAGCTGCCAGATCTATCAATTTTTTTTCACATCAAATTCTTCCAAAAACAAATAATATTTTTATGTACTGACAAACTTCTTATGCAAACTGCAGAGAGAACAAAGATACTGTCCTATGACTCCATTATTATTTTTCATAAGGTGTGGATAAATAAAACATCTGTAGATTAAGTATATTGCATTGATGTTCCTTAATTTGAATTTGCAAACTTAAAGGCATTTGAGAACTTAAATTCTTACCAGTAACATGTGGCTCCCTGAGTGTCGAAGGACCCTGCTAGCTCTCACAATATGCTGTATGGCTTCCTTGAAGAACACCATGGGATAGGAGATCTAGCAGAGGAAATGTAGCAAATAGACTGATTACAGGTATAGAAAAACCAAAGTCAAACATGTATTGTAGTTTTACATAAGAGGATACAGGATTGAGAGAGACTATTCTAGCAACCCAGTGATCTGGACTTGGGAGCCTGGTTTTCAGGAACATTAAAGGAGATCGAATAGTGAGGCCCTTGCTGTGGCTCAGTGGCCCCAGCCTGCGGTGCTGGCATCCATGTGGGTGCTAGTTCAAGCCCTGGCTGCTCCACTCCATATCCAGCTCCCTAAAAATGTGCCTGGGAAAACAGCGGAGGATGGCCCAAGTCCTTGGGCCCCTGCACCCACGTGGGAGACCCAGAGGAGGATCCTGGCTCTTGGCTTGGGGCAGGCTCAGTCCTGGCTGTTGTGGGCATTTGGGGAGAATACAGAAGACCTCTCTTGTTCTGACTCTCGTTCTCTCCCTATCTTTGCCTTTCAAATAAATAAATCTTAAAAAAATTTTGCACAATGAAGACCATCCCTGTGCAAATATTCTGGTAAGACATATTGGGGGGGGGTGTCACAGAGTTGAGGGGAAAGAACAGTTATAAATAATTACAACAGTTACTATTGGCAACAACAATAGTCCCTAGTCTGCTTTTCTATTGTTCTGTCTCAGCAGGTAGGACAGTGGTGGGAGAAAGAAAATTGGTTTCTGGTACCGGTGATTCTTGGTGTCTCTGCCCACACAATGGGCACATGAAGGTGTGAAGAATGACAACTATTCTGGCATAATTTGCTGCCAGATGTTGCTACTCTGGACCCTATTGCAAATTTCTTTATTACTCTCTACTAATTCAACTCTCTGCAGCCTCAGTTGTGTACTTGGTCTTTAAAATCACATGCTATTAGGCCGGCACCATGGCTCACTAGGCTAATCCTCCGCCTGCGGTGCCAGCACACCGGGTTCTAGTCCCAGCTGGGGCGCCGGATTCTGTCCCGGTTGCCCCTCTTCCAGGCCAGCTCTCTGCTGTGGCCCGGGAGTGCAGTGGAGGATGGCCCAGGTCCTTGGGCCCTGCACCTGCATGGGAGACCAGGAGAAGCACCTAGCTCCTGGCTTTGGATCAGCGCGGCGCGCAGGCCTCAGCGGCCATTGGAGGGTGAACCAATGGCAAAGGAAGACCTTTCTCTCTGTCTCTCTCTCTCACTGTCCACTCTGCCTGTCAAAAAAAAAAAAAGATTTATAAAAAAAAGAAACTGCTAGGAAAATCACATGCTATTGAGACAAACTAAGACGAAACAGCATAATGCTAAGTTTTTAATGGTTTGCTTTGAAACCTTAGGGCACACTTTCCCCCACTGCTCTCATGCACAAACATGTCCTAAAAGTATCGGATCTGCTGTACCTACACATGGATTCACATGTGTATAAACAACCGCAGGCAGATACAGCCCTCTTCACAGGCTCTTCGCTATGTCTTTACCTCTTTAAACTTCGAACCCAACTTCATCTGGAATTCGTTAAGCACATCAGCAAGTTTACCATAGTCATTGGTATTCTGATAGGTTTTTTTCCTATGAACCTTGTTTACATCCAAGAAGTCCACAAACACAGTTGGGTCATTCATCAGGTCTTCTGGAGTCCACTGAATCTGTTGTAAAATAACAATTTCCCGTTACAGTTCACAGCACAATGGCACTGGTTCCTAAGACTAACCTAACATATCTGAGTCAGAGGAGCTCTTGGCGGCGGGGCCCCAGGCTCTGGGTGTTAATCGTACCTGAGCCATGTAGTCCTTTCGGCAGGGAAGCAATGGACTCGCTCAAGAGTGAGATTTTAAATTCCCTCCAGTCAAATGAGTCAAACACAAGGGTTGTGAAGGAAACCACACACAGAAATGCAGCTCTGAGGTGGCTGGTGGACTCCAGGTTAAGAACCGTGTAGCTGGAAGTATCTTGTAGTTCTACTGACCATGTGGGAGAGGAAGCAACCCTGAGGGGACTGTCAGTGGCTGTCACCGCTGAGTGCTTCTTTCACACTTGTTTCTCTGGTCCACTTGGCAACCCTTGCCTAACTTTCCTACCAAGGTCCTGGGCTGCTTTTTCTTTGAAGTCTGACCATTTTCCTCTCCTTCAAAATTAGGTAAGGTACTTTCCTGTCCCCCTTCCTCCATCCCCAATTGTGGTGGGTGCACAGGTCGATTACAGCACCCACAGAAACCTAACAGGATGCACCTGTTCTTTCCAAGGTACCCAGAGGCAGGGCATGCACTGCTTCTAAGCAGCCCTACGCACTTACCTCACTTGGTATTTGGCCCTGGAAATTACCTTCCAGGCTCAGTATGTGTTATATTCTAGGTCCATGAGTAGGACTGTCTTCATTGCCACATACAAAGTGGGTTTTTTAAAAATCCCCTTTTACTATTATATAATAGGGTTGTGCCTTTGAATTCAGTCCATTGCTTGGGTGAGAGAAAGCAGCACCGCCCAAGAAGCAAGACGAGGAAGAGGAGCGTCACCTTTGGGAAGCCCCTGGTGTCCCAAATTCTCATGAGGAGTGGGCACAGCCAGGCACGGGGTGCAACCGCGACACCCCAGTGGCCATAGCCTCTTTCACTGGGAATCTGTTTAGGGGAACACCCAGGGCCCCTGTGGCTTGTTAGCTCATGGGGCTGGAGCGCGGTGAGAGGGTCTCGCCGAGGCTTCGCGGCGCGCACGGCTGTGTGAGGCCCCCGTGAGGCCGGAAGCACACGGAGGCGCCATGTCGTGCGCTCTGCGTCGGGTCTCAAGCTACTTGTCCATAGGCTCCCTACCCTTTACCTCTGTAAACTTCATCTGGAATTCATCAAGTACACTGGCAAGTTTATCATAGTCATTGATATTCTGATGTCCTGTGCTCTGCGTGGGTCTCGAGCTATGGGTGAAGGGAACAGGGCTACTAACGATGTTTCTCTCAGCGGGACTACAGAGGTGTCGCAGGCTTTCATCACACGGCACTTTCGATGAAAACCCCGTTTAAATTCAGTTCTCACAACCTAAGCTCACCTGGAAATGGCTCTCCACTTCCTTCGCCAGCAGCTGATAGAAAAGGCGGCGTTCGGCGCGGTCGGCGAGGCGATCGTGGAACACGCGCGTGGCTTCGTGAGCCCAGAGCAGAGCAGCCGACTCTTTGGAGCTGATCACGGTCTTGTCAGCTTGCAGCAGTCCTCGGAGGAGCTGTCGGGGTTTCAAAGAGCGCGTTACAGGGGCATCAGCAGGGCAGCACGCGACGCCAGGTTTCCTTTCCGCAAAGGTAGACGCGATTATCCGAGGTAAGACAATGCGTGATGATCTGAATGTTGGAGAGATGGGGAAGCTCTCAGGGAATGATGGCACAGAATCGCTTCAGCGAGGGGATCTGGGAACTCTTCCATCCAGTCTTACAGAGGCCGTGATTGGACGGAGACCTCGAGCCCTGGCGGTGAGTGCTGGAGGTGACAGAGAGGTACTTCTCAGTGTTGATGTGCTCTAGCATTCTAAATGTGCCTTTCGGTAAAAAGCCTTATAAGCCATTTCAGAGGTTATATGAGCTAACTGGGCAAAGCTCCCACAGCAAGGGAGAAAGGTACCAGGTTCAAGAATGACTTTTCCAGGCAGGTGTTCGCCCTAGCGGTTAAGATGCCCACGTCCCACACTGCATTGCCTGGGTTTGGTTCCTGCCTCGGGCTCCCAATTCCAGCTTCCTCCAACACGGACCGTGGAGGCAACAGGCTATGGATCAAGTGGTTGGGTCCCTGCCACACATACGGAAAACCTAAATTTGAGTTCCTGGCTCCTGGGTACAGCCTGGCCCAGTTGGGGCCATTGCTGGCATTTTGAGAGAACCTGGTGGATGAGATCTTTGTCTCTATGCCTGATCTCTCCCTTTCTGTATACCTCTCAAATAAACATAAAAAATTATTTTCTTTTTTATTTATTTATTTGACAGGTAGAGTTATAGACAGTGAGAGAGAGAAAAAGAAAGGTCTTCCTTCCGTTGGTTCACCCTCAAATGGCCGCCACGGCCGGCGCTGCACCGATCCGAAGCCAGGAGCCAGGTGCTTCCTCCTGGTCTTACATGCGGGTACAGGGCCCAAGCACCTGGGCCATCCTTCACTGCCCTCCCGGGCCACAGCAGAGAGCTGGACTGGAAGAGGAGCAACCGGGACTAGAACCGGCCCCATATGGGATGCTGGTGCCGCAGGCAGAGGATTAGCCAAGTGAGCCACGATGCTGGCAAAAATTATTTTTCTTATTTTAATTTTTAAATCTCTTTATCTAGAAATGATGATGAATTCAGGACCACAGGCAAAAATCTGAAAATTTAATAAGCATGTTTATAAAATGTATATATACTTTTATTTTCTCATAGCTACAATAAAATCTCAGAAATGAAGTGAAAATCTATGTTATAGCCTTGTTACTCTTTTCTTTCCAAGATCTCAGCCAATATTTTAACAATCTTAGTGGTTTCATTATTGAATTTTCTGCATAGAATTTTTTCAATAATTCCTTTCCACTAATGGGAAAAGCTGTTAACAGTAAAACTAACCAAAATGAATTTTACCTATTTTTTCCATGTTAACACTTTGATGTTGATAGTACCATGAGTAAAGAAATAGAGAAAAAAAAGAGGAGGAAGCAGAGGAGGAGGAAGAGGGGAGGAAGAAGGTGAGGAAGAGAGAAGGAGGGAGATTTAATTTAAAAGTACATCTCAGATTCTAAAAGCTAGAGAATGAATTTTAAAACAGACCTTAAACAAGTCTCGAAGATTAAAGAGGTAGTGGCATTTTGCTGGGGTTGGTAACATGATCTTAGCCACTTGTTGGTACATTTCTATGGAACAAGATGTTATCATATGCATAGTTTCAAGAACATCCGATGTAAAGTTATTGAGGGTGTAATATATTCCCAGATGAGCCTTTAAGAAGAAATACTATAATTTAGTTCACCAAAGCTTTTACATTTAGACTATTTCTGGCTAACCTATACTAAAAAGCAGACTTGTCATGGAGGATTAATTTCGACAAATGCCAGTGGTTAAAATACATTTAAGATACAACGGTGGACAAGGAGCAAGGCATTCTGGGGGATGCAAACTGGGACGATGCCACTTGGTCCCAGGTGCACATGGCCTGTGTTCTCCGGGGATTCTGATGAGACTGGGAACTGGGAATTCTTGTATCTCCCTGCTCCCTAGCAGGTGTTACCACACGGAGTGTAAAAGGTAAACTATTACCTCAGTCTGGACTGGTATACATGTAAACTTTCTTCAAAAAACTACGCAAGATCTTGTTCGGAAAATGGCTCAACTCAACTTCTGGTGCAATTAGAAAAATAAATTTTACATAAAATGAGTAAATTCTTCAAAAACTAACTTTATGTTTTTCTTCTTTGCAGTATAATGTTTAAAAGTAAGATTTTAAAATCTATTTTTTAAAAACACATGGTAGTTGTGATGCAGGTGACTGGTAGCCCACACCTGAATAAACAAACCACTCTGTTTTAAAAGAGTGTATTCACGTATTCCAGTCTAGACTGAGGAAAAGTTTGCTTAGAATTTTCTATTGTATAAGCAAAAGAGCAAATCAATTCTGGTAAGTTAGGGTGTGCCTGTTTAACAGCTTACTGTTAAATAAGATCCATATAATGGTTAAATAAATTATATAGCATACATATAAATATATTAACATACTATTATATATCTAATATATATTATAAATACTATATATAGTATATATGTAACTACATATATAATTATATATACACACACACACATACACATACACATATATATAATAGTTTGTTAAATAAGATCCATCCCAGATATACTAGGTCAGAATCCCAGAGAATAAAGTCCTGGGATTTTCATTTTAAACATGTACAACATGTCTTATCCAAACTATGTTATGCTTTGATATAGAAAGACAAACTATAATAGGCCAGAAAATATACAGGTGAATAAAATCAATCCCCCTTAAGAGAAGTTTCTTGCTGTGATAGTGGTTTTAAGACCTTACATTTTTTCCTTATACTTTGGAATTAAATTTTATTTTTCCAATAGAAGATTTTCTAGATATGTTACCTGAAAAATACTACGCAGGGCACTTTGTGGAGGATGAGGCAATACCAATATGGAAAAATGTTTGAGGAGCCGTGGGCTAATATCATCCCCATTAACCAGAGGAACACAAGATGCAACTATAGAGAGATCTTGAATATTCTGTGGGAAGAGTAAAAAGGAAGAGTAAATAAATGCATCCACAGGAAGTGAAATATAAACTCACATCCCTGCCCCAAATGGACAAAAGATTTAAAAACATTTAAGCAAACAGATGATTACTATTTACTGCAAAACATAAATGAAGATAACCAACATCTATCTTCCTAAGTAACCCCATCTATAATACAATTTCAAGGCATGTCATTTCCAGGAAGTTTTCTAAATGTCATCAGGCTATAGCCCTTAAAAGAAAAGAAAGAACCTGAAACTACTAGAAGAATAAAACAGAGACAATGCTTCATGACATTGGTCTAGGCAAGGGGTTTTTTGGATTAGAACTCACAATCAGGCAACAAAAGCAAAAACAGACAAATAGGATCAGGTGAAAAGGCTTCTGAACAGCAAAGCAGTCAACAGAGTGAAGAGACAACTTAAGAGTTAGGAGAAAATATTTACATACTATGCACCTGACAAGTGGTTAATATCCAGAATATATAAGGAGTTCAAACATGATGATAGCAAAAAGCCAAATAATCCAATTTTAAAAATGAGTACGATATTTGAATAGATATTTCTCAAAAGAAGACAGATAAATCTCCAATGGGCATAGCAATAAATATTCCACATCACTGATCATCAGAGAAATACAAATCAGAATTACAATGAGGGGGCCAGCACTGTGGCACAGCAAGTAAAGCCACCTCCTGCAGTGCCGGCATCTCATTTGGGCACTGATTCAAGTCCCAGCTGCTCCACTTCCGATCCAGTTCTCTGCCATGGCCTGGGAAAGCAGTAGAAGTTGGCCCAAGTCCTTGGGCCCCTGCACCTACATAGGAGACTCAGAGGAAGCTCCTGGCTCCTGGCTTTGGATCGGCACAGCTCCAGCCATTGCGACCAATTGGGGAGTGAACCAGTGGGTGGAAGCCTCTTTCTCTTTGCCTCTCCTTCTCTATGTAACTCTTTCAAATAAATAAATAAATATTTAAAAATTATAATGAGATAGTAAGATATTCTCTCACCCCAGCTGGAATGGCTCTTATCAAAAACACAGGAAATAAATGCTGGCAAGGAGAGCCCTTGTACATTATTAGTGGAGACATAAACTAGTAGAGCCATTGTGGAAAACAGTATGGAGCTTACTCAAACTCAAAACAGAATCACCATCCATTCCAGCAATCCCATTCCCGGGTCTAATCCAAATGAAATGAAATCAATCTGTCAAAAAGATATCTGCTTGTCTATGTTTATTGTTATGTATTATTTAATAATATACAAGTTATAGAACAACTGAGCCATCTATCAACAAATGAATGCATAAAGAAAATGTGGGGGCCGGCGCCGCGGCTCACTAGGCTAATCCTCCGCCTTACGGCGCCGGCACACTGGGTTCTAGTCCCGGTCAGGGCGCCGGATTCTGTCCCGGTTGCCCCTCTTCCAGGCCAGCTCTCTGCTGTGGCCAGGGAGTTCAGTGGAGGATGGCCCAAGTGCTTGGGCCCTGCACCCCATGGGAGACCAGGAGAAGCACCTGGCTCCTGCCACCGGATCAGCGTGGTGCGGTGCGCCAGCTGCAGCGCACCAGCCGCGGCTGCTATTGGAGGGTGAACCAACGGCAAAAGGAAGACCTTTCTCTCTGTCTCTCTCACTGTCCACTCTGCCTGTCCAAAAAAAAAAAAAAAAGCGGGGGTTGTGTTGTATAAAATTGGAAATTATACAACGTTTCAAAAGAAGACAATTCTGCCATTAGTAACTGCATGGATGAACTTGGGGGACACTGTGCTAAGTGAACCATGCCAGGCACAGAAAGACAAATACCACATGGTCTCATTTATTTGTAGAATCTAAAAAAAACGCTGACCTCATAGGAGGGTGGAAAAGTTGGTGAGAGAGATTGAAAAGCAGTTACAAAGTTACAGGTACTAGGCATAAATTCTAGTGTTCTGTTTCACACTAGCATGACTATAGCTAACAACTATGTAGGGCATTTTTGGAATATTCTCACCACAACAAAATGGTAAATGTTTAAGGTGATGGGTATGTTCATTGCTCAGATTTCATCATTAAATATGTTGTATACATGCACTGAAACATCAATTTTAAAATTAATAATGTTTGCTTGCTTGAGACAACTTATTTTTAATTTATAGTCAAAGGCTTAATGCCCCAGTAAACAAAGAGTTTGACAGATAAAAGTAGAAAGCTTATAGTTGAGCAGGAAAATAGGCAAGGACTCTAACCGATAAGAAGATGAAAAGACGTTCAACTTCACTCATATAAATTTTAAAATAGTCGCACAATCATGAAAACTATAGCAGTATATAATTCCTTTCAATTTTTAACACTGACTTGGTAGGCCACATTTTCACTGGCTTTCCTCATATGAACTCATGGTTAATTGCGTTGAAAGTTTTGGCTGTGATGCAGTTAACAATGCTGAGAGTTGACCAACTCAGAAACTAAAGTTCAAGGATACAGTTGCAGTTTTTAATAAGACTTTAAGCTACCAAAAGTAGAATTTCTGTAAATTTTTAAAACAGAGACACAATTTTCATGGTTAATTGAGGGTCTCAGGTCAGCTTAACGTGTCCTTGCACTCAGACTGTCTCAATTTCTCAATCAACTCAATGTTGTTACATATAATTTATTGTTACATAACAATATTTAATGTGAACAAAATCTTAGTATATACTGTACCTTCCACACATTTTTTTCAGTATCATAAACTCCTCCCATATCTAATAATTGTCTGATCAACTCCAGGGGTGGCTGTGCTCCATACATATCTGCTACCGGCATATTCATGTCATCAATAAACACTATAAGCTTAAGAAGACAAAAAGCTTTAAAATATATTAAACCATGATTTTGGAATATTAATTACAGTGTAAGAATAAAGTTATATGTAATTGCTTGTCTATTTCTCTATTAGTAGACCAAATTTTACTTTGAAGATATGATTTTAGAAAATCAGTTTTTAAAATTTTTTCTGAAGGTTAAAGTATTTCATATATATGGATTTAGGAACATAGTGATACTTCCTACCCTACTCTCCCTCCTGGCCACGCTCCCACCTCCTCTCTCCTCCTTCCTTAGTCTAACTTTTACGAGGATCTACTTGAAGCTTATTTTATTTAACCCTACACTAAGTAAAGAATCCAACAAATCGAAGAAAAAAAAACTGTTCTTCAGCAGAACAGACAAGGGCTGTAAACAATCATCAAATCTCAAAATGAAAAAGAAAATAAGTCTTTAAAATAGCAGAAACTGCCCTCACTTTCTATAGGTCTAGACTGAATCATCTCTGATAACAGTTTGAAATGTATTTGATTCTGGCCAAAGTAATCTAACTGTGGCTGTTCCAAAGGAATGTGGCTGTGATGTATTTAGCACTGACTGCATGGAAAGCACTATTGCGGGAGCCTGGCTAATCATCTCATCTCATCCTGCTTTGGGAGCAAGACCGTCATCTGGAGCTGGGTTTTAAAAATTCAGTTGCAAATGCTATTGTCATGAACAACCAGCAGAAAATTCACACACATTTCCAGTTTGTAAACCTGTGTTACTTTTTTTTTTAATAAAAATTTTAAAAATTTGGTTTTTAACAGATTCAATATAGTTTATAGATACAATTCCAAAATTACAAAAATGGTATTCCCTTCCTTCCTCCTTCCCACTCAGCCTCCTCTTTCTTTTCTTAGTGTTTGAGATACTGTGTTACTTTCAACCTTGGAAAATATTCATTGAAGTATACCAATTATAATATCTGTGTGCACTGGCCACTTTACGTTGTATTTCTTTTTGTAAGACACGAAACTAGTTAAAAATCACAAATAGCCAATTGATTTGAATTATGTAATGATCCAATGGGCAACTGCCAAACTCATTATTGTAATAAGACAGTTTTCCCTCTTTTCTATCACAAACTGAGCAAAATTTGCATTTTCTATGGGTGTGTTAGGTTACCCGAAGTTTACCATGGAAGGCAAAGATGCACCAAGTTTACCCAGATCTTCAATTAAAATCAAGGAAATCTGAAGCAGACCCTTAAAAGCTCTTGAAAGAGTGGGCCAGTGCTGTGGCGCAGTTGGTTAAGCCTCCGCCTGCCACACAGGCATCCCATATGGGCACCAGTTCATGTCCCCGCTGCTCCACTTCTGATCCAGCTCCCAGCTAATGGCCTGGGAAAGCAGTGGAAGATGGCCCAAATCCTGGGGTGGTGCAACCACGTGGGAGACCCAGAAGAAGCTCCTGGCTCCTGATCAGGAGACCTGGAAGAGCTCCTGGCCCCTGTACAGAAACAAAGCAGTTGGCATCTAACCCATTTTCTAGTCTTGTCTTCATTCAGATTTCAGTAACTTCCTTTGGCCTTAGTGATTCTTGATCATATAATTTATCACTTTAGAAACTGAATTATATTGATTAGAAAACTAAGGTTTGAATTATCAAGTACATCTTCTAGGATTGTTCAGGAATATATGTTACATGCATCTTTTCCTTTTTATAAAGAGCATTAATTAAAAATAAACCACAAGCAGATTACTCAACAGGCATAAGAAGTTTTACCTGGTTATTTTTTGGAGCTCCAAGAGTGTCTTTAGTTCTCAATACTAAGCTCTTAAGAATCATCTCCTTGGTTTTAGCAGCTGTTGTGCTAGTGCTAAAATTTATCGTAGAGACTATAATTCCTTTATCTTTTCTTTTCAATAAATTTTCATCCGTTTTGGATTCCGTTGTTTTAGTAGCATAATCTATGATGTCAAATATAGAAAGAAAAACAAATCTAGAACACTTTAAGAATGTTTTTGCTGGCCGGCGCCGTGGCTCACTAGGCTAATCCTCCGCCTTGCGGCGCCGGCGCCGGCACACTGGGTTCTAGTCCCGGTCGGGGTGCCGGATTCAGTCCCGGTTACCCCTCTTCCAGGCCAGCTCTCTGCTATGGCCTGGGAGTGCAGTGGAGGATGGCCCAAGTCCTTGGGCCCTGCACCCCATGGGAGACCAGGAAAAGCACCTGGCTCCTGCCTTCGATCAGCGCGGTGCGCCAGCCGCAGCGCGCCAGCCGCGGCGGCCATTGGAGGGTGAACCAACGGCAAAAGGGAGACCTTTCTCTCTGTCTCTCTCTCTCTCACTGTCCACTCTGCCTGTCAAAAATTAAAAAAAAAAAGAATGTTTTTGCTTTATTGGAAATTACCTAATTTTATTATATTGCTGCCAATTTGAAGGAATTACTCTTAGAGGAGAAATCACAAACTCTGAAATGCGTTTTTAGGTTTCTTTGGTAAACAGTGTCTCTTGGCAACCCTAGCCAAATGTAACAACGTAAACACTCAGAAAATCCCCAATTCATTCATATACTTTAAAGCACAAAGAATGTTTTAAAATCTAAAAGCGATATGCTGTTGCCTGTACCAAATGCATCAAAATTAGGATGCGCTCCCCAAGTGAGGATCCTGCAGAAGTTATTTGGGATGGCGCGAAAGCAACAAAGTAAAACCCAAACCCAAACCCTTCTGGCAGAAATCCTGTGCTTCCGCCTCCCTTGCCCTTTCCATAGCCACCTCTAGGCCATCCCATCTTTTCTCCTGGAGGAGACTTGCTGCTCCCTAAACGGTATACCGAGTCAGAATATTCAGGAATGTGGCTCCTGAAATTCCTTGTTTCTGTTGTGTGACCTGTCATAGATTTTTCTACTGCACAGTGTCTAAAAGCATCAAAGAATAAAACAGTGTCTTCATGACTTCTAGACAGTCTGTGATTTCGCTGATCAGGCAGGTATCAGCTTTTCCGTGAGCAGGCACAATATTCCTCAGTCACAACCATTCCACCCTTTCAATTTGTTAGGAGGGTTTGAGAGTGTAACAGATAGTTTTCACGACTTGTAACTTAAATTGTCAACTACATTTTCATTCTGAGGTTTCCAAAAATAAAAAGTGACTTGCATCTGGTTGGGACAGAAGAGGTGAAACTGTGCCACAATACATACCTGCACTTCCAGTTGCTGTCGGAGATTCAGAAATCAAGAGGCTGATATTTTGTTTTAGGCTATGGAAAAAAAAAATGTTTTAAAGAATCAAAATTAGTTTATTGACCATAGTGACTATATTAGCAAAACCGTAATAGAAGGAACAGCATGTGGTCGATTTTACTTCTCTAAGTTTTTTTTTCCTTGCTCATACTTTTACACATAAAATTAGTGTCTCCTTTAGACTGATAAGCAAACTTAAAAAATAGGCTTACTTAAAAAAAAAAAAAAAACACCTTGGCAAAACCTAGAATGCCAGGCTCCTGCGTGTTTTCTAAGGGTGGCACACCTCCTGTTTCCCTTTATAAATTATACTGGTGGGGTTTTCCCAAGATGGTGGAATAGGGAGGGAGCTACTGCTCTAGTCTAGGGGAAGATAGTTTAAAAAAAACATGGAGAGAGTCCTATCTCAGGGAAGAGTCAGGGAGAAAATGGCAGAACAAACTTCTCACAAATTAGAGGGACACTGTGGACCTATGCGATGGGTGTGGATGCACACAGCACAGGATTGCAGAAGCCGAGAGCCTCGGCACCAGCTTTGGAGAGTGAGGTGAGACCAGACTGCAGCAGCCCAAGCCACTGGCGATAAAGCTGCAGGAAGAGTCCGGCATGAGTCTGGCTGGGAGCCCTGTGGGGGACAGTGTACCTGCCAACCTAGAGGGAAAAAAGGGGGTCATGTTTCCCTCTCCCTGACCACCCAGCACTGGCATCCTGTGACTAGCTGAGGGGGGCGGGTGCTATTTTGGACATGTGTAACAGCTGCAGTAGCTAGTGTTCCCATGGCCTGCAACCAGCCAAATAGAGACACCTGAGTCTGGCTGGGAGCTCTGACAGGGGCCTGAGTGCTCATGACTGTGGAAGCCAAGTGTGCCAGGACTGTGAAAACATGTGGCTGCAAGGGAGGGTGCAGGGTGTGGCTGGGTCTTTGGGTAGTTACTGTAGGCTACTTCTGCGCAGGGCTCCCTGATTCCATGGTGAGGATCATTGCTGCGGGATCTGTGCTCACAGCGAGGACTATATGGATCCCCTGTGTGGTTCTTGGGGCAGCGTGGACAAATACTGTACCTACTGGGGCTAGCACACAGGCATTGGTCTCCTTGGAGGAGAGGAGGTGAACATGAGACTATGCCAACAGAGCAGAACAAACCTTCCCTCTGATAAAACAAACCAAAAAAAAAAAAAAAGATTTACCATGCCCAACTTGGCTGTCCCCTTGGACACTCCCCTCACCCTGGAGCACTGAACAAGGCTTCCTGACCACACCCAACACATGCCTCAGGGTATTCACTGAAAGAGCAGGCACTCCACTAATCCACAGAGGCATAGTCCAAAGATAAAAGCCATCACAGGGAAAAAAAAATCCAACAAGTATCTCCATAAATGTCTAAAAATAAATACAGCCCTCACCCTGACTGTTGATGAGCAGCTTAATATGTATCCCTCTTAGTATTTTTTTTTGTTTGTTCTACTTAATACTTTTGGTTGAATACTGTAATCAATACACAATTTTTCTTAAGTGCTGAAACTTAACTGAAAAGTGATCGCTGTTAAATATAAGAGTGGGAATAAGAGAGGGAAGAGATGTGCAATTCAGGACATGCTCAAGCTGACTTACCTCAAACGGTAGAGTTAGAAACATACCAGGGGATTCGAATTCAATCCCATCGAGGTGGCATGTACCAATGCCATCTCACTAGTCCCAGTGATCAATTTCTGTTCACAATTGATCGTAATGATAGGACTAAGAACCAAAGGGATCACATAAACAAGAATAGTGTCTGCAAATACTAGCTGATAGAATCAAAAAGGGAGAGAATGATCCAACATGGGAAGTGAGATACACAGCAGACCCATAGAATGGCAAATGTCCTAACTGCACTCTGGCCTCAGAATCAGCCCTTAAGGCATGCGGATCCAGCTGAAATGCCCATGAGACTATTTCAGGCATGGAAAGCCAAGACACTCTGGGGGAAAAAAAAAACCTAAATGAAAGATCTCCACGAGTGAGATCCCAGTGGAAAGAATGGGTCATCAAAGAAGGAGGTACCTTTCTCTGAAGGGAGGAGAGAACTTCCACTTTGACCATGGCCTTGTCTAAATATGATCAGAGTCAGTGAACTCAGGGGGCTTCCATAGCCTTGGCAGCTCATGACAAGAGCCTAGGGTGATTACTGATGCCATAAACAAGAGTGTCAATTTGTTAAGTCAACAACAGGAGCCACTGTGCACTTACTCCTCATGTAGGATCTTTGTCCTTAGTGTGCTGTACATTGAGATTTAATGCTATAACTAGTACTCAAACAGTATTTTTCACTTTATGTTTCTGTGTGGGAGCAAACTGTTGAAATCTTTACTTAATGTACGCTAAACTGATCTTCTGTATATAAAGAGAATTGAGAATGAAAAAAAAAAATAAATACAGCAATTCAAGAAACAAGACTAAGGAAGACAACATGATGCCCCCAGAAGAACAGAACAACACTTCAATACTAGAATGTGAAGATGAGACTGAAGAAATACCAGAAACGGAATTCAAAAAATTGATCATAGGATTACTTACAAATAATCAGAAGCAAATCCATGAACTAAAGAAATTCATACATGACATGAATTTAAATTTCTTCCATCAAATTGAAATTTCAAAGATAAATCAAAATGAAATACTGGAAATGAAGAATTCAATCGAACAAATAAAAAATGTGGTGGAAAGCCTTAACAACAGACTCTATGAGGCCAAAGAAGAATATCTGAGTTAGAAGACAAATCTCTGGAAATTTTAGACCAATAAAAAAAAAAAAGAAGAAGAAATTAGAAAACTAAAAAACAGTGTTGGAGATTTATGGGATACTTCTATCAAATGACTCAACATATGGGTCCAAGGAGTTCCTGAAGGCATGGAAAGAGTTAGGAAGAAATTAGATTAGGAAAATTAAATTAGATCCTTCTTATGTATGCAAAAATCACCTCAACATGGATCAATGACTTAAATGTAAAATCTGAAATCATGAAATTGCTAGAAGAAAACATAGAGGAAACAATTCAAGACATTGGTATAGGTAATGATGTTTTAGATAAGACCCCAACATTGCAGGCAATACAAACAAAAGTAGATAAATGTGATTATATCAAACTAAGACTTTTCTGTCCAGTAAATGACACTATCAACAGAGTGAATAGACAACTGATAGAAGGAAGAAAATATTTGCAAGCTACTTATCAGATAAAGGATTAAGATCCAGATGATATAAGGAACTAAAAAATCTCAACAGCAATAACATCAGCAATCCAATCTAGTTAAGAAATGGGCAAACACCCTGAATAGGAATTTCTCAAAAGAAGAAATACAATCACCAACAAATATATGAAAACTGTTCAATATCACTAGCCATCAGGGAAATGCAAATCAAAACCACAATGAGGTATCATTTCACATCAGTGAGAATGGCCATTATAAAATGACAAAAACAAATACTGGTGAGAATGTGGAGAAAGGAGAACTGACACTGTTGCTGAGGATGTAAATTTAGTACAGCCACTTAAGAAAACAGTATAAACTCCTTAAGAAACTAGAAATAGAACTATCCACTGTTGTGTATGTATCCAAAAGACATGAAATTATTACATCAAAGAGAGATATACACTATCATGCTTATTGCAGCACTGTTCACAACAATTAAGATAATTCATCAACAATGGATAGAGAACATTTGGCATGAATACACAATGGAATGTTATTCAGTCATAAAAAGGAATGAAATCTATCATGTGCCGGGATGGACATCATGTTAAATGAACTATGTCAGATACAGAAAGACAAATACCCCCATGTTCTTTCTTACATGTGGAGGCTAAAAAACAATCTGAACCCAGAATAGTAATAGAAGCTGGGAGGGGCAAGAAGGGATAGAAGGAGATTGGATAATGGGACCAAATTGGAGTTAGAAAGAACTCCTAGTGTTACACAGCATAGTGAGGTGATCACAGCTCACAATAATTACTAAGCATTTTCTAAACAGAGGAGCTCCAAGGCTCTAATTATTAAGTAATGACAAAGGGGAAAATGTTGATCGCTCTGATTAGATCAATACACATAACACAGTATTGAAATGCTGCATTGTGTCCCATAAATGTGTACAATTATTATTATATGAAAATTTATTTAATGTTTCAAAAAGTAAATTTAAAAATGCTGGAAATCTAGATATCCCCATGCAGAAGGATGAAAGTGGATTCTTATAACACAAACAAAAATCAACATGAAATGGATTAAATGTTTAAATGTAACACCTGAAGCTATAAAACTACTAGAAGAATACACAGGGAGAGAGCTCCATGACATTTGTCCAGGTAAGGACTCTTTGGACATGATTCCAAAATACACAGGTAACAAAATCTAAAATAGACAAATGGGATTGCAGCACATTAAAAAAAAAAAAAAAACTCTGTGTGGGCTGGCTCTGTGGTGCAGTAGGTTAATCCTCCGCCTGTGGTGCTGGCATCCCATACGGGTGCTGGTTCAAGTCCCAGCTGCTCCACTTCCAATCCAGCTCTTTGCCATGGCCTGGGAAAGCAGTCAAAGATGGCCCAAGTCCTTGGGCCCCTGCATCCGCGTGGGAGACCAGAAGAAGCTCCTGGCTCCTGGCTTTAGATCGGTGCAGCTCCAGTTGTTGCGGCCATTTGGGGAGTGAACCAGTGGATAGGAGACCTCTCTTTCTCTGCCTCTCCTTCTCATTGTCTGTAACTCTACTTCTCAAATAAATAAATAAATAAAATATTTAAACAAACAAAATCTCTGCACAGCAAACGAAACAGATAGTGAAGAAAGAGACAACCTATGGAATGAGAGAAAGTAAGGAGAATATGTGTAAACCATACATCTGATAGGGGTTCACATTCAAACAAGGAACTCAAATAACTCAAGGGCAAGAAAAGAAATAACCCAATCAAAAATGGGCAAAGTTGAGGCCGGCACTGTGGCACAGCTGGTTAAGCGGCCACTTGTGATGCTGGCATTGTGGTTTGTGTCCGAGCTGTCCCACTTTCGATTCAGCTCCCTGTAATGGTCTGAGGAAAGCAGATGAAGATGACTCAAATGTTTGGGCTTCTGCCACCAACGTGGAAACCTGGGTGAAGCTCCTGGCTCTTGCCTGGCCTACCACTAGCTGTTGAGACCATCTGGGGAGTGAAGCCCAGACGGAAGATCTCTTTGTCCATTTCTCTCTCTTGTAACTCTTTCAAAATAAATTTTTTTTTAAAATGGGCAAAGCACTTACATAGACATTTCTCAAAAGAAGGTATAGAAGTAATCAACGAGTTTGTGAAAAATGGTCAGCATCTCCAATTAGGGAGACACAAATTAAGCCACAATGAGATATCACTTTACACCTGTTAGAATGGCTGTTATCAAAAAGACAAGAGATAACAAGTGTTGGCAAGAATGTAGGGTAATGCTATTGAGGGGAATGCTAATACAGCCATCACAAAAAAACATTACAGAGGTTTCTGAAGAAACTAAACATGGAACCATATGATCCAGCAATTCCAGGTCTGAGTATCAATGCAAAAGAATTGAAATCTGCACGTCAGACACTGAACTCCCACATTCACTGCAGTACTAGGTGCAACAGCCAAGTCACGGAATCCACCTAAGGATTATCGACTAGTGAAAGGACAAAGAAAATATGCTATATACAACATATAATGGAATACTACTCAACCTTAGGAAGAAAATGTTATTTTTGACACCACTAACGAACCTGGAAGACACTATTCTAACTGAAATTAGCCAGACATGAAAAGAGAAATGCTACGTACCATGACTTATATATGGAATCTAAAAAAGCCAAACTCAAAGACACAGGGAATAGGGCAATGGTTGCCAGGGGCTGAAAGAACAGTGGGAGGGAATGGGTAGACATGGGTAAAAGGATACAACATTTCAGTTAGCAGAGAGTAAATATGATTTTCACATCTACTACAGTTTGGTGACTATAGCTGATAGAATATAATATTTCAAAGTTGCTAGAATAATTATAAACATTTTTACAAGAGGATAAGCATGTGAGGTGATAAATATGTTAAATAGCTGATATAATAACACAATACATATATATCACATTATAGCCCATTTATGCATACAATTATTATTCATCTACTAAAGATTAAAAATGAAATAAAAATAAAGGAGGGGTTATGGGGAAAAGTTTATCTTATCTCATCTAGTAAATAAGTCCACCCTTTTACATAACAGATTTGCTTTTCTTTTTAAGCAAAAAGGCATGAATATGGTAAAGAAAACATTTTTCACCAGAACAAAGTTTAAAGTTTAATACATATACACGAACCTTGCTTTTTTTATTTCACTATGTAATAGGACATTTCCTAAAATGGACCCATATTTTACGTAAAATGCTCCTGGGCTCTCCAGCTTCTCAAGCATTTGGTTAATGGTAACAGTTTTCCCAACACCAGAGGCTCCTGAGAGAGGGGGAGGGGGACACATTAGGTTAGATTTATATGCAAGAAAGTGACATATGTTCACATGTTACGATGAACCAATAACATTTCCCTTCATCTGAAGATTGCATGGAACAGAGGTTTTTGCTTTTCCATTTTTTTTAAAGGTAGTTAAATCAAGGAGTTAATATGAAAACCTCTCAAATTGTCTAAATTACTTGTACCTCTTACAAAATAGATTAGGAGCTGACCATTATTTTTATGTAATGTTCACTAAAGCCTGTCACCAACCTTCTTTGCTTTTAGAGTGACAGAAAGACTACACATAATGAATGGAGTTACTTGAAAATTTTTGCCAACATGATCTAAAGAAAAATTCGATAAATTCCTTATGAAGCAGAATGAAGACCTGTGACTTTATAATTCTTTACATATTAAAGTAAAAATGAAAATTTTCTTAGACCAAATTAGAGGCAACATGTGGTTATCTGAGAGTCACACATTCCCTGAATTCTTTGCACACGGAACTGAGAAAGCAGAACTGTTGCCTGTGGTGATACTCGGCACAGAGAACTGGAAAACGTGACCAGTGGGCTGGGGTAAGTGTCAAGAGTGAGCAGGAGCTAAACTGAATCACTCTTTCAGGAATGGAAAAAGATTTAAAAAATCTTAACACTGTGTTGAGGGGCCGGCGCTGTGGCGCAGCAGGTTAAAGCCCTGGCCTGAAGCGCCGGCATCCCATATGGACGCCAGTTCTAGTCCCAGCTGCTCCTCTTCTGATTCAGCTCTCAGCTACGGCCTGGGAAAGCAGTAGAAGATGGCCCAAGTGCTTTGGCCCCTGCATGGGCATGGGAGACCCAGAAGAAGCTCCTGGCTCCTGACTTTGGATCGGCGCAGCTCCGGCCATTGCAGCCATCTGGGGAGTGAACCAGCGGATGGAAGACCTCTCTCTCTGTCTGTACCTCTCTTTGCAACTCTGTCTTTCAAATAAATAAAGTGTTGAGGAATCATGTGTGTAAATTTAATTAAACCAATCAATGCTACTGTGAGTGGTCCTCCAAGGATCTCAACCCTATCCACTGGCTATTAGGCCCAACCTGCATAATCCCTTGGATCTCCTGGCATTTTTCATGAGGGTAATGAAAGGCGGAGGAAGATTTATAATGTGCTATATTGGCATCCACACACTATTGTTGAGAAGCTAAATTGTTCTAGTCACCGAAACTCTTCAGGGCAGAGTTTTTTCCCACTAATAAAGTAAAATGATCAGACTACATAGCCTCTGGACCCCCTGACTCTGAAACTCTCCTTTAGTACCTGTGAGAAGGACGGGGTAGGAATTCTTCAGAAGCAGGCTCATGAGGAAGGAAAGGCACGTGGTGTCTCTGGTGGCCGTGTAGCGGATGCTGTCCCCCTCTTCTGCCATCTTCAAGAAGTCTTCACTCGACCCATGCAGATCAGTTAGCAACGAAGTTCCTGTCAACATTTTTTAAAGTTTTAAATAACCAAGAAAGAAATATTACTCTAATCGTTCGGGCACTCAGTCCTTCCTACAGCAATCTGCACGCCACAGAGCAATTTAAACGTCAGCAAATCAGCAAAGCGGCCACACGTGCTTGGAATCTGCCATTCTCAGACACTGTGTTAGCAGCTCCAGCCTTTCTCACTGCTTGAACTGTGTAAAATTCACATTTTAAAAAGTAAAAACCAGTTGAGTACAGATAATTTGACATGAAACACACACACTCACAAAACCAAACTAAACACACACATTCACGAAACCAAACTCCAAAAAAACAAACCCCAAAGCTCCCTGGATCTAAAGCTTTCTAAGAATACTATCCAAATTCTTCATTCCATTACACAGCCAAAACTCCTCAAAGAGGTAGATAAAACATGGTCTTCCTGATCTTTTATTCATTCTTTTCTTCCTTTATAAAAAAATTTATTTGAAAAGGAGACAGACACTGGGTCACTCCCCAGTGTCTGCAATGACCCGGGCTAGGCTGCAGAAGCTGGGAGGTGGGAATTCAATCCAGGTCCCCCATGAAATAAAGTTTGATACCTTTGGCTAAGCATGAAGATATAGACTCTCAATACCTACAGAAATGATAAATCATATGCCAGTTTATGTTGATTAACAATCCTACTTATAGGCAATTATTTCATATATGTGTGAAATATTACTCTGCATATGTGCAATTACTTGAGTCATCATCTGCTGCCTCCCAGGGTTTGCATCTGCATGAGATTTGGGAGCCTGAGCTGGGACTAGAATCCAAGCACTGTTGTTAAGGTAGCTCGGGAGACATTAGCCTATCTGTGTGAGGGGGGCTGAAGAAAATGGGAATTTTTAAAAAGATTTGCTTATTAGAAAGGCAGAGTTAGGCTGGCACTGTGACTCACTAGGCTAATCCTCCGCCTGCAGCGCTGGCACTCCGGGTTCTAGTCCTGGTTGGGGCACCGGTTCTGTCCTGGTTTCTCTTCTTCCTGTCCAGCTCTCTGCTGTGGCCCAGGAGGGCAGTGGAGGATGACCCAAGTGCTTGGGCCCTGCACCCCATGGGAGACCAGGAGCAAGTACCTGGCTCCTGGCTTCGGATCGGCGCAGCGCGCCAGCTGTAGCAGCCATTTGGGGGGTGAACCAACAGAAGGAAGACCTTTCTCTCTATCTCTCTCACCATCTAACTCTGCCTGTCAAAAAAAAAAAAAAAAAAAAAAAGCCAGAGTTAGAGAGGCAGAGACTGAGACAGATCTTTCATGTGCTGATTCACTCCCCCAAATGGCTGCAATGGCTAGGACTGGGCCAGACAGAAGTCAAGAGCCAGGAGGTTCATGTGGGTCTTCCATGTGAGTGGCAGGGACCCAACTGGGATATCCTCTGCTGCTTTCCTAGAACATTACATTGAGCTGAACCAGAAATGGAGCAGCTGGGACTCAAACTGCCACTTTATCAGCTTTATCAACTACGCCACAGCACTGGCCCCAGAAAATGGGAATTTTTAATGAAAGTGGAAATTTTGGTGTCGTAGAATGAGGAAAAATGTAGACACAAGCCTGACCAGCAATTACATATCTAAAATATTGCTCTTGTTCAATAACCTTGATACACAGGTTTTAGCCCTCTACATGGGTGTGGGGGGGCTGCTCAGGGGACACTTCTTCTCCTCCCACCTCCCACCTCCCACCTCCCACCTCCACATCCAGGGTGCTACTAGCTCTGACAGCACTGTGTGGATAAGGTCCTGGGAGGATTTTCTGGATATCCACATCCAGAAAGTCCTCCACCCAGTAATCTCCCAAAAGAAGGAGGAGGTGAGGACAAACAGCACAGGGGGAGGTGAAATGGCAGAGATGGGGTATGTGGGACCCAATATTCATACCCATGAAAATTCCAGTCCAAATGCAGACTAGGCTCTGGTTTTTTTTCCAGGATGGCCTCTTGGTCAAGGGTATTCTCTTCATTATACTTGGCTAGCACTGGAGATGGCCTTCTGGCAGAGGGGTTAAGCTGCCGCCTGCAGCACAAGCATCCTGTATGTGCACTGGTTTGAGTCCCCGCTGATCCACTTTTGATCCAGCTCCCTGCTGATGTGCCTGGGAAAGCAGTACAAGATGGTCCAAGTGCTTGAGCCCCTGCACTCATGTGGGAGACCTGGAAGAAGCTGCTGGGTCCTGGCTTCGGCTTGGCCCAGCTGGTTATTGTGGCAATGTGGGGAATGAAGCAGCCAAGGGAAAATCTCCTTCTCTCTCCCTCTCTGCCTTTCAAATAAAATCAATAAATCTTTGAAAAACAAGTGGCTAGCATGCTTACTGTTGCTCTCTGCCTCAAGTGTGAATTCTTTCTCGTTCAAACACCTGCAAGTAGCTGTCTCCAGTAACATGGGCATCTTAACGAGCGTCTTATTGTTTTTAAGATTTATTTATTGGAAAGGCAGATTTACAGAGAGAAAGGGAGAGAGACAGATCTTCCACCTACTGGTTCACTCCCCAAATGACCTCAAGGTCTAGGGCATGGACAGGCCAAAGCCAGGAGTCTCCCACATGGGTGCAGGGGCCCAAGCACTTGGGCCAATCCTTGGCTGCTTTCCCAGGTACATCAGCAGGGAGCTGGATCAGAAGTGGAGCAGCCAGGACTGGAACCAGTACTCACATGGGATGCTAGCATCACAGGTGGCGACTTAACCTGCTGCACCACAACACTGGCCCCTAACTAGCATCTTAACAAACAGGTAGAATGCCTGTCCCCACTCTTTTTTAAATAAAAATTAATCAAACATTAATTCATTCATTTGGTACACAATTCAAAAGTAAATCATGGTATGCAGAAATGCATAGCTTATATAATACACACACATCATTTTGCATATATATATGAAATAATTCATTGTTAGTAGGATCTTAGATTAGTATGAAATAAGGAACCACTTGCCATATCTCTTTACACCCCCATAAAACAAACAGGGCTTGTACATTAGACCATGGCTTGGTTGATATGTCTGAATAAATGACTTAATCAATGCCTAGTGAGCATCAAAACACATGTCTCTATAATAAAAGGATTATTCTTTTTCTACAGATTTATTTTACTTATTTGAAAGGCAGAGTTACAGAGAAAGAGAGAGAAGCTGAGGGAGAAGGTGGGGGGAGAGATAGGGAGAGATAGAGACAGAGAGATATGTAGAGAGAGACAGATATGTTGGGGGGGGAGAGAATGAGAATCTTTCATCCACTGGCTCATTCCTTAAATGGCCTCTACAGCTGGAGCTGGGTCAGAACAAAGCCAGGAGCTTCTTCCGGGTCTCTACATCGATGCAGGGGCCCCAGTTCTTGGGCCATTCTCCAATGCCTTGCCAGGCACATTAGCAGGGAGCTGGATCAGAAGTGGAACGGCTGATACTCCAACCAGAGCCCATACGGGATGCAAGTGCTGCAGGCAGTGGCTTAACCTGATATGCCGCAATGCTGGCCTCAGGATTATTCTTTTAAATAAAGAATGTTGTGTGACAAAAACTCTACCCAATCATAAAAAGTGGTTGTGAAGCATATCTAAGAGGCTCAGTCTACTATATTATGGTTTACATTGAGGAAAAAAAGTGATATGTGACATTGAAGTTCTCTTCTGAGGTTTGGGATTGAAAGTTCAGGAGGGGCCGGCGCCGTGGCTCACTAGGCTAATCCTCCGCCTGCGGCACTGGCACCCCGGGTTCTAGTCCCGGTCGGGGCGCTGGATTCTGTCCCGGTTGCTCCTCTTCTAGTTCAGCTCTCTGCTGTGGCCTGTGAAGGCAGTGGAGGATGGCCCTCCTGCACCCGCATGGGAGACCAGGAGAAGCACCTGGCTCCTGGCTTCGGATCAGTGCGGTGCGCCGGCCGCAGCGGCCATTGGGGGGTGAACCAATGGAAAAAAGGAAGACCTTTCTCTCACTGTCCACTCTGCCTGTCCAAAAAAAAAAAAAAAAAGTTCAGGAGGTGCTTCTAATTCATTTGCCTGCAATGAGGGTGGACTGCGATCATAGGAACTGATGTTTTAGATTTGGAGAAAATACCTCTTGCTTCTCACAGGAGTGATTTTCTAAGATGTTGAGTTACATGCCAAAAATATTCAGCTGAGATTTTTCTATGTAGTGACAAAAAGCTAAGGACTCAAGTGACGCAAGGTTAGTACTAACATATGAAATACAATTCAGAGGCTTTAAATAAGTAGAAAATACAATTAAGTTTTAGTGTAACAACTTAAAATCCATGCATATGAGGGATTTTCAATAAATTAATGGAAACACATATTATGAGAAGACTATGCATGATTTCAAATGTTTGCATCTAAATAAATTTATCTTTTAATTTTTCTATGAAATTTGACATATTCTGAAAAAGTATTGTATAACCTCAATACTGCCAATTAAAATAATTCCAGAGGTAGAATTTTTTGAGATTTCTGCATACTTTCCTTTTTTTTTTTTTTTTTTTTGACAGGCAGAGTGGACAGTGAGAGAGAGAGACAGAGAGAAAGGTCTTCCTTTGCCGTTGGTTCACCCTCCAATGGCCGCCGCGGCCGGCGCGCTGCGGCCAGCGCACCGCGCTGATCCGATGGCAGGAGCCAGGAGCCAGGTGCTTTTCCTGGTCTCCCATGGGGTGCAGGGCCCAAGCACCTGGGCTGTCCTCCACTGCACTCCCTGGCCACAGCAGAGGGCTGGCCTGGAAGAGGGGCAACCGGGACAGAATCCGGCGCCCCGACCGGGACTAGAACCCGGTGTGCCGGCGCCGCTAGGCGGAGGATTAGCCTAGTGAGCCACGGCGCCGGCCTTCTGCATACTTTTCTACTACATAAAGCAGAAGATTGAGAATTTTAAAAGTTATTTTATGGATATTTATCAACTTATGATTATTCTTTTCTAAATAACAGTTTCCTTGATAACCCAATGTGAGTTCTTACATGTATGGTTTTCCTATTTTAGAAGTGGACCTGGGGCCGGCACTGTGGCATAGAGGGTGGGGCTGCCACTTGCAGTGCTGGCATCCCATGTGGGTGCTGGTTCAAGACCCGCTGCTCCACTTTCAATCCAGCTCTCTGCTCTCTGCTATGGCCTGGGAAGGCAGTAGAAGATGGCCCAAGTCCTTGGGCCCCTGTGTGTGTGTGGGAGACCTAGAGGAAGCTCCTGGCTCCAGTTCTGCGCCACTCTGGCCATTGCGGCCAGTTGGGAGTGAACCAGCGGATGGAGGACCTCTCTCTCTCTATCTCCCTACCCCCCCCCCCCCGTTCCCTCTCTGCCTCTCCTCTCTCTGTGTAAATCTGACTTTCAAGGAAAGAAAGAAAGGAAGGAAGGAAGAAAGGAAGGTAGACTTCCTCATTTCCTTTCAGTAATCACAGCTGATTACAGTATTACCAGTAACGAGATTTTCAGTGCACTACAGTTTTATAATGTGCACATCTGACTCAAAAACAGCCCAAATTTTTCCAAAGTGATATTCAAAGATTATTTTTAAAGATACATTTTATAAATATATATTTAAATGTTTCTGCAGAAACATGGAAGATATTAGTCCTCAAAACTGCAGACATAATCACTTTTATAAATAAAATATTCTAAATGTTTTAGAGGAGTTATAAGTAAAATTTTTTTTCTTACCTCTATGAATTGGTGTCTGAACACTAGGAACTAAATCTGACCAGGGTATGAATTCACACTGATGTATATTCACAAAATATCCAAAGATGGAACGTTCACCACCTGGTAGGTTGATGCCTACGATCAAGAAAGGGTTTGGAATGCTTCGCTAATCACATGAACTCTATCTGAAAGATGTTACTGTTAGGTCAGAAATAATGAGGATTCACCAAGGTTGTAACCAGTTAATACAAAACAGACCTGTCTTTATGAACTATATAAAAGTAAAGATTTAATAACTTTTTGTCCTATTCATATCCAGAAAGGTAAATCACGATCTGATACCCCTTGGGATCTTACCCAAAGTTCTGCTTATTTGAGTATTCTCTATCTCCTTCTGTTTAGTTCAAATTTTGTCAATTTTGTTTTTCTTTTTAAATACTATCCCTACTCCACCCCTCAAAAAACCTCAACTTACTGTTTTGGTGATTTTTCAAATGTATTTAAGCTTCTTGGCCTTTTGGCTAAGATCAAGTGTAGTATCAAATGTATTTTAAGTTCTTATTTCATTCATTCCTGAACTGACCTTTGAAATTTCTTTCCTTGTAATACTTTTTGTTTTGGTTTGTTCTTGCTTTTCTGGTTGCACTTTGAGTTACACTGTTATATTATTTATCTGTAATTATTCCTTTCTTATGTAGGTACTTACTTATTTCTATAAGTTTCAGACTTGGAACTGCTTTAGCTTATCCCAATAGTCTTGGTATGTTTCCATTTTTATTTCTTTCAAGTACATTTTAAATTTCTCTTTGAATTTCTTGAGTGACACATTGTTTAAGAGCATGCTATTTAATTTCATGTGTTGTAAACTTTCTAAATTTCCTTATTAATTTCTTTTTATTCCTTTATAGTCAGAGAAGATACATGATACGATTTTAATTTTTTTGACCTTCTTGCTACTTGCTTTGTGGCCTAGCATATTGTTTTTCCTGGACAGTGTTCCATGAGCTGATAAGAATATGTGTTCTGTGGTTGTTGGATGACATATTTTCTAAATGTCTGGCAGACCCATTTGGTCTATAACATAGTTTAACTCTGTTTCTTTGTTGATTTTTGGCCTGGATGATCTATTAATGAAAGTGGGTACTGGAGTCCCCCGCTATTATTGTATTGGTGCCTATCTCTCCCCTTAGCTCTAATACTTGCTTTATATAATTGAATTTCCATTTACATATACATTTATAATTGTTATTTCCTCTTTGTTGAATTGATCACTTATTACATAATAACCTTCATCTCTTTTTACAGTAATTTCTTTTTTTTAATTTAAATCTATTTTATCTGATAGTTACTCCTGCTCACTTATGGCTATCATTTGCATAGTACATCTTTTTCCATCCCTTGACTTTCAGTCTGTGTATTTTTACCAGTGGAATGAGTTATTCTTACAGGCATCATATCAATGGGTCTTGTTTTTATCAATGTATTCAGTTTAAATATTTTAATTGGGAAACTCAGTCCATTCACATTCAAGGTTATTATTAATAAGACATAGTCCTGTAATTTAAATTTTCTCCCTGTTGTTTTGTATATCTTTTGTTTCTTCCCCCGTTTTGGTTCTTCTTTGTGGTTTGCTGTTTCTCTGTGTTGATAAGGTCTAATTCTTCTTTCTTTGTGCGTTGGCTCTACCACTGACTGTTGTACTCTTCCGTGTTTCCATAACGACAGTTATCATCCTTCGGTTTTTACTATAGGACTACCTTACGCATTTTTTGCAAGGCCTGGTGGTAATAAATTTGTGTAATTTTTGTTTGTCTTGGAAATTTGTTATTTGACCTTTACTAAAGGACAGCTTTGCTGGGTGTGGCATTCTTGGGGAGCAGCATTTTTTCTTTCAGGGTTTAAATACATCAGACCATTCTTGCCTGGCCTGTAAGGTTTTTAGGGAGAAGTGTGCTGTGAGTCTAATGGGAATTCACTTACGTAGGACTTGATGCTTTCTTCTTGCTGCTTTCAGAATATTTTGTCTTGTACTTTTGACAATTTGACTGTTACATGCCAGAGGAGATCAGTTTTGGCTGATATTATTAGGGCTCTATTGAGCTTCATGGTCTCAAAATCTTCCCTAGATCTTGAGTTTTCTCAGATTTTTAATAGGTTTTATATGCCTCTTCCTTATCTTTTCCTTCTGGGAAACCCATAAAGCAGTATTTTTTTTTCTTAATTGTGTCTCATAAGTCTTGTAGGGCTTCTTCACTCACTCTGCTTCCCTCCCTTTTTCCTTCATTTCTACTTTTCTTCCCCTCCTTTTCCTTTCTTACCTTCCATGTCCCTCCCTGCTCCTGCCTCCCTTCCCTTGTCTGAGTAGGTCGTGTTTAAAGATCTGTATCTTTAAGCTGATCTTCTGTATATTAAGATAATCGAAAATGAATCTTGATGTGAATGGAAGGGGAGAGGGAGTGGGAAAGGGGAGGGTAGTGGGTGGGAGGGACGGTATGGGGGGGAAGCCATTGTAATCCATAAATCGTACTTTGGAAATTTATATTCATTAAATAAAAGTAAAAAAAAAATAAAGATCTGTATCTTCAAGCTCACAAAGTCTTTCTTATACCTGATTATTTTGCTGTGGAGGCTCTCAGCTATAGTTGTTTCTTTATGATTTCTATCTCTACATTGAGATCATGAATTGTTTAATTTTGGTGAATTGTTTGTATTCTCCCATATCTTGTTCTGTTTCCCTAGAATAATTATTCTGAATCCTTTTTCAGGCAATTCATTGGTTGCCTTTCTTTGTGTCTGTTGTTAGAGTTATTATATTCCTTTGAGGAAACATGTTACTTTTCTTTCCCATGCTTTCCTTTTGTTGACATTTGTACATCTGGTGGATCAGCACCTGAACCCGTGTGGATTCCATAAGACAGTTTAGGTAGCAAAATACTTTTTCTGGAGATGTGTCCCATGATGTCAGTTGATTTTGGTTCCAGGCAGGCACAGTAACATTGTTTATGTAGCTTTTTAAACTATATTCAACAGTAGCAATGCTCATGGGTGGCCCAGTGGCCAAGACAGCAGGTGTTCTTAGCATTGCTCTGTCAGTTGACAAGCAAGCTCTCTTAGGTGGAGCAGGTTCACCAGCCTCCCTGGACATACTGTGCTGGGCTTTAGGTGTAGAGTATTCATCATTTTCTATAGAATTTGTGGGAGGCAGGGCTACTCTGCTGGTCCATGCAGGTACGGTACAGCTGGCAGGGTAGGCGAGGCCTGGACGCTATTAGTTAGGGCTGTGTAAGGGCAGTGCTACTCTAGAAGGCCCAGGTGGTCTGAGCACAACATGCCTGGTGGTAGGCCTGAGATGCCGTTAGTGTCCGAGAACCACTGGAGGCCACGGCACGCAGGTGGTTCTGTGTGGGGTGCTCATTGATCTCTGAGGGTTATGTGGGTAAATCTGCATGGCCTTTTGAAACTAATCTGCTCAGGGAAGGCTGTCCCGCTTTGACTTGGGGCTGTTTGGCTGCTTCCTGGGGGCACCGACAGGCTGTTTGGCTGCTTATCAAGCCTGAAGGTCAGTGGGTAGGGCTGTGCATCTACTTCCCTAAGGGCTTCAATGGGTCCAGCCACTCGGAGAAGGCTTCCAGGCCACTTCCTATCATTATGCGGGAGTGGGAAGACTTGTTTCTCAGGGCCACAGCGAGCCAGGTTTCTCAGGACTGGCTTCTCAGGGATTCACAGGAGGATGTGCATAGCCGCCAGCCTGCTTCCTTAATCCCTTGGCAATGGACTTGTTCAGGGAGGCCTGCCGAGTTTCTTCTTGGTGCCAGTGTTGGGTGGGGCTGCCCATGTACTACTAGGGGCGGAGGCGGGCCCAGGGGTTTGGTTGCTCAATGTGGCCTGCCTGGCTACTCCTTGAGGCCTTGGCAGTGGGCAGTGTTGGATCCTGGGGTTAGTGACTGAGCAGGTGGAGGCAGCTGCCCATTTCACAGGATCCTGTGTGGATGGGGTCTCAAGTGGCAGGCACAGCAGGAGCCTGCCACCCCGTTCTGGGGCAATGCAGCAGCATAGTGTCCGTGGGGGGCCCAAACTGGGCTCAGAGCTTCTGAGGGCTACAGGCTTTACCAGCAGCCAACACTTTCAGGTGCCTGTGGTGTTAACAGGGACTTCTGGGGGCCTAAGTGCCATCTCTTAGTTGAGGCTTGGTCTCCGGAGACGCGATGGTAGATGCCAAGTATGCAGTTCCCTTCTTGTAAGGCTGTCACATGTCTCCACGTTGCACTCCAGAGCTTTTCCCTATACAGCCATCTCACTCTTGTCACCTCCCGTATCTTTTGACCTAGATTTCAATTTACTAATTCTTTGTTTTATGGTGTCTACACTAGAGTGTTTTAGTCAGCTTTTCATTAAAACATGACAGGATCTTCTCGGTAAGGAAAAGGTTTATTCTGGCTTAGAGTTTGCAGGATCACAGTTCAGGATTAAAGGCCCTATTAGTCTGGCATCTGGTGAAGGTGGGCATGGTGAAGTGTGTGCCAGGCAGTGATAACATGGTGAGCAGGGAGGGAGATAGAGAGAGAGAGAGAGAGAGAGAGAGAGAGAGAGGGAGAGAGGGACGGAGGGAGGGTTGGTTGAATTCAGCTCAATGACCAGTTGTGTTGCAAAAGCTGCCCAGTGGCCTAAAGATCTCCCACTGGCTCCACCCCCTAGCTACCATAATTAGAGTAAATCTCTGACCTAATCCAGCAACTGTTAGATTAAGACTTTGGAGTTTCAATGTGCACACATTTGGGGTGCCGAGTCCTTTTCGATCCATAACATAGAGTTTGTCTTGACTATGGAATTGCTCCTAAATGGCTGCACTTTCCATTTCCAGACGCCCATTTGGTTTCTTCATAGCCATGTCTTTTTATTCATATTTTGCTTTGCTTCACAGTTCCTTATTTATTTTCAAATGGATGTCATAATGATTTCATCTGGAGTGAATTAGCATTATGATTTGTGATTTTGTGGGTTCATTTAATATTAGTTTTATGTGCTTTACAACTTTTGAGAGATGATTATGAATGTTTTTTTCTGCTCTCTCCCCTACTTTTCCTTCTTATGCCAATTTTGATGAATCTATGATTTATGACTGCTTCCACCTATCTTTCCTACACTCCCTCTTTAGCTTAGGTTTTATGCTGACATTTCAGATAATGCAAAATTTCATACTCAGGATTCAGATATAAGTGTCCTTCCTAATGAATTGATAATTTATTAACTTACATTTATATTTATAAGAAAGTAAATACAGAGTTTGAGATATCTTTTTCCTAACAAAGCAAGGTTTACTTATCTTTAGGAGTTGCAGGTGTGGAGTTGAATCCTTAACTTCAACAACAAATTAACATGCAATACTTTGAGATTAAATTAATTTCCATAGGAAGCAACATGAATATGTTGCTAGCAATTCAAATGTTTTAAATGGGATTTTTAATGAATAACTTCAAAGGAATATTTTAGGAGTTACATGAGACTAATCAGTATGATTTGTACTTTTTGCATGTTTTTGGCTCTCCTCTTTACTTAACAAGCTTTAAGGAATTCATGCTCAATATTTTGTCTCCTCTTGATTTCTGCATCAACAATCTCTTTATCTGTTGCAAGCTGCATAAATCAGTACCAGCTAAGTGAGAAGGTATATGGTTTCAGATTATTTAAGGACAGATTCCATTTGTTAGAACTGACTCAAAAAGGGTAAATACTAAGGCTTATAGCAGAATTTAGAAACTTAAAGACTATAATATTCTTCTTCTACAGAAGTTCCTGCTACACGGTGGTGTGGATGGCACAGGCCCAACTGCATTGCTGATGGGCTCTGTTTGGCAGAGCTCACGTTGTCAAAATTTCATTTTTGCCCCTCTGTGTTAATTAGCATTACAGCTTCGAAACACCTACAATCAATTTTCTTCAATCTCTTTTCACTGGAGTGAGGATACCGGGTGTACTTATTAATTTTTTTTACCTTTAATATTCATATTTTAAAATATGGGCCTAATCAGTATAATTCCAATATTAGTTAAATTTTAACTAATATTCTAAAATAAGCACAATCATGACCCCCCTCAGGAACTTACCTATTTGTGAATTGTTTCCAAATAATTCATGCACAAATTTGTTAAAATCATGGGTTACTTCTGCCAGACAATCAGGTTCAGAAGATGAACAAAATAGCTCATCATCTTCATGTTCGTCTTCACGTTTTAAAGTTCCTCCAAATGCCCAAGTAAAGGCAAACACGAAAAGTTTTTTAATCAGTACTGTTAATTTATCGGGATTTTTATCCAGGTACGAAGCACTGTCTTTCCTGAGGTTGATATATATAGAAGGATGAAGGTTAAAAGTTTCAGAAAGTAGTTTAGTAATTTATTTCAATATCATGTCAACATTTCATTATTGACAACTGCAATCCAGTTAAGTATTGACATAAAAGTTTTAGAGTTAATGCATAGTTTTTCTTTGATAAGTAACTTAAATTGTTACTATTTTTAAAGTACCATATATACAAGAGATTTGTAGTCAGCCTTTAATATATACCTTTAATTAATATTTAACATGTACATATATCTTTATATCTTTACTTAATATGTTTAATATATTTTATCTAATATGTGTACACATATATTTAATATATGTATGTGTTTCACTTGTAACTCAATTTATTAACTGAGATTTACTTGTCTTTTGGGAGAAGATCTTACAACTCTTTTTTTTTTTAAGATTTATTTTTCATTTTTTTGAAAGACAGTTACAGAGAGAGGCAAAGACAGAGAGAGAGGTCTTCCATCCACTGGTTCACTCCCCAGATGGCCACAATGGCCGGAGGTGTGCCAATCCAAATCCAGGAGCCAAGAGCTTCTTCCAGGTCTCACACATGGGCGCAGGGGCCCAAGGACTTGGGCCATGTTCTGCTTTCCCAGGCCATAGCAGAGAGCTGGATTGGAAAAGGAGCAGCCGGGACTAGAACTGGCACCCATATGGGATGTTGGCGCTACAGGCCAGGGGTTTTAACCCACTGTGCCACAGCACCGGCCCCTCAGTTCTTCATTTTATATAGAAAGATATAGGTGAGTAGCTATTCCCTCCATAATTCCTCTCAACCAAGTCCTAGAGGTTGACTTAGATTAATCTCACTAACCCCAGGTGGTATGGATTTGGAGTTTTCTCCAGCCTGGGTCAACCCAGGTCATCACAAGTTATTGGGATCAGTGATAGGGTAGCTGTGATGCTGCTGAATGAGAGGTTTGGACCTGATCTGAAGATATATTTCATAGGTTAGGATTTAGCATTATCATAAAATTATTTATAAATTATGAAAAACCTAAGAATAGATAGAGGAACTGAAACTTATTATCAATGATTAAGCTACAGTGCACAATTCTATCTGAAAATTCTAGCCACGTGCAATAGTCTCTTCAGTAAGTATTTATGGAATACCTGTTATATATTTTGTGTGCTCTGAACACAACAGACACAACCCCTTTTTCACAGGACAAGAAAATTAACACTAAACCATGATAACTCCAACAAAGATCAAGCAAACAGCAGGGATAATGAATTTAGACTGCAGGAGTCATGGTGGCAACAGAATAACTGAATCAGCAACAGATACACTGAGACCCAGAGAATGAATGATTCTGGAAAAATTAGGAGAAAGAGTATTTTGAGTAGAAGGAATACATGCGCCAAGAAGTCCAAAGGACCATGAGTATTTTGAGGAACTGGAAAACAGAAAAAGCCATTGTCCCTGAAGCCCAGTTAGAGGAAGAGATTAAGAAATCAGTCTGCAGAGTAGGCGGGGCTTTTAAAGCTGTGCCAAGATGTCTTTCCTTCCATTCTGCATGTAACAAGACATCTTTAAATGTGTCAATAAAAAGGGAACATCCTGACTATGTTTTTAAAAGACCAAACTCTTGCATACAAGTACTAGGAAGCATGTAAAAGCATTTTAACCACAGTATTATTTGTAACAACAAAACAGGGCAAACAAACTAAATTTTTATTCATGGATAAACTGTGATGTGTGTATTCTATATGGACTGTTAGCAGTGGAAACAGATGAAGATTAGCTCTGTTCAGCACGGACCAATCATAGGGACATAACACTCAACAAAAACACAAGTCACTGATATAATGTTCAAAAATAAAAAACTGAAAAAATATATTACTTGGGAATATATGAATCCATACAAGATCCAGGATAATAGCTACCGTAGATGATGTATGACTTAGTAGCGCGCATACGAAAGGGACTTAAAAAATAAAATGCTTTTTTATTAAGTGAATGGCGTGCACATGGTTATTTATGGTGTTATTTATAAATTATGCTTATTTTATAAATAGTATGACTAACCACTATTTGCTGAACAGTGAAACTAATCTCTAGTTATTATGTTGAGAATGGATTGGAAGAATTGGGGAAATCAATTAGGAGGCTATTTCAAAGGTACAGGTAAGAAATGGTCAAATTTTGGGTTAGGATACCATAATGAAGATGTGGATAAGTGAGTGGATTTGAAGGCAGAAATGACAGGTAGAGGGGAAACCATATTTAGACTCAAAATGAGATGTGGGAAGGACCCAACAGTCACTCTTGTTTCCTACAAAATGGCAGAAAAAATGTACTCACAGAACTAATAGTTTCCATAGCTATAATTTGTGGTTCAATATTTCACAGCTGGTAAGTGACAGATTCATAAAAAAGTTCAAACCAATTTTATTACTTTCTCAAATACATACATTGGCTGGACAAATGCATTCACATAAAACTTAGCATAAAAATGTGATTATCTCATATTAGCTATGCAAATGACCCCGAAGTGGGGTAGAATGAATTTAGGTGGATCTTGATAATATGAAGTCGCAATAGTATTGGTATAGTCAAGTACGGTGTACGGTCAAGTAATCCTGGGCCTGTTTTGGGCACCTAGTGGGTACCGAAACATGTTTACTAACAAATGTAACTAACCTTTTTTCTGTATCCTTGAGTTTGGTAGAGATATTCGAAGAACTTCTTTTCCTAGTTAACTTGTCATTCAAATCATAAGCTTAAAAAGAAGAGTGTTTTTCCACAATTAACAACAGACTTAAGTTTAGGTGGTTAACGAGGCATAACTTAACTTTGCTGAGTTAATGCACTGTCACAGAGAACAGCCTTGTTTCATACATTATCAGATCATGGTGGGAGTTACTTTTCTAGACAAAAGAGGAGCAGAGAATATTCTTATATGATCCCTATTTATTTGCAGTGTAAAACTGCATACTTTTATTCTTCATTTCTTTTTGGGGTGTTTGTTTTTCTAAAATGCAATCTAGTTTAAAACATTCAAGTGACTACTTCCAAAGATGGTGCACATTACAAACTAAACAATGCAGTGAAGCATTAAAACGAAAAGCTGCACGCTTTCAAGTAAGAAATTAATCACAGCAAACACTCAACACTGTAGGCAGACTGTGCCTTCCTCCCCCGTTCACACCGTCCATCCTCACTGCCCGAGTCATTCATCCCACAGAGGAACACAAAGAGAAAATGATTATGCATTTTCCATTTAGCTTACTTTTCTTTCATAACATTCATTTTCTTAATATTAAAGTGTTTCTTGTAGAACATTCAAAAAAGTATACAGAAGAAAATAACCATACTTCTACCATCCACAAGATAATAGCCATTAAATACTGGCATATTACTTTATGATGTTTTATATAAAGACTTACACATAAGTACATGACATTCTCAAATTCAAACTTAAAAAATTAAAAGTCTTATGCTCTTGCCTTACCTTTTTACTTTAAGCCTGTCTTCTTCATGTCATTCAAAATCCTCTGAAATATGATTTTGCTATAACATTATTTATGAAGTTGTTGGAATTTAGGTTCTTGTTTTTATGATTACAAAAAGTCTGCTCCAAACAAACCCCCTGGGAACTCCTAGATGGCCAATTAGACAGGCATACACACCTCCATGCACACCCATCTTCTTCACAGAAGAAGTGAATATTCACAGTGAATAACTGCGTTTCAAGGTGACTGCGCCAGGGAGAACATTGACACTCAGCCAGGAAGACATGGGGATCCAGGAGGACTTGGAGACTGGGGATGGCAGCAGAGAGAGAGGAACACAGCCCACTGATAACCAAGCACCTGTCTTACACGTGACAGGAGGCCGTCCCCATTGTAGGCAAAGGATAAAGGGGAGAGCCCCAGCTGGCCCCATCTCCCACTTGCAGAGACTGGGTGCTGGCAGTCCCAGCCACAGGAGTTGTCACAGACTTGGAGCCCAGTAAGGGGTGCTACCTTCGGTAGCACAGAGGCCTGGCCTCAAAGAAGGAACTCATGTCTTCCCCCTACCCCTGGAGAACAGACTGCAGCAGGAATGCATGTTTTCCACAGGGACACAAGCTCCTCTCCATCCCCTGGGGTCCCACAGCTATTCTGCCACACCAGCGTCCTCAGGAACCCAAGGAGATCCAGCAGCAAGAGCCAGCACCCTAGCCCCAGCAGTGCCCTGCTCTACAGGAACTGGTGGTTCAGCACAGCAGGTGGGGATCCTGCCCCCCAGGGCCTCAGAAGCGGGGACGCTTGTCCCTGGGGGTGTGGACATCCCTGGTGGCCCCTGCTCCCTGGCACTGGAGCAGTACACCCCACTGGGTACCACACACTCCAACCACATCCCTGCTGAACTGCACTTTAAGAGGGAATTATTGGCCGGCGCCGCGGCTCACTAGGCTAATCCTCCACCTTGCAGCGCCGGCACACCGGGTTCTAGTCCCGGTTGGGGCGCCGGATTCTGTCCCGGTTGCCCCTCTTCCAGGCCAGCTCTCTGCTGTGGCCAGGGAGTGCAGTGGAGGATGGCCCAAGTGCTTGGGCCCTGCACCTCATGGGAGACCAGGAGAAGCACCTGGCTCCTGCCATCGGATCAGCACGGTGCGCCGGCTGCGGTGCGCCGGCCGCAGCGCGCCGACCACGGCGGCCATTGGAGGGTGAACCAACGGCAAAGGAAGACCTTTCTCTCTGTCTCTCTCTCTCTCACTGTCCACTCTGCCTGTCAAAAAAAAAAAAGGGGGGGGGGAATTATTAATCCAAAAATTGTACTTTGGAAATTTATATTTATTAAATAAAAGTTGAAAAAAAAAAAGAGGGAATTATTAAAGGTAGAAAGAGAGAGACAGAGAGAATGATCTTCCATCTGCTGGTTCACTTCCTGTATGTCCACAACCACCAGGGAGAGGCCGTGCTAAAGCTAGGCATCGGGAACTCAATCTTAGTCTCCCACATTGCTGGCAGGGACCCAAGTACTTGAGCCATCGTCTGCTGCTCACATTAGCAGGAAGCTGGATGGGAAGTGGAGGAGCTGGGATGTGAAGCAAGCACTCTGATTTAACCGTTGGGACAAATGTCTATCAGTGCCCCACACTCATGCTGGATTGCAGCAGGGTTCTACTCTGACTCCAGCCATGCCCCTGGCACCAGGAAGCCAGTGCGACCCCTCCAGGAAGCCGGGCCAGTACTCCCATGACCTCAGTCACTGAGGACTGGAACGTCCAGAACCCTAGCTCTGCCCCTCAAGCCACCACCTGGACCTGCACACCACTGGTGGGACTGAGAAGAGTGTCCCATGCTCCTGCCATGAGTTACAACAGAAGACAGAGCCTACACTATAGTGCCCAACTGGGACTGAAGCCAAAGTAGCCCACCAAGCTGACACTCAAAGACGAAGCCTTTTACAACAAAAGCCACCCTTCAAAAGTGCCAGAGGTAACCGATATGCCTGATGCACAGCTCTCAAAGAAGGAACAGAAGAAGGATGAAAAAGCAAGATACTAAGATGCCTCCGAGGGGGCACAGGAACACTTTAGTAACAGGCTCCAAAGAGAAGGAGACTGACGGAATGCCCAATCAAGAATCCCTAAGGATGATTAGAAGGACACTCAAAGAGCTACAAAAGAACACAAGAAGTTCAGTGAAATTAGGAAAACAATGCCATGCTATGAATGAGAAATTCAGCAGAGAGACAGATGTCCTGTAAAAGAGCTCAACAGAAATCTTTTTGCAGGCCTCAAGCTGGCAACCTAAACGGAGATGTGAAGGAGCCACCACTTCCACATCCCTAAGGATTCTTTACCCTCATTTTCCTGATGACCCTTCAGCACGTATGTATGATAATAGTTCACTCTTACTGATAAGTTGTTTTCAGTTGTTCCATGTGCATATTTGCCATTCGGCCAAATAGACTGAAAATTCTTGGCCTTCCTTTTTCTATTTCCTTTTATAAAATTCAATACCAGGTGCTACATTACCACTGACTAGCTATGATATACCATTAACATGACTTTAAAAACTCACTTTCTCCAAATCTTTCATTTTTACTCATCAAGTCGAAGAAAGCATCAAGAATCCTGCAGAGGGTTGTGACGATTGTCAGGTCCTGTACGGGAATCGGCTGAAATTTCTGATGCTTCTTTATAAATTGGAGCCCATGTGTGACACTTTCATTAATCATAAATTCAAGACAACTCACTCCTGATTGATTTACAACTTTGGAAGTTTTCAAAAGCCACGACTTAACATAAGGCTCCCATCCCAGATCAACAGGATCCTGTTAATAAAAGGCACAGGGTAACTGTATGTAAATAAACTAAAATGCTATGACCCTCCTTGCTTCTTACGATTCCTTTACATCACCGTGGTCCCTGCCAAATATGGCTTACAACGATCACTCATTAAAGCGCCAATGCTCAAAAACAACTGAAAGAATCACCATTTTCTGGAATGATTTTTCACTCTGATCTTACAGCAAGCAAGCAACAGGGGGGCTTCGTGTAGGGAGGTGTGTTGAGGCCATAGGTACATGGTGAGGGGAGCTGCTCACCAGAAGTCAGCCCTGTATGGATGAGCTTTACAGTCAAGTGGATTAGAGCATAGCACTCATGGCTAATCATTTCAGGTATAGAAAACACGTCTTTGTCATGTCTTCTACCTCTTCACAACTTTATTGATAATGTGTTTCCCAAATCCTAAGACTCATGGATTGAGGAAGGAAATGTCTCAGAGCAAATTTTCTGATATTGGGAAAATAATTCACAGCAACAGTCTAGTCTGTCTACAGAAAGCACTACTTACATTGGGCAAACAGTGGACACCCCGTGACTGAGGTGGTATTTCTATTCATATTGCATTCATGTTCAATTCTGGATTGTGAGGCTCTGGGGGACACAAAACTTCTCAACTACTGGGCTCACTCTACTGGATCCAGAAGGGAAAATAAAATAAACATGAACATCCTGTAGATAACGACTGGTTACTATCTTGAACAACACATTTTCTTTGAAAGGAATCTGGATCTGGTTTAAGAAAAAAAAAAAAAACTTACCATGTACACCATTGTACATCGGCTGACTGTAGCAGGACTGGCCTGAGAGAGATTGTCCACCTCAAAAATCACTCTGATTCTGTTAGTTAAAGCTATTCTCTCACTGTTTGCCAGGCACAGCATTCTCGTGTCATCTAGCACAGAGTTTAGATTTTCTACCCACAAGGCATCCACTGGACCATCGAAGACAATCCATTGCCAATCAAAATCTAGAAAGAAAAATATTTTTAATGTAACTGAAAATACTCCGTCTTCTTTCAATAAAATCTTTCAAATTTTCTGCTTTGTTTACAAGAGATTTTCCAAGGTGAAAAATGATATTCTTGAAAAGAGTAGAGCAAAAATGCTTATATGTATCTTTAATATTTATCAGATATGAATAAATATTCATACTAAGCACTTAGTCAAGCTTTCAGTATTGTTGAGACATTCTTAGTTTAATGACATAATCTCCATGATTTTGTAATAACATGGTTGTGAGTTTGCCCCTTCCACCCAGCTACAGTTTTTAGATTTGCTGCTTCTGGGGAGTAGCAAAGGGAAACAGACACCCTTGGAAGAAAGAATCAAAGAGACAGAACTTAGAGTGTATCACACTTGGAACCCATTTACTTATTCCATACTGCTGCAGTCTGTACGAGCTGCTTCAAAACCACAGGAAGCTCTTTCTCACAGTTCTGAAGGCTCTGAAGTGCACAGTCAAGGATCAGTGTGGGGGCCGTCGACTCGGTTCACGGAAGGGCAGCTCCTTGTTGTGTCTCACACTGTGGAAGGGGCCCTTTTGTCTGTCCTTACTTCCTCCTCCCTCATCTGTCCATCTGTCTCTCTTTGCATTTGAAAGGGAGAGAGAGAGAGAGAGAGAGAGAGAGAGAGAGAGAGACTGACTCCCCAAATGCCTGCGACAGCCGGGGCTGGGCCGGGCTGAAGCCAGGGGTCCAAGAACTCCATCTGGGTCTCCCACATGGGAGGCAGGGACTCAACGTATGTGAGTGCGTGAGCCAGGGTGTGCTTTAGCAGGAAGCTGTACTGGAAGTGCAGTCACCAGGACTCAAATCAGGAGCTCCCAGGTGGGATATGGCCTTCCCAAGCAGCATCCTAGCCACTAGTGCATACGTCTACCCCTCTCCAGGCCCCTTTCCAATGAGAACACTAATCTCATTCATGAGGGCTGCATGCTTGACAGAACCACTTCCTACAGGCCCCATCTCTTAACACTACTACCTTGGAAGTGGCATTTCAACATGTAAATATTCAGACCACAGCAATCCTCTACACCCACTGCCTGCAATATCATTTTGGAAAATTACTAGGACAGGAGAGGTGTGAATAGGTCATCATGCAGACAGAAAACAGTTAACTGCCTAACAGACTGAAAGACACTGATGTGTGCAAAGACTTGGAAGGTGGAGCTACGATCCATAAGGCCACCACACCTGAGATGGCTCCCACTGGCTGAAACATCTGCCTAGGGATTCTCTCAGAGCCTCCCAGGGGAAGCCTATGCCCAGTCACTGTACTCTCCCAAACATGTCCTAGACAACGTCAGGGAGGAGCTGCAGCAGCAGAAGACTCTTGCAAAGTAGACATCATACAGGTACTACTGCTGGAGGTTGATCTGAGGCTCAACCTGGAGAAAAGCAGCAATGCTCAGGGCTCCTCGAGTAGCAGACTGTTAGTTCCTTGTCACAAAGATGCTGTGCCCTGGCCCTTAGCAAGGTGTCTGGCAGAATACAGACTCGCAATGCATTGTAGATGACTCTGTGTGGGCTGTATGATTTAGCTTGGGAATGAACAGACTGTTGGGAGTCTCACTTCAGAGACAAAACTACTGTTGGTCACCACTGCTGCTTTCCACATTATTTCTTATTTCTACCTTTAATATCTGTGTGGCTCTTGTGAGACACTAATGGTCACTTACAAACTCAAGGGCTAATTAAGCCCCAGCTCTTATACATATATACATACATATATATTTATAATACAGGGTATCTGTGGTAGTATTATACACATTATAAATAAACACACAAGGAAAAAGAAATTATATAAGCACAAAATATCACTAGTCAGAAATGTATTTAAATATATGAATATAGTTCATAAGCGTTTGGGTTCAAAGACTATCTTCCATATTAATCATATTCGTGGAGTTTAACAACACTTACTGTGACTTTCTGGTATTTTAACGTGTTTCTCTCTATCTTTCACAATCTTATCATCAGTATCCGCTGTGTCAGAAGAATTTAGATAGAAAACCTAAAATATATAATCAATAATGTTTAGCTTTTTATTTTTATTTGATGACACTTTTCAACTACAAAGGACATAATGCTTTCTTGGGCAATACAAATAGGAAAGGCAAAATGTTCTGTGAAGACCAATACAAAGCCAACATAACGTAACTTAACCGACTTGTGATGGCACATTTTCTTTAAAAAACCAGTTTTAGCTTTTTAACTTCCGCAAAGGATGTAAGCTTGTTATATAATATTCAAATAACACATTTAAACACAAAGAAGAAATCAAAAGTTTTCTGAATTTCTACCACCCACAGACAACTACCAATGACTTTTTGGTGCATATTTTTTCCTAGACTGTTCTTTATATCAATTCTCAAATTTTAGGATACATAAGAATTATCTAAAGTTTGCTAAATAATTGCAGATTCTAAGACTCTATTCTTGGAAATTTTTGAGTAGGTTTTGGATGAAGTCCAGAAATTCACATTTTTTAATATGTGCTAATGGTGATTCTAATATAAGTGGCTCTCACATCACCCTTTGAGAAACTCTGGTGTCTCCAGATGGTCAATTTTAATTATTGGGGGCTTAATTACGTATCTCCCCAGCCCTGCAGAGTAGTATGTCACCAGCTGAGTGGCACTGGTTTCCTTTACCACCAGGGGAAGTGGGGGAGAAGAGCAAACCCTAGAGCTGTGGTGGGGCACACTGCAGGATCTGAGGACAGAAACTGAGCAAGGAGGCTCAGGCTTCACCCAGACCCCAGCAACACAACAGACTGAAGCTGGTTGCTGTTAGTTCCCAACCTCATCAGCAGGTAAGCAAGTTCCAGGCAATTTCCAAAAGAGAGAGTGGGGAGGAGATCTTCCATCCTCCGGTTCATTTCCCAAATGGCCACAAAGGCCAGGGCTGGTCCAGGCCAAACACAGGGGCCCAAAATTCTACCTGGGTCTCCTACATGGGAGCAGGAGCCCAAGTACCTGGAGATGGATCAGAAGCAGACTAGCTGGGATTGGAACATCCGCTTTGATCTGGATCTTATATATGTAGTTACTATTTTCTTCTAATTGTGATTTGCTTTAACTTTGTTTATTGTAACCACTACAAAATTTCTGTATTTACATTCAAATCCTTTTATCTTTTATCTTGATTTTCTATTTTGCTTCATGATTTTGAGGAGTCCAGTCTTAGTTCAGGACTTCCTAGTTCTGAAATATGACTCTAAATAATATGGTATTTTTATAAAATAACTTTATTTTTACATTTGGATTGCTAATTCATCTAGATTTTTACTTGTATGTAGTTCATAAGTTCGTGGTTTCATTATGTTTTTTTCACATAGGAAAATAGCAAATTTTTTCAAGTGGATTAAATAGTGTTTTCCTTGCTGACTGGAAATATTACTGTAATTGTATTTAGACTGCTTTCTATGTCTGAATACGTTTCTGGACTCCAATTGGTTACATTTCTGCATTAGTACCTTACTGGTACTAATAGCACAAAGATTTTCTGTCCAGATTGTCTTGGGCTCTTAGAAATTTATATTTACAAATGAATCTTAAAATCATTTCATCTAAGTTAAAAAGAAAAAACAACCTCTTTGCATTTATAATCAACTGGTCTTCAACACACAATGTGTCCAAAAACACATACCAGGGAAAAAGACACTCACTTCAATAAATGATGCTAGGAAAACTGAGTATCTACATGTTAAAAGACAGAACTCGATTCTCATACCATATAAAGAAAATCAACACAAAATGAATTGAAGACTTATACCTAACACCTCAAACTATAAAGCTACTAGAAAGAAGCATAGGGGAAAAGCTCCAAGATACTGGTTTGGGAGAAGATTTTTGGCCTATGACTCCCAAGGATAGAAAACAAGAGCAAAAATAGATGAATTAGATTATATCCAACTAAAAAGCTTCTGCACAGCAAAGGAAACCACATAGCTGCGAGACGCCCTGCAGAATGGGAGAAAGTATCTGCAAAGCGCACATCTGACGGACGTCCCCATCTCCAACACACATGGAAAATCAACAAAGGATCTGAACAGAACTTCTCAAAGATGACAAATGACCAATAGGTACATGAAATATGCTCAGTTGGGAAATTCAAATCAGAACCACAATGAGATAGGACTTCACGCCTGTTAGAATTACTATTATCAAAATGACAAAAGATAACAACAGATGGCAAGGCTGTGGAGAAAAAGGGAACCCAGGTATAGTGTTAGTGGGAATCTAAGTTATTATAGATGTTATGGAAAGCAGCATGAAGGTTCCTCAAAAATTAAAAACAGAGCTTCTTTATAACCCACATCTTGGTATATATAAAAAGAAATAGAATCAATATGTCAAAGAGACATCTGTACTGTCATGTTCATTGTATCATTACTCACAATAGCCACAATATAGAATCAATCTAATTGTTCATAGAAGGATGAACGAAGAAAGAAAATGTGTATACTGTTCAGCATTTAAAAAGGAAATCTTGACATTCCCAACAAAATGGATAAACCTGGAGGACATTATGCTAAGAGAAATAAGCCAGGCATAGACAGACAGTACATAATTTCACTTACATGTAGAGTCTAAAATAGTGGAACTCACAGAAGCAGAGAGTAGAATGGTGATTGCTAGGACTATGCATAGAGGGATGTTATTGGGGGGAAGCCACTATAATCCATAAGCTGTACTTTGGAAATTTATATTCATTAAATAAAAGTTAAAAAAAAAGAAAATACAAATTGGCTAACTTAAAATAATCATACTATAAATCAAATGACAACAATAAACATGTTATAACCATTTTAAAATTCCTCAGCATTTTTTTGGATTGTTTATAATCTTTCTCTCTTTTAACTGTTAAATTTACTTTTTTTTTTTTTTTTTTTTTTTTGACAGGCAGAGTGGACAGTGAGAGAGAGAGACAGAGAGAAAGGTCTTCCTTTGCCGTTGGTTCACCCTCCAATGGCCGCCATGGTCGGTGCGCTGCGGCCGGCGCACCGCGCTGATCTGATGGCAGGAGCCAGGAGCCAGGTGCTTTTCCTGGTCTCCCATGGGGTGCAGGGCCTAAGCACCTGGGCCATCCTCCACTGCACTCCCTGGCCACAGCAGAGAGCTGGCCTGGAAGAGGGGCAACCGGGACAGAATCTGGCGCCCCAACCGGGACTAGAACCCGGTGTGCCGGCGCCGCTAGGCGGAGGATTAGCCTAGTGAGCCGCAGCACTGGCCCTAAATTTACTTTTATACCAATGGATAACTAACGTTTTAATAGCAATTTTTGATAAGCATTTAGATAATACACATTAGTTGGATAAAAATACACATCCTAAACTTACATTACACAAATCTGAGATTTTTGACGTTAGTCCAAGATCAGTGTTAAGACATACATAACTTCGAATTGTTGCTGATAATAATCCATCAGTCCATTCCATAGTATTAGGATCCAGTCGCCCATACAGTTCATCAAGAGTGATACATTTTGGATTTAAAACAGAGACATCTATTTTTCCTTTTTTTCCTGGAATCTGGGAGAAATCCAGTGTAGATTTTAAATATATCAATTCATAGTACAACTATTTAATTGTTTGCATTGTTTTTTATCAAAGAGCTTTTCATGTCAAGGACAGACTCTTTGTAAAGGTGGCAATTTGCAACAAACAGTAAAACTTGACTTATTATTAAAATTAGCTATAATACACACATCATTATTTAAAAATTTTGTAACTTCTACAGACTGTATCCCCAGAAAAAAACAGGGGAGGGTGTAATCCCATTGTGCCACATCTAGCAGCACAGTACATGAACTAGTAGCAGGACATGCTTTTAAGCTTCAGGTCAAAATTGGCAACCAACCAAATCATAATTATAACATTTTACCCATCTGAATACTGCCTGAAGAACTGGTCTTTGGGTCCTTCTAAGGCAGATCTCGGTAGGAAAAGAGGCAGCACTTCTGCAGTAAAACTACAGACTCAGTGAACCCTGGGCCAAGGGATTACAGGTAGAGATGTACAACAGACCACTGATGGCCTCAGAGATTAGTGGAGTGGGAATCTTTGCAAAATTAAAAAGCATTCAAAATAAACTGGATATATAAAGAATCATGAAAGCCACATACAGTCAAGATACATGTGTGAAAAGATGTGATCAGACCTTAAGCAAGTGATCCCCAGGTTCAGAGTGCTTAATCAGAGATGAACTAATCCAGCACAAAGCAAAGTGTGGGGAGACTGGGAAATGATGTAAGAATAAGTAGGGGATATTATTAGTCAGGAGATAGAAAGTACGAAAATGAAGAAATTATGGACTTGAAAAATGTCATAGCTGAAATGAAAAATTCAACAGAGGCATTCAACAGTAGATTTGAGCAGACAGAAAAAAAGGATCAACAAACTTGAACACAGGGTTGTTGAAATTATCCATTATGAAGAGCAAAAAGAAAGAACAAAAAAAAAATGGAGTTAAGGGGACCTATAAAATATCATACAGTGTTTCAACCTATGAATTACAGAAATTCTAGCTGAAGGAAAAGAGACAAAGAGTAGAAACGCATTTAGAAATACTGGTCAAAAATCTCCCAATTAATGAAAGACATGAAAAACATCCAAAAACAGACACCAAAAACAAAGCAAAGTCAATTAGATCCACATCGAGATAACTGTCAATGGCCAAAGGCAAAGAGAGCATCTTGAAAGCTGTGAGAGAAACCATTCATAACATACAAGGGATCCTCAATGAAATGAAGAGATAATTCTCATCATAGAGCATGCAGCCCAGAAGTCATGGGATGACAAAAAGCTAAAAATAAGGAAAAAACTGTAGAGTAAAAACTCAACGTCTAGCAAAACTGTCCTTGACAAGTGAAGGAGAAACTAAAATAATCTCAGAATGACACAATCTATACAGTTCATTCCTGGGAGGCCTGCACTAGAAGAAATGCTAAAGGGATAAACGATTTAGTGTGAAGCAAAAAAAATGTAAGATAGTAACTGAAAACAGTGTGAAAAGATCTCTGGTTAAGTCAATATACAGCTAAATACAAAAGTGAGTATCATTGTGTTTTTGGCTTTTAACTTCTCTTTTTCTCCTGTATGATTTACAAGATAAATGCATAAATAGTAAAGATAAATCTGTGTTAATGGAAACACAATATATAAATATGGTGTCAATATTTTGTGACAATAACAACACAAAACGGGATGGAACTGGATAGGAGTGGAATCAATTAGGCTACTCAAGCTAAGTTGTGTTGATGCAAACTAGATTGGTATTTACATAGGCTACTGTATATTTGCTTTTTCCCCCCCAGGGTAGGGGTCTTATATAATAGAAATTTACTTGCTCATGGTTCTGGAGATAGAAGTCCAAGGTGAGGTGTCCACAGCCGTGATTTCCCCTGAGGCCTCTCCCAGCTTGTAGGCTGACCGCCTTTCCACTGTGTCCTTATAAGGTCTTCTCTTTGGGCAAGCACACATCTTTGGTGTCTCTCTGTTTCCCAATTTCCTCTTTTTATAAGGACACCAGTCAGATTGGAGTAGGCCCACTCCCAACAGCCTCATCTTAATTTAGTCATCTTTTTAAAGGCTCTATCTTGGGGCCAGCACTGTGGCACAGCGGGTTAATGTTCTGGCTTGAAGTGCCAGCATCCCTTATGGGCGCCAGTTTGAGTCCGGGCTGCTCCACTTCCAATCCAGCTCTCTGCTATAGCCTGGGAAAGCAGTAGAAGGTGGCCCAAGTCCTTGGACCCCTGCACCCATGTGGGAGACCTGGAGGAAGCTCCTGGCTTCAGATCAGTGCAGCTCCAGCCGTTGTGGCCAATTGGGGAGTGAACCATCAGATGGAAGACTTCTCTTTCTTCTTTGCCTCTCCTCTCTCTGTGTAACTCTGACTTTCAAATAAATAAATAAATCTTTTTAAAAAAATAAGTTTCTACCTTAAGGGGCTGCTATGCCACAGTGCTGGCATCCCATATGGGCACTGGTTTGAGTTCCCACTGTTCCACTTCCAATCCAGCTCCCTGCTAATGTGCCTGGGGAAACAGTGGAGGTTGGCCAAAGTCTTTGGGCCCCCACACCCACATGGGAGACCCAGAAGAAGCTCCTGGCTCCAAGCTTCGGATTGGTCAAACTCTGGCCACTGTGGCCATTTAGGAAGTGAACCAGCAAATGGAATCTCTCTCTCTGCCTCTCTGTAACCCTGCCTTTCAAATAAATAATTTTTTTAAAAAGGCTCTATCTTTAAATACAGTCACAATTACCACCAAGGTAACCATTGAGAAAATGACTAAAAACATACAGAAAAAGAAATGGATTAAAACGTTATATTAGAAAAAAACAAACATAATAGAAGCCAATACCAGAATAATCGAGGAACAAAAAAGATACAAGACAGTAAAAATATAATACACCACAATAATAGAACAAATGAAAGAAATCACATGATCATATCAAGAGTCAAAGAAAAACCAAGTGACCACATTTCCTACATTTTCATGATAAAAACATTAAGAAAACTAGGAATAAAAGAGAACTTACTTAACATGGCAAGGGGTATTTTCGTAAAACTCACAGTGAAAATTCATATTCAAGGGTGGAAGACCAAAAGCTTTCTCTCTAACATCAGGAAAAAGACAAGGATTTGCTTTTTCACTACGGCTATTAAACATTGTACTCCTAGGAAGTTCTAGGAAAATACCTAGGAAAAGAAATAAAAGGCAACCAAAAGAAGTCAACTAACTCTATCCCCACATGATTCTCTATATAGAAAATTCCACATCAGTCACAAAAAAGCCTATATTAATGAATTCATCTGCAAACCTGCTGGGTACAAGATCAAAACCCAAGAGTCAGTTGTGTTTCCATACAGCAGCAAAGAGCAATCCAAATAAGAAATTTAAAAAACAATTCCATTTAGAACAGCATCCAAATAATAAAATACCTAGGGATAAATTTAATTAAAGGAAAAAGATTTGTACAATGAAAACTACAAGACATTGCTGAAAGAAATTAAAGTTATAAAAATGGAAAGACATTCCATGTTCATCCTATGGAAAATTTAATATTGTTGAGATGATAATGTTCCCTAGAGTTATATGCAGATTCAATAGAACCCATCATCAAAATCCCAATAGCCTTCTATGCATTAACAGAAAAGCCAGTCTTCTAAGTCATATGGAATTTGCAAGGGATCTTGAGAGCCAAAACAACAATCACCAAGAAAAAAAAGTTGAACTCGCACTTCCCAATTTCAAGCCTTACCATAAAGCTATACAGTAATTATACAGTAATGCAAACATATAAATCCCACCACACACACACACACACACATACAAAGTAATGGAGCAGAACTGTGAGCCAGAAATAAACCCAAACATCTGTGGCAAACCGACTCTCTTTCTTTTTTCTTTTTGACAGGCAGAGTGGACAGTGAGAGAGAGAGACAGAAAGGTCTTCCTTTTGCCGTTGGTTCACCCTCCAATGGCCGCCACGGCCGTCGCGCTGCGGCCGGCGCACCGCGCTGATCCGATGGCAGGAGCCAGGTGCTTCTCCTGGTCTCCCATGCAGGTGCAGGGCCCAAGCACTTGGGCCATCCTCCACTGCACTCCCGGGGCATAGCAGAGAGCTGGCCTGGAAGAGGGGCAACCGGGACAGAATCCGGCGCCCCGACTGGGGCTAGAACCCGGTGTGCCGGCGCCACAGGTAGAGGATTAGCCTAGTGAGCCGCAGCGCCGGCCGGCAAACCGACTTTCAACAAGAATGCCAACACCATCCAATGGGGAAAAGGAGGACTCTAACAAATGCTGCCAGGAGAACAGGATATCCACATGCAAAGGAATCAAGTTAGATATAATATACTCCATTTATGTACTCCACATACAAAAATTAACTCAACATGAATCAATAAGTTAAATATAAGAGCTAAAACTATGAAACTATTTTAGAATCACTGAATTTCACAATGGATTCTAGGGCTTGATACAAAAAGCATAAGCAACAAAGGAAAAAATAAATATGTTTTATCAAAATTAATGACTTGTGCATCAAGGGGCATTATCAAGAAAGGAAAAGACAAGTCACAGACCAGAAAAAAGTATTTACAAATCACATATCTGATAAGAGATTTGTACCCAGAATATGTAAAGAACTCTTACAATTGAATAACCAAAAAAACTATCTCATTTAAAGATAAAGGATATGAATAAACCTGTCTCAAATAAGATACACAAATGGCCAATGAGAATGTGAACAGGAGGGGCCAGCATTGTGGATTTCAGGGTAAACCTGCTGTCTGTGATGCCTGCATCCCATAGAGGCACTGGTTCAAGTCCTGACTGCTCTACTTCCAAGCCAGCTCCTTGCTAAAGTGCCTGGGAAAGCAGTGAAAGATGGCCCAAGTGCTTGGGCCCCTGCACCCATGTGGGAGACTTGAAAAAAGCTCCTGCTTGGGCCCTGTGTTGTCCATCTTGAGAGTGAACCAGCAGATGGGAGATCTCTTTGTCTCACCTCCTCTTTAACTGTATCTTATACATATAAGATAAATAAATAAGTAAATAAATCACTTAAAAATATGAAAAGGGATTAAACATTTGTCATTAAGAAAATGTTTATCAAAACCACAATGGGATACTGCTTCACATCCAGTACAACAAATTAAGAGGGATGGATAACAAGTGTTGGTGAGAAATAGGGAGCGTCAGACATTGCTAATGGCAATGAAAAATGGTACAGTTGTGGAAGATGGTTCAACAGAATTGCTACATGATCCAGCGATTATATTCCTAGGGACAGAACTAGGAGGAATGAAAACACATAGCTACTCAAAAACTCAAACAAATGTGTACTACAGCAATATTCACTAAATGCAAAAAAGCAGAGAGAACCCAAATATTCCTCAAGGATGAACAGATAAATGGTGATGAATGAATAAACCAATATTACATACAATTAAATATCATTCAACTATAAGATAGAATGAAGTACATTCTACAAGTTGCATGAACCGCAGAAACATAAGCTAAGTGAAATAAACTGGACCCAAGGCATCACATACTGCACAAACAAGTAAGTCCATAGAAACAGAGAGCCATTTAATAGTTGCCAGGGAGTGAAAACACAGGAAAACAGAGAATAACTTCTTAATGGAAGAGGGTTTTCCCCTGGGTGATGAAAATGTTTTGAAACTACAGCCAGGTGGTTGTGCAATATTGTATACACACTTAACATCACTGAATTGTGCCCTTTAACACGATTGGTTACATGCTGTGTGAATGTCATCTCGATGCCACCTGGCAGTACGTGGTGAAGTTATCCTCTGCTCCTGGGTACATACACTTTTTAAGGATATACATATATCTTAGGGAATAACGTAAAACCACTAGAGAGGGTTCCTGTGACGAAGAGGGAAAAGAAGCTCAAGCAATAAAATAAATTAAAATTAAAGAGGGTCTTGAACTGACCAATGAGAACAAAGTCCTGACCTAGGGAGGATGACCAAAAGAATTCCATTATCTAAGGTCCTGTCACTGTGTTAGATACGTCCATTGCAATTATATTTTTAACAATGATAATGATTAAGCATGAGGGAACCATTAAATAAATTACAGCGTAATTATAGATACAGAATACAGTCTTTGAAATTATATTTGCATAGAGTTTTTAATGCTATGGGGTTATAATACTAAGTAGAAGTGCCAAGGTTAGAAAAACTGAGATCAATTTAAATGGTTTACAGAACTATTTAAGTTATTTAAAAAACATGCAGTGTGGAAAGATAATCAAATACAGCAAAATATTTCCTTTTAGGTGATTGTTATTTCTGTATTTTTTTAAGATTTATTTATTTATTTGAAAGTCTGTGTTACACAGAGAGGGGAGAGGCAGAGGAGCAGAGAGAAAGAGAGAGAGAGAGAGAGAGAGAGAGAGAGAGAGGTCTTTCATTCACTGGTTTACTCCCCAGATGGCCACAATGGCTAGAGCTGTGCCTATCTGAAGCCAGGAGCAAGGAGCCTCCTCCAGGTCTTCCACGAGGGCTCAGGAGCCTAGGGAATTGGTCCATCTGCTACTGCTTTCCCAGGCCATAGCAAAGAGCTGGACCAGAAGTGAAGCAGCTGGGACATGAACCAGTGCCCATATGGGATACCAGCACTGCAGGCGGCAGCCTCACCCACTACAGCACAGCACCGGCCCCTATTTCTGTATTTTTTATTTTCCAAATTTCTCACATACCATATTTGTACTTTGTTTTTTAAAAAATGTATTTGAGAGGGAGTGAGGGAGAGAGGGAAACGCGCAGAGAGGGAGAGTGGGATAGAGAGAGAGAGAGTAAGAGGGTGAGAGTAGAGGGAGGGAGAGGGAGAGAGGGAGAGGGAGGGAGAGGGAGAGAGGGGGAGGGAGGGAGAGGGAGAGGGAGAAAGAGGGAGAGAGGGAGGGAGAGGGAGAGAGGGGGAGGGAGAGGGAGAAAGAGGGAGAGAGGGAGAGAGGGGAAGAGGGAGAGAGGGAGAGGTAGAGAGGGAGAGAGGGAGAGAGGGGGAGAGGGAGAGAGGGGGAGAGGTGGAGAGGGAGAGAGGGAGAGAGGGAGAGGGGGAAGAGGGAGAGGGAGACGGGGAGAGAGGGAGGGAGGGAGAGGGAGAGGGAGAGGTAGAGAGGGAGAAAGGGAGAGGGGGAGAGGGGGAGAGGGGGAGATCTCCCATCTGCTGGCTTGCTCCTCAGATGCTCTCAAAGCCTGTAGGGTTGAGTTAGGGCTGAGCTGGGGCTGCAGCCACAAGGGTGGCAGGGACCCTGTGACTTGAGTCATCGCCTGCTGCTTCGCAGGGTCTGTACTGGTGGAAAGCTGGAACTGCGAGCGAGAGTCAGGAATTAAACTCAGGTAGTTTAATGTGGGATGCCAGCATCTTAACTGCTCAGCCAAACTCCCATCTCTAACTGCTTTTAATAAGATGAATTAATGCCCATGACATTGTTGTGAGGATTAAATGTGATAAGTAAAAGTCTCTTCTTGGCCTATATTTAGTAATCCATAATCCATAAATATTAAGTGGCTATTACTTCTCTAATAATTCACCTTATTATTACAATAATTGCTTAAGGGCCAACTGGGATCTGATGCAAAGGGGAGCCGTTCAGATATAAAAAAAGAATTGTGAACTGGGGCCGGCATTGTGGCACAGCACATAAAGCCATCTCCCTGTGAAGCTGGCACCCCACATGGGTGCCTGTTTGTGTCCGGGCTGCTCCACTTTTGACCCAGCTCCCTACTAATGGCCTGGGAAAAGCAGCGAAAAATGATCAAGTGCTTGAGCCCCTGCCATCCAAGTGGGAGATCCAGATGAAGCTCCTGCCTCCTGGCTTCGGCCTGGCCCAGCCCTGGCTTTTACAGTCATCTGGGGAATGAACCAGTGGATGGAAGATCTTCTCCTCTTTCTCTGTAACTCTTTCAAATAAATAAATAAATAAATAAATCTTTTTAAAAAATTGTAAACCATTGCATGTATGATATTAAAGGAAGATTTTTTATGCTAACTAAAAAAAATCCATAACCAAAAGCCTGACTTTCTAAGATTTTGCAATACATTTTCCAACAATAAATCTTTAAATAAGATAATTGAAGTATACTATTTACTGGAATTTATATTGAATGAAAATATATCACGACTAAGTAGGAACATAGTAAATCTATTAACTTATCACATTAATCAGTTAAAAGATCAAAAAAAGATGCCAAAAATCATTTGATAAATTCTAATAGTCAAAAGCTAAAGAATGGGAATAGAAATATCCAAATTATGATAAAGAACACTTACTACAGACTATGACCAAACATCTCATTAAATGCAGAAATATTAATTGCATTCCTGATAAGTTAAGAAACAAATATTCCAGTTAACCTTGACTAGTGGGAGTAAATCAATTCAATAAGACAAGAATATGAGTTACATATATTGGAAATAAAATTATTTTTATCTGAAGATGACTCAATTAATACCTAGAAAATTAAACAGTAAGGTGGGTAGATATGAAATAAATATATAATAGTTTTATTTTATACCTGATATAAACAGTTTGAGATTTGAATTAAAAAATTCCACTCATTACAATAACTAAAAAATTCCTAGCAATAAACTGAATACCTATGTAAGGAGAACACAAAATTTCAACTGAAGCAGAAAGAATGAATGGAGAAACACTTCAGTAGATCACTTACCTTTGAGGCAGATTCTCTTTCTGTAAGTGATAAGAAGTCCGCAACTGGCAACAGCAGCAATGCCTTTTCTAAGATTCTTCTGATTGTCGTCTTTCCCCCACCTGTTGGGCCCACCACCATCACACCAACACACACCTAAAACACAATTTACAGACGTATCCATTCATAAACTGTTCTAAAGTTGATTTACAAATGTATCCTTGCCTCCACCAATGGACTGATTCTTCCTTCAAATTATTCTTCATTCTATCATTATTTGGCTTCTGCTTTTACTGACTAGGTTAATGCTAAAATCACCAGGAAAAAAAAAAGTGGATCAATGAGAGGTAAGTATCGCTGGGAGACAACTTTTAATGGTGGCTGGCATTTCTACACAACTTCTCAGCCAAGGCTTTGGCAGCTCTGTTCAGGACAATCTTCTCAAGGATGACTGTAAACAGTTCTGGAAGACATGGATAGCATCTCCTTTCAGGATAAAGCACAAGTTCACTTGAAATCCAGAGTAATACAAAACAAACCCAGCCAAACCCAAATATCTCTTTCATTGAGAAAAGTTGGGCACTGTGGTGCCAGTCCTCCTATGAGCTCAGGGTGCTTCTCATGTGACACAGCTTACCACGTGGGCAGTGTACTGGGCCCTCGTGTTCCCCCATGGGTTTTGGGGAACTGACACATAGTATGTTACTCTGCCTACCGCTATCTCTGTAGAACTGCTCTGCGTTTCTGACCCAGGAGTCCAGCTTCTTCTACCGGAATGAACTCTGGCAGGCTAACTCCTTTGCTTATAAGCAGAGTAGAATCTTGATGAATATGTGCATGGAGGAAAAGATGTGTTACCCTAAGGTATAAACTATTGTTACAATTATTAATTTAATTCTATCTCAAAACCTGAAGAGCACTTTTTGATAGATGTCAACAGGCTGACTCTAAAAACCCTGACAAAGAGAAGGGGTCAAAAACAGTTCAGAAAGTTTCGAAAATAACAAAGGTAGAAGATTGGCATCATCAGATATAAGGAATTGCTACAGGGGCCGGCGCTGTGGCGCAGTGGGTTAACGCCCTGGCCTGAAGCGCCGGCATCCCATATGGGTGCCAGTTCTTGTCCTGGCTACTCCTCTTCTGGTCCGGCTCTCTGCTATGGCCTGGGAAAGCAGTGGAAGAGGGCCCAAGTCCTTGGGCCCCTGCACCCAAGTGGGAGACCTGGAGGAGGTTCCTGGATCCTGGCTTTGGATCGGTGCAGCTCCGACCGTTGCAGCCCATTGGGAAGTGAACCAGTGGATGGAAGACCTCTCTCTCTCTCTCTGCCTCCCCTCTCTCCTTGTAACTCTGACTTTCAAATAAATAAATAAATAAATCTTTTTTTAAAAAAAAGACTTGCCACAAAGCTATAATAATGAAGACTCTGTGATATAGGTACAGAAGAAAGAAACAGATTAAAAGGATAAAATATAAAGGAAATCAACCCTAGCAGATGTGAAAACTTGGTATTATGATAGAAGTAGCTCATCAGTGAGAAAAGGTTGGGAAAAATTGTTATTCATATGGGGAAAAATAGATCCTTACCTGACATCTTAAAGAAAAATAAACTCGGAGAGCAGTGACGCCCAGGTCTCCAAGTCCACACAACGGCGCTGGAAGGGGAGGTGAGCTCAGTAACCTGAGACATTGGTGGGGAAATAGCGGACAGAATCTAGAGGGAAGCAGGCTTGAGGCGGGAAAGTTCACCAGACTGACTACAGGAGAGAAGGAAAAAAAAAAAAAAGGTGTGTGTGGGGGGGTACTGGTACAGAGGAGTTTCTCTCTCCGCCAACCTTGCAAAGGCGAGCAAGAGACAAAGAGCAGGCCCCACTCTGGATATACATAACAAAAGGGTAGAGCTAAGGAACTGAGGCGCTACAATTCAGTAGCCTAGGCAACCCAGTGGGAGTCCGCAGGAGAAACTGAGCCCGCACAGACTCTTTGGGTAGAAGCCAGAGATCGGAAGCTAAATACCATCAATTCTGCTCAGCTGTGCAGTATTACTTACCTCCTGAATAAAAAATAAAATAAATAAAGAGAGATTTACCACGCATAACCTGAGGGTGTCACCTTTGCACACCCGTAACCCGGAAGAACCAAGCAGAGCTCTCAGGCCACACCCATCTCAAGCCTCCAAGGCTCCTCCAACAGCAGACAGTCCACTTAACACAGACACAGTATATAAAAAAAAAACCCTCACAGTGAGGGAAGAAGAATTAACAATACCAAGCAACAAACACAAAAATCGAGGGAACAAGATCAATGATGACACTATGATGCCTCCAAATAAACAAAACACCCCAAGCCAAGATTATGAAGACGATGAGATAGAAGAAATGCAAGATACGGATTTCAAAAAATTTATGATAAGAACATTTAGAAGTTTTCAAAAGCAAAAGCAAATCCTTGAACTACAGAAATCCTTATTGGACAGGATTGAAAATCTCTCTCGTGAATGAAATTTTAAGGAAGAATCAACATGAAACGCAGAAACTAGTAGAACAGGAAAGTGTGATAGTGAAGAGAAATCAAAATGAAATGAAGAGCTCAATAGATCAAATGACAAACACATTAGAAAGTCTAAAAAACAGAGTCAGTGAAACAGAAGAGAGAATATCAGACTTAGAAGACAGAGCACAGGAAAACATACAGTCAAACCAAAGAAAAGAAGAGGAAATTAGAAATCTAAAAAATATTGTTGGGAATCTACAGGATACTATTAAAAAACCCAACATTTGAGTTCTAGGAGTTCCTGAAGGCATGGAGAGGGAGAAAGGATTAGAAGGCCTTTTTAGTGAGATACTAGCAGAGAACTTTCCGGGTTTGGAGAAGGACAGAGACATCCTAGTACAGGAAGCACATAGAACCCCTAGTAAACATGATCAAAAGAGATCCTCACCACGACACGTGGTAATTAAACTCACCACAGTGAAACATTAAGAAAAGATCCTAAAATGTGTGAGAGAGAAACGTCAGATTACTCTCAGAGGATCTCCAATTAGACTCACAGCTGACTTCTCATCAGAAACACTACAGGCTAGGAGGGAATGGCGAGACATAGCACAGGTGCTAAGAGAGAAAAATTGCCAGCCCAGAATATTATTTCCTGCTAAGCTCTCATTTGTGAATGAAAGTGAAATAAAGACCTTTCATAGCAAACAGAAATTGAAAGAGTTTGCCACCACTCGTCCAGCCCTGCAAAAGATACTTAAAGATGTGCTATACTCAGAAACACAGAAACACGGCCATCAATATGAAAAAAGGTAAAGGAAGAACACCTACCAGTAAAAGAGCATAGGAAGCTCAAAGCATATACTAGAAAATATCTCCAGGAAAATGGCAGGGCAAAGTCACTATGTATCAATAGTCACATTAAATATTAATGGACTTAACTCTTCTGTTAATAGGTACAGACTGGCTGAATGGATTAAGGAACAAAACCCAACTATTTGCTGCCTACAAGAAACACATCTCTCTAACAAAGATGCATGCAGACTGAAAGTGAAAGGTTGGAAAAAGATATTCCATGCCAACAGAAACCAAAAAAAGCAGGTGTAGCCATATTAATATCAGACAAAATAAACTTTAATACAAAAACTGTTAAGAGAGACAAAGAGGGGCACTATATAATGATTAAGGGTTCAATTCAACAGGAAGATGTAACTATTATAAATGTATATGCACCTAATTACAGGGCACTGGTTTATTTAAAAGATATGTTAAGGGACTTAAAGGGAGACTTAGATTCCATTACAATAGTACTGGGGGATTTCAATACTCCACTCTCAGAAATAGACAGATCATCCAGACAGAAGATCAACAAGGAAACAGCAGATTTAATCGACACTATTGCCCAAATGGATCTAACAGATATCTACAGAACTTTCAATCCTACATCTACAGACTTCACATTCTTCTCAGCAGTGCATGGAACCTTCTCTAGGATTGATTACATACTAGGCCATAAAGCAAGTCTCAGCAAATTTAAAAGAATTAGAATCATACCATGCAGCTTCTCAGACCACAGCTGAATGAAGCTGGAAATTAGCAAGTCAGGAAACCCTAGAAAGTATGCAAACATATGGAGACTAAACAACATGCTCCTGAATGAACACTAGGTCATTCAAGAAATCAAAAGAGAAATCAAAAACATTCTGAAAAAAAAAAAAACTTTCTGGAAGTAAATGAGGATAACAACACAACATATTAAAACTTATGGGATACGGCAAAAGCAGTATTGAGAGGCAAGTTTATAGCAATGGGTGCCTATATCAAGAAATTGGAAAGGCACCAAATAAATGAGCTTTCAGCGCATCTCAAGGACCTAGAAAAACTGCAGCAAACCAGACCCAAATCTAGTAGGAGAAGAGAAATAATTAAAATCAGAGAAGAAATTAACAGGATTGAATCCAAAAAAAAAAAAACATTACAAAAAATCAGCCAAGCGAAGAGCTGGTTTTTTTTTTTTTTTTTTTGAAGAGCTGGTTTTTTGAAAAAATAAACAAAATTGACACCTCATTGGCCCAACTAACTAAAAAAAAAGAGAAAAGACCAAAATCAATAAAATCAGAGATGAAAAAGGAAATGTAACAACAGACACCACAGAAATAAAAAGAATCATCAGAAATTACAAGGACTTGTATGCCAGCAAACAGGAAAACCTATCAGAAATGGATAGATTCCTGGACACATGCAATCTACCTAAATTGAACTATGAAGACAGAAAGCCTAAATAGACCCATAACTGAAACAGAAATTGAAACAGTAATAAAGGCCCTCCCAACAAAGAAAAGCCCAGGACCAGATGGATTCACTGCTGAATTCTACCAGACATTTAAAGAAGAACTAATTCCATTTCTTCTCAAACTATTCAGAACAATCGAAAAAGATGGAATCCTCCCAAATTCTTTCTATGAAGCCAGCATCACCTTAATCCCTAAGCCAGAGAAAGATGCAGCACTGAAAGAAAATTACAGACCAATATCCCTGATGAACATAGACGCAAAAATCCTCAATAAAATTCTCACCAATAGAATACAACAACACATCGGAAAAATCATCCACCCAGACCAAGTGGGATTTATCCCTGGTATGTAGGGATGGTTCAACATTCGCAAATCAATCAATGTGATACACTATATTAACAGACTGCAGAAGAAAAACCACATGATTACCTCAATAGATGCAGAGAAAGCATTCGATAAAATTCAACACCCTTTCATGATGAAAACTCTAAGCAAATTGGGTATAGAAGGAACATTCCCCAATATAATCAAAGCAATTTATGAAAAACCCACAGCCAACATACTATTGAATGGGGAAAAGTTGGAAGCATTTCCACTGAGATCTCGTTCCAGACAGGGATTCCCACTCTCACCACTGCTATTTAACATAGTTCTGGAAGTTTTAGCCAGAGCCAGACAAGAAAAAGAAATTGAAAGAATACAAATTGAGAAGGAAGAAGTCAAACTATCCCTCTTTGCAGACGATATGATTCTTTACTTAGAGGATCCAAAGAACTCTACTAAGAGACTATTGGAACTCATAGAGGAGTTTGGCAAAGTGGCAGGATATAAAATCAATGCACAAAAATCAACAGCCTTTGTATACACAAGCAATGCCACGGCTGAGAAAGAACTGCTAAGATCAATACCATTCACAATAGCTACAAAAACAATCAAATACCTTGGAATAAACTTAACCAAGGACGTTAAAGATCTCTACGATGAGAATTACAAAACCTTAAAGAAAGAAATAGAAGAGGATACCAAAAAATGGAAAAACTTTCCATGCTCATGGATTAGAAGAATCAACATCATCAAAATGTCCATTCTCCCAAAAGCAATTTATAGATTCAATGCAATACCAATCAAGATACCAAAGACATTCTTCTCAGATCTAGAAAAAATGATGCTGAAATTCATATGGAGGCACAAGAGACCTCGAATAGCTAAAGCAATCTTGTACAACAAAAACAAAGCTGGAGGCATCACAATGCCAGATTTCAGGACATATTATAGGGCATTTGTAATCAAAACAGCATGGTACTGGTACAGAAACAGATGGATAGATCAATGGAACAGAATTGATACACCAGAAATCAACCCAAACATCTACAGCCAACTTATATTTTATTAAGGATCTAAAACCAATTCCTGGAGCAAGGACAGTCTATTCAATAAATGGTGCTGGCAAAACTGGATTTCCACGTGCAGAAGCATGAAGCAAGACCCCTACCTTTCACCTTACACAAAAATCCACTCAGCATGGATTAAAGACCTAAATCTACGACCCGACACCATCAGGTTATTAGAGAACATTGGAGAAACCCTTCAAGATATTGGCACAGGCAAAGAGTTTCTGGAAAAGACCCGGGAGGCACAGGCAGTCAAAGCCAAAATGAACTATTGGGATTGCATCAAATTGAGAAGTTTCTGTACTGCAAAAGAAACTGTCAGGAGAGTGAAGAGACAACCGACAGAATGGGAAAAAATATTTGCAAACTATTCAACAGATAAAGGGTTAATAACCAGAATCCACAAAGAGATCAAGAAACTCCACAAAAACAAAACCAACAACCCACTTAAGAGATGGGCCAAGGACCTCAATAGACATTTTTCAAAAGAGGAAATCCAAATGGCCAACAGGCACATGAAAAAATGTTCAAGGTCACTAGCAATCAGGGAAATGCAAATCAAAACCATAATGAGGTTTCACCTCACCCCGGTTAGAATGGCTCACATTCAGAAGTTACCAACAACAGATGCTGGAGAGGATGTGGGGAAAAAGGGACACTAACCCACTGTTGGTGGGAATGCAAACTGGTCAAGCCACTATGGAAGTCAGTCTGGAGATTCCTCAGAAACCTGAAGATAACCCTACCGTTCAACCCAGCCATCCCACTCCTTGGAATTTACCTAAAGGAAATTAAATTGGCAAACAAAAAAGTGGTCTGCACCCTAATGTTTATTGCAGCTCAATTCACAATAGCCAAGACCTGGAACCCACCTAAATGCCCATCAACGATAGACTGGATAAAGAAATTATGGGATATGTACTCTTTAGAATACTATACCGCAGTAAAAAAACAATGAAATCCGGTCATTTACAACAAAATGGAGGAATCTGGAACACATCATGCTGAGTGAATTAAGCCAGTCCCAAAGGGACAAATATCATATGTTCTCCCTGATTGGTGACAACTGACTGAACACCAAAGGGGAAACGTGCTGAAGTGAAATGGACACTATGAGAAATGGTGACTTGATCAGCATAGCCCTGACTTTTAATGAACAACTTAATACATTATCCCTCTTAGTAGTTTTTTTGTCTGTTCTACTTAATACTACTGGTTTAATTCTGTAATTAATACACAGTTATTCTTAAGTGTTAAAAATTAACTGAAATGTGATCCCTGTTAAACATAAGAATGGGAATAAGAGAGGGAAGAGATGTATAATTTGGGACATGCTCAAGCTGACTTGCCCCAAATGGTAGAGTTAGAAACATACCAGAGGATTCCAATTCAATCCCATCAAGGTGGCATGTACCAATGCCATCTCACTATTCCAAGTGATCAATTTCAGTTCACAATTGATCATAATGAAAGGACTAAGAGTCAAAGGGAGCACATAAACAAGTCTAGTACCTGCTAACACTAACCGATAGAATAAATAAAGGGGAGAGTGGTCCAACATGGGAAGTGAGATACTCAGCAGACTCATAGAATGGCAGATGTCCTAAATAGCACTCTGGCCTCAGAATCAGCCCTAAAGGCATTCGGATCTGGCTGAAAAGCCCATGAGAGTATTTCAGGCATGGAAAGCCAAGACACTCTGGCAAAAGATCTCTGTGAGTGAGATCCCAGTGGAAAGAACAGGTCTTCAAAGAAGGAGGTACCTTTCTCTGAAGGGAGGAGAGAACCTCCACTTTGACTATGACCTTGTCTAAACAAGATAAGAATCGGAGAACTCAGAGGGCTTCCATAGCCTTGGAAACTCATGACTGGAGCATAGGGAGACTACTGATGCCATAGACAGGAGTGTCAATTGGTAAAGTCAACAACAGGAGTCACTGTGCACTTACTCCTCATGTAGGATCTCTGTCCTTAATGTGCTGTGTATTGAGATTTAATGCTATAACGAGTACTCAAACAATATATTTCACTTTGTGTTTCTATGGGGGTGAAAACTGTTGAAATATTTACTTAATGTATACTAAACTGATCCTCTGTAAAAAAAAAAAAAAAAAAAAAAAGAAATTATCAACTCCCAACTTGACTCTCACTGGGATTAAACATGACAATAGGTCTGATCTGATTTCATCATCATTTTAAAAAAATCATCTATTATTTTTCGCTTTATGTTTCTGTGTGGGAGCAAACTGTTGAAATCCTTACTTAATGTATACTAAGCTGATCTTCTGTATATTAAGATAATCGAAAATGAATCTTGATGTGAATGGAAGGGGAGAGGGAGTGGGAAAGGGGAGGGTTGTGGGTGGGAGGGACGGTATGAGGGGGAAGCCATTGTAATCCATAAATCGTACTTTGGAAATTTATATTCATTAAATAAAAGTTAAAAAAAATAAAAAAAGAAAGAAAAATAAACTCCAGATGATTTGAAAATGGGAATTACAAATATCTAAAACTTTTAGAAAAAAATTTATAGAAAATACATTTAGGAAAATAGGATATTTATTAAAATGGCACACAAAAACACAAATTATAAAGAAGATTGATAAGTTTTACTTCATTAAATATCTTCATGTACAACTGATATTTCCAAAAAATCTAAGACTTAGATAATTTATTTGCAATGCACATATCCAATAAAGAATTATGATTTAGAATACATAAGGAAAATGGTACACATTTACTAAGAAAAAGAAACCAATTGAATGATGAAGATATTATATATCTGGCAATTAGAAGAAAATCAAATGGCCAAAGAAACTTAAAAAAGGATGTACAATCTTACTAGCCATCAGGGAAATGCACATCTTGGTGCTTTCCCAAAAGGTTTATTCATGAAGAACAGGAAATTCAAAGCAGTACCACAATCATATGCAGAATATTTCACACCACATTTCTAGGGGTTTTATAAGTATGCATTAACTGGATGGGGTGAAAAGGTTTAATATGTTGAGAGCTAAGGTAACAAGTCAAATAATACAATCCAGGGAAAGAGTTAATCAATAAGCCACTTTATTTTAAAGAACAATTGCTAAATGCTTTTCTACACTTACCTGAAGCTGATTATACAGCTGTATGATCTTCTCTTTCTGGGATGGCCAATGCTGTAAGCCCAATTGTTGCACTGCGATAAATATTACTTTCTAAAAGAAAAATAATATTCATTTAAAATCTGCAAATTGAACTCTTAAATTTGAATCTTCCAACTCCCTCTTAACTAGGCACAAATTACTATGCTTTAGGATAATAATTCTGTCTCTGAGAATAATGAAACTATCATTACTCTGTTGAGGAAAATTTAATATACAGAATTTTATGTTCCTAGATCCCTGGTAGCAAATTCATAAACCCTCCCACAGGTCTCATGTTTTAACATGTATTTAAAAACTAGCTGGCACCAGAGTCCACCTGCAGCTATCCCACACTGGAAGAAAATGCAGTTTCAATATCCTTTGTGACTCTAAGCATCATAAAGGTAGGTTTTTCATTCTGTAATGACTATTTTAATGTCTCAGCGTTAAGAATATTCTGTGCCAGCATATAAAATTTACAGGATGGAAAACATGACATGGTTAAATGCTAAAATACCAAGTGACTGCAGCTTGGAAAAAACACAAAGAAATGGTCAGGGCGATCATGCTGCCTTCTAGAGGAGGGTTTGCCCACTGTGGATGCAAACAGTAGCTATGCCTACAGAAGAAAACTGGTTTGTCCTTTCTCTCCCACTGATGTTGCACACTTGGAATTTCACCACTTATGTTCCTGCAATGAGACAGCAAAGCAGCCGTAGGAGACGCTCCGCAGGACAGTCAATGGAGAAAAAGGAGCTCCTCCTGCAAGGCTAACTGCAGGCAATCAGCTGAGAATCCTCTTTCCCATGGAGGTCGTGAGCTCTGAAAGCCTGAGCTCAGAAAGACCTGGATGTAAAGCTTCGGAATTCTCTGCCCCTATCCTACAAACCTGAGCACAAGCCAACAAGTCACAGGTGAACAGGAATGTGTGAGGCAGAGGAGAGGAGGGCAATCAGCATGATCAAAGAGCAGATTCTGGACAGGTCATCGACTGGCTAAACACTTTGACACAGGTGGAATAAAATCATAGTCTTATAAAATATTCATGGCTGTATGTGGTGTGCATCTGAGTCAACTGGGAGGGACACTGTGTAGTTCTTTCTCTGATTTTATACCACAGGCAATGTTGATCTAACATGTGATTGAACATGCTTTAGGAAAGCCACTCTGGTGCTCACAGACGCACACTGGGATCCAGGGGCCAGGAAGGGAGAGGTGGCAGGAGCCTACATTTAAATCCTGTTAAGACTAAGGCAATGTCTACAAGGTTGCATAGGTAAGAGAAACACTAAAAGGGTGCCCCATGCCATTAGTTACATTTTAAGTCTTTTCTCCTAACTCTGACTAATTTGATTTTCAAAGTATGCCTTCAAAGTAGAAAGACCAGCACATTGGTCTTTATTGGAAATGTGAGGGAACTAATAAACTACGCATGTGATGGCCTCCCTTGCCTGCAGACACACTGGTCTGAACACTGTGTGTGTTCCCCACGGGGAACTATAAATCCTCAAATGTTTTATAAAATTTTTATTTATTTGAAAGGGATGGAGGGAGGGGGAGAAGGTGAAGGGGGCACACACAGAGAGACAGAAAATATGAGAATCAATCTCCCATGTGCTGATTTACTCCCCAGATGCCCACAAAAGCTGGGGCTGAGCCAAGCTAAAGACAAAAGCTGGGAACTCAACCTGTGTTTTCCACCTGGGTGGTAGGGACCCAGCTACCTGAGCCATCCATCTGCTGCCTCACAGGTTTTGCATGAGCAGGAAGCTGGAATCAGGAATGGAGCTGGGACTCGAACCAAACCACTCCAATGGTGGAAATGGGCGTCCCAAACAGGGTCTTAACACTTTCTCTAAATCTTCAAGTATTTTTATCCCTCAAATTATAATGTGGATAGAGTACTGCTTGAAAACCTACAGTATTTTCAGTTTACATCAGTTTATTAAACTTAATTGATATTCCACAGGTAAATAATCCATAATGATTTTCAAAGGTCTTATTACCTCCAAGGCAGGTAGATCTACTTTTGCAATTGTCACTCCAGGAAAAATATCTCTTATAATCATTTCAAAAAGTGGGATATCTTCAGGGGGAAATTTCGATAAACTAGCTTCTCTTACAGCCTTGATAATGATCCCAGTTTCATCTGCTTCAGATGTATCACTTTAACAATAGAACACAAACAAGTTAACAGGTCTGTTTGCTGACATTAAATGCCATCTAGGGGTAGCTATCCGATGTCATCCCTCCTCTCCCTATCTGCATAGCAGCCACATAGTTTGGGTGGGATTGATCAGGTCCCCAGCTCCAGGGACAGATTCTAACTCACCTAGAACATCACCAGTAATACCAGTAATGCCATTCCTCAGTCACTGACTCAGGGATGGGCACTATTATCAGAAAGGGCTTTTAGTTGCAAATAACAGAAATGAATTTAGGCTTATATAAAATATAAAGTAACATGCCAATTTACTATCCAGGAGGGTCAGAACTAGGCTTCAGGCCATGAGGTTGGAACAGGAGCCAAAATCATACTATGTACAACTGGTCTTGCAAAGAAATGACTGCCACCATCAGTGGATCCAGGGGACAGTCAGTTCCTAGGGCAGCAGTGGATCCCTGGTGTCAGTTCTACAGCTGCTCCCTGTTGCTGCTATTTCTGGTAACTGGCTTGGACACTGCTATTACTGTCACTCCCACCAGAATGGATTCTGTATATTTCCAGTCTCCTCTTTCACTGGCTGCAGATTCAGATTCTGGAGTAGCTGTGTCAGATTTGGAGTTATGCATCAAAGTCACAGTTGCAAGTGAGTTTGGGAAAGTGAACATGTGGGATAAGAGATACTCACTGAGGAACATAAGCTCAATGGTGGCCAACTGGGGCATGGAAGTGAGTTGGACACAGTGACTCAAGGGCCAACAAATGACCTTCCATTCACCATGAAGTTCAATGGCACAGACAACCCCAGCTGTCATTAGAAGCCTACTTGCCACCAGTCAGGAGGCCAGCCTGAAGATAAGTCAGTATGTGGACGAGCGCAGAGTTGAGAATATCTCAGAAAAATGAAGCTGAAATCTTATCAAAGCAACCACATCCTGCCCCACTTCTGGGTTTTCCGATTGGGCCAAACAACAGACACTATCTACCATTCAAGTCAACTTGAGTCTTCTGTTAATTTTCACACAGTCTCCTAACATACAGACATTCTCTCATGACATATGATTTACTCTTTAACAATATTTCATCCATTAAATATTTCAGGATATACTGAACATGCAACCAAAAGGAAAATAAGTGACCATGTGTGGTATGATATAATTTTAGAGATGGAGAGGTAGAACAGTTTTCCTATCATCTTGTCGACTGGTGTCTTAAAAATGAGGGTGTGATAGTCTTTGATTCATGACAAAAATCACTAATATTTATTGACTACTCTTTTTAAAAAAGTATTTATTTGAAAGGCAGAGTTACACACAGAGAGACGGAGAGAGAGAGATGGATCAATCTTCCATCCACTGGTTCACTCCCCAACTGGCCCCAATGGCTGGGACTGGGCCATACTAAAGCCAGGAGCTGCTTCTGGGTCTCCTACATGGATTCAAGGGCCCAAGCAATGGGCCATCTTCTAGTGCTTTCCTAGGCCACAGCAGAGAGCTGGATCGTAAGTGGAGCAACCAGGACTCAAACTGGCACCCAGATGGGATGCCGGCACTGCAGGTGGTGGCTTTACCTGCTATGCCACAGCACTGGCCCCTCCAACTTTTTTTTTACCCACATTGCTCAGTTTCGTCAATGTCATTTACTAAAAGTTGATTCTTAACCCCAGATTTATGATATGCTCAATGGCCAAAGCAAGTAGTTCTAATTCTGTACTTTGGATTCTGCTTCAATGGTTTGTTTGTTTATTTATTTATAATAAAAGCATTTACTTATAATAGAATGGCTTCTATTCATAAGCCAATATAGTATTTTCATTACTGAACCTTTAAAATACAACTTAGTACTTAAAGGGATATTTCCCCTTCATTGTTCTTACTTTTTTGTATTTTTATAGCTAGGTTTATTTTTCCATATCAACTTTAGCATCATCTTGCCTAAAAAAACAAAATCCTTTTGTCATTTTTACTGAGGTTGCATTTTCATGCATAAATTAATATTTATAGCAGTTGAACTTTTATGTTAAGTTCTTTAAGATACTATAATAATTACAGAAATGGAGTATGATTTTAGTTACATTTTGATTTCTGTTGCTGAATCCTGTTTGAGTTTTCCTCATTGCATTTCACACATTTCTTATACAGATACAGTCATACCCTGGTACCAGTAGGGGACCAGTGCCAGGATTCCCTTGGATACCAAAACCCAAAGATGCTCAAGTCCCTCATGTAAAATGGTGTAGTGCCTGCATATAATCTATGCGAATCCTCCCATACACCTTAAACCATTTCCAGATCACTTATAGTACCCACTATGATGTAAATGCTACCTAAATAGTTATATTGTATTGTTCAGGGAATAATGACAAGAAAACAGTCTGTACATTATCTGTTCTTGCCTAGGTTTTTTCCCCCCAAATATTTTCAATCCATGGTTAGTTGGATCCATGGATACAGAGCCTATGTCTATGGAGGGCCACTGTATGCTTACATTTATTGCTTTTCTAGGGCCAGCACTGTGGTGAAGCTGGGAAAGCTGCTGCCTGCAATGCTGGCATCCCATATAGGCGCCAGTTCGTATCCCAGTCACTCCACTTCCGATCCAGCTCCCTGTTAATGGCCTGGGAAAGCCAGAAGATGGTCCATGCAGGAGATCTGGATGAAATTCTTGGATTTGGCCTGGCCAAATCCTGGCTATTGCAGCCATCTGAGGAGTGAACCAGCAGGTGGAGGATCTCTCTATCTCTCTCTCTTTGTAACTTACACATAAATCAATAAAGTTGTAAAAAAGTTATGTTCTTCTAAATGAGCTCTTTCATTCCATTACTTTTTCACTGTATAAAGATAAAGCACTTTAAGAAAACAAGGAGACAACACTGTATTGGGGACAAGTACTGAGTAATTTTGTGCATACTTCCTTCCCTTTCTCTGTATCCTTAAATAACTTGCTGTATTTTACTGTGACACTCCAGCTCCCTGTTTTGTCAAATTTACTTAAAATTCCAGAACTGGGGCCAGTGCTGTAGCACAGTAGGTTAATGCCCTGGCCTGAAGCACCAACATCCCATTTGGGTGCCAGTTCAAAACCCGGCTTCTCCTCTTCTGGACCAGCTCTCTGCTATGGCCTGGGAAAGCAGTAGAAAATGGCCCAAGTCCTTGGGCCCCTGCACCCGCATGGGAGACCTGGAAGAAGCTCCTGGCTCCTGGCTTTGGATCGGCACAGCTCTGGCCATTGTGGCCAATTGGGGAGTGAACCATCGGACAGAAGACCTCTCTCTCTCTCTAACTCTGCCTTTCAGATAAATAAATAAATCTTAAAAAAAAAAAAAAAACAACTGTCTCACCAGAACCAAGGAGGGGATTCATTATTAAAAAAAAATTCCACAACATATTTTCTCCAGGGATGTACAATTCTCTTTCATCTAAAATTCAATTCAAAACAACTTACCTGTTAAACTCCTGTTTCTCCCTCTCAGCAATTATTAGAACTGTCTTCAGAAACCGCAAGCCAAAATGATAATGATCCTATCAAATATTAAAAAAATGAGTATTACATATGTGGAGTCTAAAGGAATAACTGATCTCATAGAAGTTAAAAATACTAGGGCCAGCACTGTGGCGTAGTAGGTTAAGCTTCCACCTGCAGTGCTGGCCTCCGATATGGGTGCTGGTTCTAGTCCTGGCTGCTCCTCTTCTAATCCAGCTCCCTGCTTATGGCCTGGGAAAGCAGTAGAAGATGGCCCAATTGCTTGGGTCCTTGCACCCATGTAGGAGACCCATAGGAAGATCCTAGCTGCTGGCTCTGGATTGGCTCAGCTCAGGCCATTGTGATCATTTGAGGAGAGAACCAGTGGACAGAAGATCTTTCTCTCTCTCTCTCTCTTTGTAACTCTGCCTCTCAAATAATAAATAAAGAAATAAAACCTTTAAAAAATAAGTTAAAAGTGCAATGGCTGTTACCATGGGCTGAGGAGGAAAAAGAAGAGAGGGGAAAAGGTTGATTAAAGGAAAAAGAGGAAAAAGAAGGGCAAAGGTTGATTAAAGGGTATTAAGTTACAATGAGGTAGAAGTTTGAACAAGTTCTGGGACTCTACTGCCCTGTGGGGTGACTATAGGTAATGTTAATATAGTGTATAGTTGTCTTTGAAAGGAAGTTAGAAATAAGATTTTGAGTGTTTTCACTATAAAGAAATGATACATGTTTGAGTAGATATGTTTATGCTCATTGGACATTACACAATGTAATGTAATATAGACATGTATCAAAACATCACATAGTACCCTATAAATATGTATACTCTGTGACTTAAACATTTTTTAAGTACAAAATTTAAAATTTTTGAGTTACTAAAATATCTGTGAGGAAAATGGAAGATTTTGAAAATAAATGCCACAGTATGAAGTTAAATTATTGATCATCTATGCTACGATGAGAAACAAAGATATGAATCCCAGAGACACTAACTTCTGCTTCTAATTCTATCATCCCTCCCCTAAACTGGTGCTCACAAAAGTCTTTTGGTCTCAAAAGAAAGGAGTAACAGGTACTAAAGGAGTTAAAAAACTATGGACATCTGAATCAAATTTTCTCTGAACTAGAAAGGGAGGAATTGAAATCATGTTAAAAAGAGGAGCATTTTGGAGGACACGTGATTAGCTGACCAAAGCATTTTGGGTTAGAAACAAATACTCATTATGCTGCATCAGTAACACTTGGGAACTTCTTAGAAATTCAGGTTCTGTATTCCCACACCAGACATATGAAGGGGTCTTTAAAAAGTTCATAGAAAATTCACATCATGAAAAACCATGCATCGGATTTCAAAAAATTTTTTGTACCAAGGTAAATTTGTATTAGCTTGCCAAAACACATCTGAGTAAGATCTAGTTTAAGACATAAAAAAAATCAGTTTGAAAAGAACCCCTATCAGAGCAACATAAATTTTGCTAAAATTAAAGCAAGAACAAACATCAATTTATGGCAACTCTTGGGTGGAGAATGGTAAAATCACTGATGCTTTATGAGAAGTTACAGGGACAATGACTCAAAGAAATCATCAGTTTACAAATGAGTAAGAAGGGACAAGATGATGTTGAAGATGATGCTTGTGGTACAGACCATCCAAATCAATTTGTGAAAAAAAAATTACTACTATCTATGCCTTAATGAAGGGGAGCAAAGATTAACAGCAGGAAAAAAATAGCCAACAACACATACAAATTGGTTCAGCCTATACACTGTGACTGAAAAGTTAAAATGGAGCAAACTTTCTGTGCCCAAACTATTGTACCCATATCAACTCGAGATAAGAGAAGAGCTTTTAATGAAAAAAAAATTTTTTTTATTTTTTTATTTTTTGACAGGCAGAGTGGACAGTGAGAGAGAGAGACAGAGAGAAAGGTCTTCCTTTTGCCGTTGGTTCACCCTCCAATGGCTGCCGCGGCCGGCGCGCTGCGGCCGGCGCACCGCGCTGATCCGAAGCCAGGAGCCAGATGCTTTTCCTGGTCTCCCATGGGGTGCAGGGCCCAAGCAGTTGGGCCATCCTCCACTGCACTCCCTGGCCACAGCAGAGAGCTGGCCTGGAAGAGGGGCAACCGGGACAGAATCCGGCGCCCCAACCGGGACTAGAACCCGGTGTGCCGGTGCCGCTAGGTGGAGGATTAGCCTAGTGAGGCCCGGCGCCGGCATTAATGAAAATTTTTAAGCAAGCTGGATAAAGATCCTGAAGAACTTCTTCAAAGAACTGGAACAGGAGATGAAACATGGCTTTAACAGCATAACCCTAAAGACAAGACACGATCAAAGCAATGGCTACCAAGAGGTGGAAGTGGTCAAGTCAAAGCAAAAGCAGACCAGTCAAGGGCAGAGGTCATGGCAATAGTCTTACGGGATGCTTAAATTTTTGTGCTTGTTGACTTTCTGGTGAGCCAAAGAACAATAACCTCGGCTTACCAGGAAAGAAAGTGTTTTTGACAAAGTTAGCCAATGTTATAGCAGAAAAATGCCCAGAAAAGCTTGACCCGAGTCTTTCTCTACCATGACACTATTTCTTGCTCATTTCTCTCATCAAATAAGGACAATTTGGTCAGAGTTTCACTGGGAAATCATCACACATCCACTTTATCATCCTTGTGACTTCCCTTTGGTTCCCAATCTTCAACCTTTCTCCAGTTATTAATGTAAAAGAAAAAAAAAAGACTGCAGTGACATGGCTAAGTCTCCAAGACCCTCTGTTCTTTAGGGATGGACTAACTGGCTGCTATCATTGCTTATGCTAGAGCTCATGTTGAAAAATAAACTTTATATTTTTAATCACTTAATTTTTCCAGTTTCCATAAACATTTCCATAAACATATAATTAGAAACTAGGGGGCAAGGCAAAATAAGCTTTGAAACCACTGCTCCAAGTGTTGGCTTTCTTGTATGGAGTAGCATAATTTATAGATTTTGAGGAAATTTCCATTTGCAATCCATTTATTTATTTATTTATTTATTTTTGACAGGCAGAGTGGACAGTGAGAGAGAGAGACAGAGAAAAAGGTCTTCCTTAGCCGTTGGTTCACCCTCCAATGGCCGGCGCGGCCGGCGTGCTGTGGCCGGTGCATCACGCTGATCCGAAGCCAGGAGCCAGGTGCTTTTCCTGGTCTCCCATGGGGTGCAGGGCCCAAGCACTTGGGCTATCCTTCACTGCACTCCCGGGCCATAGCAGAGAGCTGGCCTGGAAGAGGGGCAACCGGGACAGAATCCGGCACCCCGACCGGGACTAGAACCCGGTGTGCCAGCGCCACAAAGCGGAGATTAGCCTATTGAGCCACGGCGCTGGCCCTCCATTTGCAATCTTGATTATTTTTACATTTTCCCTAATGTTCAAGTTGGTTTATGGACTTGAGGTGTTGACAGGGACTCTAGCGCCATTATTTGTATTTTCCCATATTATTCCTGGACCAATACTAGATAAGTACTACTAAAGTTATTTTAACATTTTTATTCATACACAATCACATTTAAATACTTTGGGAAATGAAACTTTTTACCTTTTGTGAAAGCTGTGTGTTAGCTAATTCGTAAAGGTTGACTAGCTTTCCAGAGAGTAATTTTGAAGATTTGAAACCAACTGAAGACATAATGATTTCAGTAATCATTCCATAATGGGGCACCATCATTGCCACTGGGCGAAACAGAGACTTTAAGTTATGTGGGAGCTCTTCTCTACCTGGATATCTTAAGGCGGGGGGACAAAAATAATTTTTCAATATTTCAAATGAGAAACCATATAATACACATCCCCCCACAAAATAATTCTATCAGATTTCTACACAACCTTTATCTGCAAAATTGGCTCACAAGATGGTTTCTATTGACCTTTTCATCTCACAGAGCCTCCTGGTCTAATTCTTCTTCCTGTGCCTCTTCCTACAATTCATTTCACAACAGTTCCAGATGATTCACTGGACACTGCAGTGTTCAATCAGATATGTACTGAACCTGCCCAGCCTCCACTCCCGGGAACCATCATACTCTTATTTTCCTGCCACTCAGGTTTTTTTTTTTTTTTTTTTTTTTTTTACCTGTGTCCTCTTTGTGAGAAACTGCTGACCTTTTTCTTTCTCTAGATATTCATGAAGTGAAAACGTGCCTTGGTCAGAAGCTAAATGTGAGGCTATCTTTATGGAAAAGTGTGGAGTTGTAGCTGTTCATAAATGGTTTAGTGGAAGGAGACTCCAGGGGTGGTTGAAGGTAAGTGATATGTGATGTCAGACATCTTATCCAACTGTGGCTAAGATTTAAGGAAAGGATTTTGGTCTGTATTCATTCCCACTAGATTCACCGACACTTACCCAGGGCTTACGGTGACAAATATCGCACAAGACATATTGATACGAATTTCCTTTCCTTCCAGTACAAACCTACAAGACATTATTCAGAGAGTTTTTCTAGGCTACAGGATGTCAGAACTACATGTGAATCTGAGAGCTTTCTGAAGGCAATGGTATATTTAAACCCAAGCAGAACACACCAGGAAAAACAAAGGAGAGAGAAAGAAAAGCTTCATCTTGAGCCACAGTTGTGACTCCCGCTAGGATTCGGCTGTTATTTGATTATGGCTAAAGATGTCTGAAGAGCTTTAGGGATCTGAGCCTAGAAGGCACCCATTTGAGTTGACTTACCCAGTGAAAAGGACCTCAGAGATCTTTAGGAATAAAAGTAAAGGAGCACAGAGTGGGGCACAGCGGAGAGTTCCTCCTCCAGCATGGGACACAGCCTGCCCTCCAAGTCCTCCCAGCCTCTGGGTAGAGACCTTCAGGAGGACCGTGAAACCAAACTTTTGGTAGGGACATCGCTGCCCTACAGTTGGTACCAGTAGTAGAGACAATGCAGAGACATTTTGTAGTGCTTTCTTGGTCAACTACTATCACAGAGAGGGGTCAAAATATGTGAGGAGCAACGGGATAAAACCTGGGGACTCCCTGAACGTAAATGGGGAAAACTTTTCAGGGGTTGAGGTATAGCAAAGAATTCATAAAATATGGGTTACTGTGACCCTCAGCTCTCATCATAGATTTGTGAGGTCTGGAACACCAGCTCTATTGGTCTGAACAACATCTATGAGACTAAAGCCACGAGTTACTGAACATTGGTTTGAGCTGGAAACATCAGATTATAACAGAAACTATACCAGCAAATTAATTTATATCTATCAAGTAAACCACATGAGTTCCTGAATTTATCTGAAGAGAAAAAATGTCTGATAGTCTATCATAAACCTTAGTCATCATCATAGGCTGCACATATTGTCATTGCATAAAAGCACATTAAATTAGAATAATGAGACAAAAGGGAGCTTCAAGTATGTGGTAAGATTCTGTTTTGTTAAAAAGAATATAAAGAAAAAACCCCAAAATGCTGGTTTCTTCAAATATAATAGCCTAAGATGAAGAGGTAGTAAGAGGATTTAAGTTGAGAAAAAAATATTTAGAACATATTTGCATTAGTGTCACGGTAGACCCAAAGACTATTTCAAAAGTTGGATGCCCATTTGCATACCTCAAATTGGCTTGAAAGTTCAATGTACATTTTCACATTGTTTTTCTAGTGAAGCAAACATTGGACAGTGCCATCCCTTTTGATATGTGCTTTAAAAAAAAAATCGAAAGACCCAAACACATATAGCAGAAAAAATACTTTTTAATAAATTTTTTAAAAAAATTTTTTGACAGGCAGAGTGGACAGTGAGAGAGAGAGAAAGGTCTTCCTTTTGCTGTTGGTTCACCCTCCAATGGCTGCCACGGCCGACGTGCTGCAGCCGGTGCACCATGCTGATCTGAAGCCAGGAGCCAGGTGCTTCTCCTGGTCTCCCATGGGGTGCAGGGCCCAAGCAGTTAGGCCATCCTCCACTGCACTCCTGGGCCATAGCAGAGAGCTGGCCTGGAAGAGGGGCAACTGGGACAGAATCCGGCGCCCCAACCAGGACTAGAACCCGGTGTGCCAGCGCCGCAAGGCGGAGGATTAGCCTAGTGAGCCACGGCGCCGGCCGCAGAAAAAATATTTAACCATTAACTAAACAGCAAATGTGTATCAGATTTCCACTCAAACAGTGCAAATATGTACTCAACAAATACCTGATAGAGTAGCTGGCTTTTGCAGACTTAATTGTTAGGATCTGTGAAGCAAGGACAGAAAGAACCTCCACATCGATTCGATTGAATTCATCAAAGCAGCACCACGCTCCTGACTGAACCACTCCAAAGAGGAATTTTCCCACTATCTTTGGGGGGAGGGAGGAGAATGAATACTGAAATTGTTATAAAGGTATGAGATTTTACCGGGATATCAATTTGATATATATTCTTCCATCTTAACCAAGCCAAACAAACAACTGTATTTCCTCCCTCCAGATTTCTTTTTTCTTGTTTGTAGGGCTAAAAAAGCAGTAGATGCTTAGCCTCTGGACGACTCCGGTCTCTTCTAAGAGCCTAAACATGGAATAACAAATTCTGGTGCTCACAGAAACAGCAAACGAAGAGCCGCCACCAACGACTGCCTGCAGAGACCAGCACAGCACCACTCCCATGACTACCATTTATCGCATAAAGTGTGAAGAGTCTTTACAACAACTTCTCCGGCAGATGCACGTAAAGTGTCTGAAGGCTGGGTCTCCCTTTTTTAGGGCAAGCAGACACCATTGGAATCAGCGATGAGCTGCTGGTAGGCCGTCCCCGTGATGGGTATCAGGCCCAATATTATGCAAGAAATAGACTCTGCACTAAAGTGGAGCGGTACCAGCTGAAACACATAGCTGCTATTCGGCTTCTGCCAGCTGCCAGGGTGCAGATCCAGCTTGGCTGGGTTCCCCAGTGTTTTGTTAGAGGCTCAAAGTCTGAATTGGAATCTGTTGATTTTTAAATGATAGCAACTAAAACAAAACAAACAGCACTGTCAGGACGACTGGAAAGGATTCTGCCAGGTGTTGCATGGACAGAAGGTGGAGAGAAACCCTCAGACCAGGAAGGAGACACATGGCAGCAGGAACCAGACCATGTCTTAATTCAAAATTTTGAGAGTTTGTTCACCATGGGATCTAGGAGGGGATATTTTTGATTTTAAAAATATTGCATTAATGGCCAGCGCCATGGCTCAATAGGCTAATCCTCCGCCTGCGGCGCCGGCACACCAGGTTCTAGTCCCAGTCGGGGCACCGGTTCTGTCCTGGTTGCCCCTCTTCCAGGCCAGCTCTCTGCTCTGGCCCGGGAGTGCAGTGGAAGATGGCCCAAGTGCTTGGGCCCTGCACCCACATGGGAGACCAGGAGAAGCACCTGGCTCCTGGCTTCGGATCAGCGCGGTGCGATGCGCCTAGGGCCCCTTGGAGGGTGAACCAACGGCAAAGGGAGACCTTTTTCTCTGTCTCTCTCTCTCTCACTGTCCACTCTGCCTGTCAAAAATTAAAAAAAAAATTACATTAAAATGTTTATCTTGATTACTACACTTGTTTTATTTATTTATTTATTTATTTGACAGGTAGAGTTATAGACAGTGAGAGGGACAGACAGAGAGAAAGGTCTTTCTTCTGTTGGTTCACCCCCCAAATGGCTGCAATGGCTGGAGCTGCACTGATCCAAAGCCAGGAGCCAGGTGCCTCCTCCTGGTCTCCCATGGGGTGCAGGGCCCAAGCACTTGGGCCATCCTCCACTGCCTCCCGGGCCACAGTAGAGAGCTGGCCTGGAAGAGGAGCAACCAGGACTAGAACTCGGCACTGATATGGGATGCCAGCACCGCAGGTGGAGGATTAACCAAGTGAGCCACGGCGCAGGCCCCAATTACTACACTTTTTACCTTTCCTTTTAGTTGTGCTCAGCAGACAAGTGCCTCCCCTACCTCACTCCAGACCCAGCCCTCCTGGGTCCCATTGGGAAGCAGTTTCCAGGGAAGAGGAAAGAGACTCTTATTTGGTAAATGTCTTAAAAATAATAAGTGAATAATACAAGTAATAATTGATTTCTTTTAATATGTGCTATATGCACAAATTTCAAGTATAGGGTCTCAGAGGTAATGTACTTTGAACAAATAAAACTATACTAGTAAAATATAAAAGGTATGAACTTATCATTGAAAATAAATTCCAGTATTTTGAAAGTTTGAGTAAATTTGTGACAGGTACAGAGGTACAAAAATCTTTTAATTAATAACAATATTATGAGACATGTCTTAGGTAATGTGTTATCAAAACCAAAGTGATTCATATTCACTTGTAATTATCAGGTATATAAACTCTCAAATTTTTACTTGTATCACAATAGTTTTGTTGTTCTTAAGACTTTTATAGTAAACAAATATGTAAGATTAGGACTTAAAATAAGTTTGTATTCAAGTATTACACTTGGGGCCAGCACTAGCTGGCATTCCATATGGGCGCCAGTTCTAGTCCCGGCTGCTCCTCTTCTGATCCAGCTCTGCTATGGCCTGGAAAAGCAGAAGGTGGCCCAAGTGCTTGGGCCCCTGCACCTGCTTGGGAGACCGGGAAGAATCTCCTGGCTCCTGATTGGCTCAGCTCTGGCCATTGTGGCCACTTGGGGAGAGAACCAGCAGATAGAAGACCTTTCTCTCTGTCTCTCCCTCTCACTGTAACTCTCAAATAAATAAATAAAAAGTATTACTCTTAGTTATTTTATATATTCATATTCCATATAAGATTTTGTTTGAAAAAAAGTTTGAAAATCATTGTTGTAAGCAGTTCACTTGAACTAAAAGCAAAGTATATAATGTTTTAAATTTCTATTACATTCTAGGTTTCTATTAGTTTAAATTAATAGCATTTGTGGTTCTACTATCAGTGACTCAAAAATTTTTCTCTAATCTTTCATTCTTCATTGAATTTTTTATGTGTACAATATTTTTTCCTGAGTATTGATGTTTAAGCTTTACCTTATAATCCAAATTCTCAAAGCAGCTAAAGGTCACACAATGTTTTCCTAAGGCCTGTAAGATAAATATGTTTCAATATAGTTCTTGAGTTATGAGACAAAATACTAATGTTTAAACTGCCAGATTAGTAAAATGTGCTCTTTAGAGAAAACTTTTACAATATGAAAATGAACTAGATACAAAATTTAGAGATTCACAAAACTCAGTATGAATATACATATATTAAGATAGTTTTGTTGATTATTTCACAGTGCATTATGATCCTATTTTTATACAAATTTATAAATAAATACCATAAACTATATGCCTTGTTTTCATTGGTCACTACTTTTATCTCATACACACACACAGTGATGTTAATCATTCACATGTTAGTCAAGTTAATACCGTTCCATGTAAATTCAAAGCAGTTGTGGGTTTACTGAGCTCCACCTCCCCGCAAACAACAGGCATTATGAAATTAATCCACCAATTAATTACATGGATTAATGGATGTGATTATTAAAAGCAATGAATACCTTAACAGCAGGAATGGTGTAAATTTAAGATAAGAATGGTGAAACATCTATGAAGTTTGTGGGACAGAAAAGATGTTTTTGTTCTAGATATAGAAGTCACTTACTTTCGCTAGGTCTTTGATAGTCTCAGTTTTTCCTACACCTGCTGGACCAGAAGCACAACCTCCTAGATTCAAGTGCAGAGCCCCCAGGAAGGTGAGCCAGCACCGGTCTGTGAGAGGCGTAATGGCCAGTCTTGGGGTACAGCCCAGGTACTCATAGCCATAAGTGAAACTGGCATCTCCTTGAGATACATAGCATAACATTTGTTTTTCATCCCATTTGTACCGCAGATGTCTGCAAGCAACATTTTAAATGCTCTTGTTATTTGGGTGAATTTTTTTCACATGAAGAAATATAACAAGATTGAAAATGAAGTGTTGACTAAAAGCATTGAAATCAAAACATGAAAATCAAGGGAGAAGGGTGATATAAAACGCATCAATGACTGCATTAGATCTGAGACGACAGAACTCGGAAGACTACACCCCCGTGAGCAGTTTTCCCTCTGGCAAACGGCCTTGCAGAATCACATTGCTCTGATGTGCCATCAGCCTAAGTGGAGGATTTCTATACAAATCACTCCTGAGAAGTCTGCTATGATTTCCAATCAGAATGTGATCGACACATTCTTCAGGATAATCTGGACCGTTTCTGTGAGGGTACCAGAGAAGTGTTGTTTGCATCCAAAACCATATCAACAACACTGTCTTGTTTTATTTATCTATCGAACAGTTAATCATGTAGCTAATCATAAATGCCTTCCTCCACAACGCTTTGAGTTTAGTCCGTGACCTGTTGTAACTTGATGGTATGTATCATTGACTTTCTTCTGTGTCCCCAGCAGTGCCGACTTACTTCTCAAAATATCAATTTCTTGGGCATTAGCAGTGAAGGAATGCCGAAGAATATTTTTGGAAAGAATCTTTTCATTTGTACTTTTTAAATGTCAAGGGAAAAGTTCCTACACGTTTGCGACAGTTTAGCACTGCTTTGATGTTTAATTACAAAAAGAGGCAGCCACAGTCTTTTCAGATTTCCAGGTTCCGAAAGGTCTTACAGAAGGACTGCTAATCGCCTTTCTTCTGTTTCTGCTGTCATGGAAGAGTTTATTCACCCTTGTAAGCCGTTTTAAATACTTTATGGAACAACAGATCATAGTATAATCATTTAAAATAAGTAAACTTTTAAAATAAAGTTTAAATTAAAAAATAAAAAGAAACTCAAAAATCGGTAGCTATGACTTCGGAGAGTGTCAGATGAGAGAACGTGTAATCAGAAGAGAAAGCCTTCAGGAAAAAATTGACTGGGAAGTTTGAGACGTGACAGTTACTCAGGAATTCTGTCTCCTGATCTCTTCTCACCAGTCCGTGGCCCTCTCCTTCTAAACGTCTGGTTTCTAATTGACTCCGGGGCGTGTGAGTCAGGGAGCTCGCTGGAAAGGCTCTACCATGTGTCTCCTCTGCCTACTCTGCTCTAGAATTGCCAGCACAGGGCCAAGAGGACTGAGCTGGATCAGCTACCGACTGACAGCTGCTACCCTGGGGCCGACCTGCCAAAGGCAAAGGGGAAAACGCAGCTAGGGAGACAGTGACCAGCTCAGGAAAATGAGGCAGAGAAGGGGTTAAAGAAAATGAGGGGGAGGGGCCGAAGACAGAAAGCAGGATCCACAGGATTAGGTTTGCTTAAAATTTTGTAAATACTCGCAAATTAAAATGTTTGACAGAGTTTGAAGTAGAGAAGCATTCTACCTAAAGATATGCTCGCGAAGAGTTGTTGTATGTAGGATTATAATTCAGACCCACCTACCTCGTCCACTCAAAGTCGTCCTCCTTGCAGATATCCTGGAGCAGCAGGCTTCTCACCACATCTCTGCAGTGAACGTAGAGAATGAGCAGCGCGCCCAGCACGGCTCTCGTCTGCGCGTTGCTGGTGTCCAGCAGCTCTGCAGCCTCTTCCAGACGCCCTAGCACACCAGCGTGGATGTTCTCGAGAGCTTCCCTCGACTGCGCACTCGCGAAACTTTTAATGCAATCATCATAAAATATGATCTGACTCTGAAAAGTAAATAAATATAATAACTGCAGCCTACTTTTACTTTTAAATGAAAACACTCTCATATATATGCTATGTGTATTTGAGAAAAGAAGGCTTACACATTTGCATGTATTTGAGGGCTAAAACTTAAATTTTGACGAATGTTTATAGAGGCCTTATTCATTTTTTTAAAGCTTATATTTATTCATTTGAAAGACAGAGTTACAGGGAGGCAGAGGCAGAGAGAGAGAGAGAGAAATCTTCCACCTGCTGGTTCACACCCCATACGGTCACAACAGCTGGAGCTGGGCTGATTGGAAGCCAGGAGCCAGGAGCCAGGAGTTTCTTCCGCTTTTCCCTTGTAAGTGCAGGGCCCCATGCACTTGGGCCATCTTCCACTGTTTTCCCAGGCCATAGCAGAGAGCTGGATCGGAAGTGGAGCAGCCAGGACTAGAACCAGAGCCCAAATGGGATATCAGCACTGCAGGGGTGGCTTTACTTGCTACGCCATAGCACTGGCCCGCCATCTGTATTTTCTAAATCTTTTATTCTTAATCCCTTCATCAGTAAAAAAAAAAAAAAAAATAACCTGGGACAGTAACAATAGAGCACTCCAAGAGGAGATCAGTGCCACTTTCTCCACGGATCTCACACGTAATACACCTAGAACACACTGAGTGTGTACTCACAGAAGGCACAGGATAGGCAACCTGGTGTATCCATCAGCACTCTCGTTCCTAACCAGGACTCTCTTAAAGAATTCTGTAGACTTATAATCTATGAAGCAGGACTCTCGCAAAGGTGTTGTGGACTCAAAAGATCAACAGGAGGGTAGAGACGGAGGCTTGGGAGATAAGCTGGAGCAGAAGTCTGGGGCACACGGTGTGAACCACAGGGCAGGCCGAGTCATGGCACGGTCTTCTCAGACGCCATTGCTCTGCTGTCCCTGAGATGTTTATTCCAGAATCACAGCCTCAGGAGAGTGGATCCGGGGGCTGAGGCCGTCCCTGGGCTAGGAGGATCTTGCTCCAGTGCGGGACACTATGAACCAGATTTTCTGTTTGTTTGTGGAGGAGTTCTCAATGCTGTATCCTGGGGAAGATCTGTCTGGGAATCTTCTCAGGAGCCAGTGCATACAGATGTCTCCTCATTCCCTCTCCCCGCAAGTGTCTTTATCTCCATTAGGGGTCAACTCTTAGTCGTGCAACATATTCAGAAATGTGAGATAAAGGAGCCTTGGTAGGCTGCCTGCTGGGAAGAGAAATTAACAGCAGGGAGCGCATTTGTGGGAAGAACTGTGGCAGGGGCACATTCAGAGACTGGAGCCAATGTCTTCCATAATGTGTTTTTCGAAACAAAATGCAGCCTGCATCTTAGCTGAACATCTCTGCAGACTAGGGCTGGGGAGAGCTGTGCCTGGTAGAGGAGGTTTGATTATTTGCATTTCCAATGGAAATGCACAGACTGCTTCATTATGATGTTGTCACCTTTGTAAATAGCAGCTTAAAGAAATTCTTCAGTTTAAGATCTAAAAGTGGTTTATGAAATTTCAGTCGAGTAAAGAGCAAAAGGGACTAAGATTTGGTTATTGTAATTTGTATCGGCAATCCCAGGATGTTTTATTAGCAATGACTTGAAAATTGTGGTAGGTCAAGCCAAGTAAAATGATGTTATTTTTGTTATTTAAAAAAATTAGGGGGCAGGACCAGCACTGTGGCATACCGGATAAAGCTGCTGCCTACAGTGCAGCATCCCATATGGGCACCAGTTTGAGTCCTGGCTGCTCCACTTCCAATCCAGCTCTCTGCTATGGTCTGGAAAAGCAGTAGAAGACGGCCCAAGTTCTTGGGCCCTTGCACCCATGTGGGCATACCCGGAGGAAGCTCCTGGCTCCTGGCTTCAGATTGGTACAGCTCCAGCCATTGCAGCCAACTGAACCAGCAGATGGAAGACCTCTCTCTCTGCATCTCCTTCTAGCTCTGTGTAACTCTGACTCTCAAGTAAAATAAATAAATCTTTAAAAAAAAAATAGGGGGCTGACACTGTGGGTTAGCTGGTAAAGCTGCCACCTGCTATGTTGTTATCCCATTTGGGCGCCGGTTTGAGTCCCTGCTGCTCCACTTCTGATCTAGCTCTCTGCTATGGCCTAGGAAAACAGTAGAAGATGGCCCAAGTCCTTGGGCCACTGCACCACGTGGGAGACCTGGGAGAAGCTCCTGGCTCTTGGCTTTGGATCGGCTCAGCTCTGGCTGCTGCAGACATTGGAGAGTGAACCAGTGGATGGAACACCTCCCTCTCTGTCTCTATGTCTCTGTCACTCTCCCTTTCAAATCAATAAATAAATCTTTTAAAAAATATTTATTTGAAAGAGTGACAGAGGAAGAGCAGAAGAGACTTCTTTTTTAAAAAAGATTTACTTATTTTTTATTTGAAAGTCAGAGTTACACACACATACAGAAAGAGAAGGAGGGAGGGGGGAGGGAGGGAAGAGCAGAGAGAGAGAGAGAGAGAGAGAGAGAGAGAAAGGTCTTCCACCCGCTGGTTACTCCCCAAAGGGCTGCAATGACCAGAGCTGGGCCGATCGGAAGCCAGGAGCCTCTTCCAGGTCTCCCATGCGGGTACAAGGGCCCAAGCACTTGGGTCATCTTCTGATGCTTTCCCAGGTCATAGCAGAGAGCTGGATTGGAAGTGGAGCAGTGGGGATTTGAACTGGAGCGCATATGGGATGCCAGCCCTGCAGGCAGTGGCTTTACCTGCTATGCCACAGCGCAGGCTCCAAGAGATCTCTTATCTTTCACTCTCCAATTGCCTCCAACAGCCGGGGTTAGGCCAAGAGCTAGGAACTCCCCAGGCCTCCCACTGCATATCAGGGGCCAAGTGCTTGAGCCATCATCTGCTGCCCCATAGGGAGCACATTGGCAGGAACTGGAATTGGGAGCAGAGCTATGGGCACCCCAGCTGGCATCTTAACTACCATACCAAACGTCCATTCCAGAATAAACTGCTTACATCTCTCTAGAGCCTTTAAATCACTCCAACTTCTGGAGCAAGAGACAGAAAAGGCCCTTTCTCCCTTAGCTTCCATGACAGATCTCCTAATTTTTTTTTCTTCTTCTAGCTACTCTTTTTCGGCCCTCTTCGTGGATTCCCCTCTTATGCCTACTTCTTAAATGTTGGTGTTTCTTGGGATCTTTCTCTGTCCCTCCTCCTCCACCCTGCTGGGGGGAGTTTTATCACTTCCGTGGCTTCCATCACTGCCTCTCAAAAGAATTGCCAATTTTGACTTTCTAGAGATCAACCTTTCTTAGTTTTTCTTCTCATTTGCTCTCTTTTTATTAAATATTTATTTACTTGAAAGGCAGAGTTAGAGAGAGGGAAAGACACAAAGAGAGGTCTTCCATTCGCTGGTTAACTCCCCATACACCCACAACAGCTGGGGCTGGGAGAGGCTGAAGCCAGAAGCTTCTTCTGGGTCTCCCACATGTGTGCAGGGCCCCAAGGAGTTAGGCCATCCTCCACTGCTTCCCCAGGTGTATTAACAGGGAGCTAGATTGGAAGCGGAGCAGCTGAGACTTGAACCAGTGCCCATATGGGATGCTGGTGCTGCAGGAGGTGGCTTAACCTGCTACACCACAACGCTGGCCCCTCTCATTCTCTTTTGAGCTCTCAGCAAACAATAACTAGCTTTAACAAACATGCCCGTAGTAGTAGGCAGAATATTGACTTTCTAGAAAGACATCTATGTCCTCAGGAGGCAGAGCAAGATGGTAGCTAAGTGAGACATTCCAGCACCCTCCCCGCGGAGAGACCAGTTTGGGTGGCTACTCATGGGCTAGACTAAGTTCACAAGAGGTGAGGAAGCCAAGAGAGAAACCACAGGGCCTGGTTTTAGTTTAAGAAGAGACTTTTGGGCCAGTGCCATGTTGCAGTAGCTTAATCCTCCACCTGTGCCACCAGCATCCCATATGGGCACCTGTTGTAGTCCCGGCTGCTCCTTTTCCAATCCAGCTCTCTGATGTGGCCTGGCAAAGCAGTAGAAGATGGCCCAAGTGCTTAGGCCCCTGCACCCATATGGATATTGGACTTTCATATCCTGGCCTCAGCCAGCTCAGGCCTTGAGTCCACCTCAGCAGCAGGCATGCTATAAGCAGTGTGGGCTTTGGTCCTACCCCACAATGTACTGGACTCAGCAGGCTGCAAGCTCTGGTGTGATCTAATATCACAGGGTTTATGGCCATGGGACTACCCACCCATCCCCCCCAAGGCAGTACAATGTGGATAAACTGTCCACTTCGGGAAGAGTTGGACCTAACAGACAGCTACAGAACATTGCATGCAACAGCTACAGAATATACATTCTTCTTCATAGCTCATGGAAAATTCTCCAGGATAAGTCATATGGTGATTCACAAACTGAGTTTCAAAAATTTTTAAGTACTGAAATTATATCTAGTACCTTTTTTTTTTTACCACAAAAGCTAGAAATCAATAACAAGAAAACTTTGGAAACTATATAAGCACATTGAAATTAAATAATTTACTCCTGAACAACCAACATATAAAGGAAGAAACTGAGAAGGAAAATTTCCAGTGTCTTGAAACTACTGAAAATGGAGACAAAATCTACTAAGACCTATAGGATACAACAAAGAGGTACTAACAGGGAAGCAATTAATACCTACATTAAAAAAATCAGAAAGGTCTAAAGTAAACACCCTATCATGCACCTCAGGGAATTAGATGAACAAGAATAAACCAAAACCAAAATTAGTAGAAAGAAGAATAAAGATCAGAGCAAAATAGAGACTAGATAACACAATAGAAAATATCAGTGAAGCAAAGAGATGGCTTTTCAAGAAAGATAAAATCAACAAAGTTGTAGCTAGGCTGAGGAAAAAAGAGGATGCAAATAAATAAAATTAGAAACAAAAAGGAAAATGTTACAACTGACACCATGAAAACACAAAGGATTATGAGATACTATTACAAACAATTAATACACTGACAAAGTTGGTAACCTAGAAGAAATGGGCAAATTCTTGGATACAGATACCTTACTAATATTGAATTACAAATAAGCAGAATATCTGAACTGATGAATGAGTAATAATATTAAATCAGTAATTAAAAATTCTCCCATCAGGCCGGCGCCGTGGCTCACTAGGCTAATCCTCTGCCTAGCGGCGCCGGCACACCGGGTTCTAGTCCCGGTTGGGGCGCCAGATTCTGTCCCGGTTGCCCCTCTTCCAGGCCAGCCCTCTGCTGTGGCCAGGGAGTGCAGTGGAGGATGGCCCAGGTGCTTGGGCCCTGCACCCCATGGGAGACCAGGAAAAGCACCTGGCTCCTGGCTCCTGCCATCGGATCAACGCGGTGCGGTGGCCATTGGAGGGTGAACCAACGGCAAAGGAAGACCTTTCTCTCTGTCTCTCTCTCTCACTGTCCACTCTGCCTGTCGAAAGAAAAAATAAAAGAAAGAACCAAACAAAACAAGAAAAATTCTCCCATCAATGAAAAGTCCAGAATTAAATGGCTTCACTATTGAATTCTACCCAACATTTAAAGGAGAAATAATACCAATACATCTTAAATTATTCTAAAAAGTTGAAGAGGAAGGCTTTTTTTTTTCTAAATTTGTTCTATAAGAATAACTGCCCTGATGCCAAAACCAGGCAAGGACTAAACAATAAATGAAAGCTATAGGCCAATATTCTTGATGAACATGGATTCAAACATACTCAACGAAACACTAGCAAACTGAATCCAACATGACATTAAAAGGATCATTCAGTGCAATCAGGCAGGATTCATCCCAGGCATACAGGATGGTGATTCAACATACACAAATCAATGAACATGATATATCACATCAGCAGAATGAAGGAAAAACACCATGTGATCGATCATCTTAATACAGAAAAGGCGTTCAATAAAAGTCAGTATCCATGATAAAAAAAAAATCACTGCACAAATTAAGTACAGAAGAAATGTATCTCACAGCCAACATCATACTGAATGGGGAAAAGCTGAAGGCTCTCTCTGTTCTGGAATGATACAAGGCTGCCCGCTTTCACCACTTTATTAAATGTTAGTACTGGAAATCCTAGCCAGAGAAACTAGGCAAGAGAAAGAAACAAAGGGAATCCAAATTGGAAAGAAGGAAATCAAATCATCATTGTTTACAGATGACATGATCTTATAAACAGAAAACTCTGAAGACTCCACCAAAAAACTATTAAAATAAATAAATGAATTTATCAAAGATAAAGGATACAAAATAGACATAAAAAAACACCCCAGCATTGCTAGAGGTCAATAATAAATTATCTGAAAATAAGATCAAGAAGACAACCCCATTTTCAACAGCTACAGAAAAGTGCTCAGGAATAAAATTAACCAAAGAGGTGAAAGAGCTCCATAATGAAAACTAATATACATAACACATTGATGAAGGAATTTGAAGACACAAAGAAATGGAAAGTCAGCCTGTATCCATGAATGGGGAGAATTAATATTGTTAAAATATTAATCCAGGCCTTTTTCTCACCCTTATTCCCTTTCCTGCCCTTGCTGCTCACACCTTGGGGCCACCCGTGCCCTTTGCCTTTGCTTCACTGCTCGTGCTAAGCTGCTTGGGCTGCTCATAATCAAACGCTCACCACGCGTGGCTCTAGGCCTGCTTTCTGCTTGGGATGGATCCCAACTTAATTTCTGGACTTTTCTTTCTCCCTTAAGTGCCTCACTCCCCTATGCATTTCTCTCACTAAATAAAAAGCTTAAAAACTTACAAAAAATATTGATCCTATATCAAATTTTGTACAGATTCAATGTCCTAACAAAATATTAACAAAAGACATCCTATGTTCATGGATTGGTAGAATCGATACTGTTAAAAATATCCATACTACCTCAAGTTATTTGCAGATTCAAGGCCCATTGAAACACCAATGATGTTCTTCATAGAACAACAAAAAACAATCCTAAAATTTGGAATCAGAAAAAAACCATGAATAGCCAAAGCAATCTTGAGCAAAACGAGTAAACCTGGAGGTCTCACAATACCAGACTTCAAAATATATACTACAAAGATACAGTAATTAAGGTGGCACAGAATTAGCATGAAGAAGACATATGTACCAGTGGAACAAAAGAGAGAACCTACTAGCAAACTTATTCATTTATGGCTAACTGAACTTTGACAGGGCTGCCAAGAACGTGCATTGGAGAAAATGCAGTCTTTTCAAGACATGGTGCTGGAAGAGTTAGAAATCCAATGAAGAATGAAACCAGACCCTACTTATCACCATATTAAAAAATGGATGAAAGACCTAAGTCTAAGATCTGAAACTACGAAACTACTAGAAGCAAACACAGGGGAATTGCTTCAGGACATTGGAATGGGCAAGGCTTTTTTCTGATGACGTCTAAACAAAAGGAAGAATAGATAAATGGAATTTCATCATACTAAAAGGCTTTTGAACAGCAAAGGAAATAACCAACAAAGACAATTTACAGAATGGGATGAAATATTTGGAAACTATACATGGGGTCTTCAAAAAGTTCATGGAAAGTTCATATTAATGGAAAATCTAGGGGTGGATTTCAAAATTTTCTCACAACAAAATAAACATTTTTAAATTCCATTTCTCATAAATGTTTTGAAGTACTTTCATATATACAACAAGAGGTTAATAACCAGAATAAATAAGTTCAACAACTTAATAGCAAAAAATATGGCTTAATAAATGAGCAATAGATGTAATACTTATTTTTAAACAAAAACATGGGTGTGTCCAGTAGGTACATGAAAAAAAATGCTCACCATCACTAATCATCAGGAAAATAGAAAGCAAAATTTACCTCAGTACAGTTAGAATGGATATTAGCTAAAATATAACAAGTGCTGGTGAGGATGGGGGAAAGTGAACACATGCACGCTGTTTGTGGTAATGTAAACTGAAGACTAGCACAGCCATTGTGGGAAACAGTATGGAGGATCCTGAAAAAATTAAAAATTGAACTGCCATGTGATTCAGCCATCCCTGCACTAGATATATATCCAAAGGAAATGAGAGCTGTCTGTTGAAGATACATTTCCATTTCCATGTTTATTGTGTCACTAATCACAATCATCAAGAAATGGAAACCACCCAAATGTCCACCAACTGATAAATGCATAGTAAAAAAATGTACACAGTGAAATACTATTCAGCCATAAAAATGATGAAATCTTGTCATTTGCTACAACATGAAAAAACAGGAAAAAATTTTCACCCATGATCAGAGGGACAAAAGGATGGTTAGGAAGATGCAATATTGTTGGCTTTGAACACTGAGGAAGTGACCACAAGGCATACTCAGGAATACCAAGTGGTCTCTAGAAGCTTGAATCGGAAGGGACATGAATTTTCCCAAGAGTCTCCAGGAAGGAACACAGCCCTGCTGACATCTTGATTAACCCAGGGAGACTTGTTATTCTCATCTAAACTTCCAAGTTTAAACTTAATTTTTTAATGACTGAAGTAAAAATAAATATAATGCAACATAGTAACATCCATAGGAAAATAATGATAATAATTTATGGATTATTTTCATTCAATATTATGTTACAAAAAATTTGAAGACTGTAGAAAAATTTACTTATAAGTGAATTCCTGTACACCCATCACCTATTCTATAGGAAAATTTTTGCTATGTTTACTTTATCACATATATATCTATTCATCTTGCCATCCTTTTTTAACATTTACATTTCAATGCAACTTGCAGACATCAGTACACTGCATAATGATATATTTCCTACATCTTTGCTTTCTTTGCAGCACAGCCACAAACCAAATACTTATACACATACATCAAAGCAAAATTAACTTACCACAGTGAGTACCACTTGTCCCAAATGAGATACCACCCATGGAGAAAAAGTCTGGCAGTGCCAGTCGTTAATCCCTTGATTTATAAATCTATGAACAAAAATAATTTATATTACTTATATTACTTATGCCTAGTCATTTAATGATCAACCATACAAGATTACAGGGGAATTTTTTTAAGATGTTCTTTTTTTCTAATTTAGCAATCTGTATAAGAATACATAGAGGTAACAGAGCCTTAATATATGGATAATGCACATTTCTTGAATTCCTTTTTAACATTATCTATACTTTTTCAAAAACCTATTTATTTGAAAGGCAGAATGACAGAGAGTGAGGGACAGAGAAGAGAGAAGTTCCAGATACTAGCTCATTCTCCAAATGGCTGCAATGGCCGGGGCTGAGACAGGCCAAAGCCAGGAGCCAGGAACTCCATCCAGGTCTCTTCTGTGGGTGGCAGGGGCCCAAGCACTAGGGACATTTTCTGCTGCTTTGCCGGGAGCATTAGCAGGGAACTGGATCTGAAGTGGAACAGCTGGGACTTGAACTGAGAGTACCCAGGTTTAATTCTTGGCTCCAGCTTCTGACTCTAGTTTCCTGCTAATGCAGATCCTGGGAGGCAGAGGTGATGACTCAAGCAATTGGGTTCTTGTACTGTATGCTCTTTCTCTCTCAAATAAATTGAAAAAATTAAAATCCAGGAAGTTTTATTTAAAAAGAAAATGTTTATAACTTTGGTACAGCTACACCAAAAGAAATGAAGAAATGTAATCTAACAACAAGAAGTGAAAAACCCCAGCCATTAGAAAATGTACAATATGATGGTTAGAATGTGTTCATTTGTGATAATAATCAAATATTGAAGACACTATATCAGTCACTGTGTCAGCAGACAGCAACATATTCAAAGGGTTACTTAGGGGTAAGCATCTGTTCTTGGGGTTAAGATGCCAGGTAGGACACCAGCTTCCTGCCTGTGTACACCCTGGGAGACAGCAGGTGATGGCTCAAGTACATGGGAGACATGACCCGAGTTTCCAGACCCCAGCTGTGGCCTAGCTTAGCCCCAACCATTTTGGGCATTTGGGGAGTGAGCCAATGGAACTCTCTACCACCTCTTAAATAGAAAAAAATAGGGAAACAATTTCCAAAGGGTTCCTTAAACAGAATATAGACAAAGGTCTCTTTACAGAGGTGAGGATGAGGTTAAATATAACAAAACTGGAAGAGTTGGTTGTCTTATCTAATACACAGAAATCAACACAGAGAGTCAAGGAAAACAGAGAAATAGGAAAATCTATTGCAAAAAGAAAAATAAGATAAATCTCCAGAAACTGATACTAATGAAATGGAGACAGGTGATTTACCTGACTGGGAATTCAAAACAGCAGTCATAAAGGTGCTCACTGAAGTCATGAAAGCAATGCATGTAGAAACAGAACATCAACAAAGCGAGAAAACATTAAAAAGTAACAAGTAGAAATCATACAAGTGAAGGAGACCATAACTAAGCTAGAAAATTCAATAAAGGGGATAACAGTAGGTGCAATTAAGTGGAAGGAGGATTAGTGAATTTGAAGACAGGTCACTGGAAATCACTCAATCTGAGGAATAAAACTAAAAAAGAATGAAAGTGTGAAGACAGAGGAAAGGACTTAAATCATGCAGTGAGACAATTTATGTAATTGCTGATATACCAGAAAGAGAATAGAAACAAAAGAGGGCAGAAAACATGTCGAAGAAATCATGGCAGAAAACTTCCCAAGCCTAGAAAATGAAGTAGAAATCCAGATCCAAGACCAAACAGGATGAATTCAAACACCTACACCAAAATGCATTCTAATCCAACTGTCAAAGTTTAAAGACACAGAGAATTTTGAAAGCAGCAAAGGAAAGGTGATTTATTAAACACAAGTGAATCACCATAAGACTATCAGCAAGTTTTTCAGGAGGTTAGAGCAAATGCATAACATTTTAAAAGCTCAAAGCAAAAATTGCCAGCCAGCACTATACACAGTAATTTTGTGCTTTAAATCAAAGGAGAGATCAAAAACTTTCTCATATATCCAAAAGCTGGGGGAATTTATCATCCCTGGATTTTTTTCTTTTTTTCTTTTTTTTTAACTTTTATTTAATGAATATAAATTTCCAAAGTACGACTTATGGATTACAATGGCTTCCCCCCCATACCGTCCCTCCCACCCACAACCCTCCCCTTTCCCACTCCCTCTCCCCTTCCATTCACATTCTGATAGACACTGATACCCAAAATATGTAAGGCACTCAAACAGCTCAATAACAAGAAAATAAACAAACCCGTTAGAAAATAGGCAAAGGACCAGAGTAGACATTTCTCAAGACATACAAATGGTCAACAGGTATATGTAAAAACAAACAAAAAACCCACTGCAGTTTTCTCATCACTAACATTGGAGAAATGTGAATTAAAACTACAGTGAGATATCACCTTGCATGCTAGAATGACTATTATCAAAAAGGAATAGGTGGAGTAGTTGTTTGGTGCCATGGCTAAGACACTGCTTGAGACATCTGCATCCCATAACAGAGAGCCTAGGTCCAAGTTCTGACTCTTCTACTTCTGGTCTAGCTTCCTAATGCATACCTTAGGAGGCAGCAGATGGTGATTTTACCTACTTGGGTTCCGGCCACCCATGTGGGAAAACAGGATTGAGGTCCAGCCTCCTGGTTTCAGCCTGGTCCAGTGCTAGCTGTAGCAGACATCTGGGGAGTGAAGCAGTAGATAGAAGCTCTCTCCCTCTTTCTCCCTACCCCACTCCCTATACGCTCTGCTCTCACTCTTATTCTCTTTGCCTTTCAAAAAAGAAAAAAAAAAAGGTAAGTGATGGCAAGGGGGTAGAGAAAAGGGAACTCCTGCATATTGTCAGAGGAAATGTAAATTAAAACAGTCATTATGGAAAACATCATGGAAGTTCCTCAAAAAAATCAAAAATAAAGCTGTCATATGACACAGCAGTCTTACTTCTGGGTATGTATTCAAAGGAATAGAAATAAGTATGCAAAGAGACATCTGCATTCCAATGTGCACTGCAGGGTGATTCACAATAGGCAAAATATGGGCAAACCATTTGTATTCTCAGCAGAAGAGCAAAGAAAACGCAGTGTTTATAAATACAACGGAATACTATTAAATCTTTAAAAAGAAGGAAATCTCGTTTGTGATGACATGGATGAACCTAGGGAACACTATGCTAAGTGAAGTAAGTCAGGCATAGAAAGACAAATTATTGCATGATCTCACATTTATACCTGAGACATAAAAAAGTTGAACTCATAGAAGTAGAGATAAATATAGATATATCATTTATATGATGTTAGGATTCCATAATTGTACTTACTTTTTCATTGCTTCAAACATGTTTTTTTCTACATTTACCAGCCACTGTTCTACAGCACTTCTTATATGAATTTTCCTGTAATTTGTTTCAAAAATATTACAAAAAATTATTTTAATTCCTGGTTCAGTCCTTTAATTAAGCCTATAGACTACATTTTCTACACATTTTTTGTTACGTTCATAGATCAAAAGACTATGAGTCTACAATATCCTTTGGTTGTTCTAGATTTTAATTTAGAGAACTGCACAGAAATCCCATTACCAGGCTTTAAGAAATTCTGACATCAAAACCATGAATTTACACAGTAATTAGTTTCCATGTAAAATGATTCTGTAAGAGTGAGCAATTTATAATAAAACATTTTTGGATTCCTCCTTGGCTCCTTTAATCAGCAGGGTTAGGCGAGGGGTTTCGGTGCATGTAAAGGGTTGGACACAGCATTTTTAAAATCAACTTACATCAGGGGTCAAATGCCCAGGTTTCTACAGTCCTCTGCTGGGTTAGCCAATTGGACCAGTGTAATGGACCTAGCTTATTATCACTGCCTGGGACCAGACCAGGATGGAGCCAGAGCTCAGTGGAAACCCTGTGGGAATCGCATCAACAACTCCCAACAAACGGCATATTTCCTGTGTCCCAACAAGGAAGCCAACAAGAGGTCACTCGCTCAAAAGGGAGCAGGAAACTGAAAGCGGATTTTAATGGCAGAGCAGAAGCTACACCGAATTAGAAAGCACCAGGAGTCTGAAGATTATTGGCTTTGAAAGAAAAGGAAGAGAGGAGTACGTAGGATAGGGAAGGGAGCATAGAAAGGCGACCGTGTATTTGAGGAAGGACATTATCCAAGTTTGCTTAGAAAACTTCTATAGAGTGTCAAATGTCAGAGATCTTAAACAATGAGGTTTTAAGGAGTTTAAATTTAGTTTGTAGCTTTGTCATACTCGGGCAGCACAAGGCATTCGTCTTCCGCAGATACCAGCGCTCTTACAACAGGGGGGCCGATTTCTTGTTTGCAGATCACCAGTTGTTTCACGTTTTCAAAGCACTTCATAAGATGAGGCTGTGAAGCAGAAACACAAACCGTTAGCCTGATGAAATCCTGGTCTGGCCCGGAAATGACGCTGCTGCCAGAGAGCCACGTGATTACCTGGACAGACTCGGGGTTTCTGCTGCCAGCGAGAATGTCAAGAAGCTCAGCGTTGCTGAGAAAGTAGAATCTTGGGAAAATACTTCTTTTCATCTCAAGGTAGTCCTGTCCAGAACCGAGAGAAATGCAGGTCAGGATACAGATTTAATCGTGGTGTGAGTCACATCCTCACGTGTGCCTACCTACACGGAAGCTGCAACAGTAGAGCTGTAGTGTACATGCTAACACCCATCAAAATAACACCCTATGTCCGATGAAAGCTATACTTCAGCTACTAAAAGAAACTTCAATACAGAAAAACCAGGGCAAATTGAAACCAAAACAGAAACAAATAAAACCCACTCTTACACATACACTATTTTCCTATTCACCACTAATAAAGCACTGTATTTTGGCATTATCGACATTGCCTTCCTGTACCTCCAGCTTCCGGCTGTCTCCCTGTACGTGGAGTCTCCACCTGAGAAAGGAAGTGACCCCCTCACAGATGACACAAGGACTCTCAGAGAGGGTCTCCCCACCTGCCCCCACAACTTAGAGCATTCACACCTGTGTTACCATTCCTTCTTTTTGGAAGAAGAGATACCCACTCACTTACACTGGGCCACAGCATCCTTACTTATTTCTGTCCTACATCTTCAGGCTCCCCTTTGCAACAGGCCTCTCCCTTCCAGCTCTCTCAAGGACGAAATAGAAGAAGCCTTTGCCCTCCCCTTGTTCTCCTCTAACCACTGTCTACTTGCCCATCTCGCCACAAAGTTCCTTAGACAGTGTGTAGCTCCAAGTCTTTACCTATTCTCTGTCATCCCACACTCCACCGTCTGGCCCCTAATGCCACCAAATTTCCTGGGCGCTTCTCAGTCTTCGTGTTGTGTGATATCTCCATGGGATTTGACTCAGCCCTTTGCCCACTGGAATGTCACTTTCTGGATTTTCTTCCATCTCTCAGTCACTACTTAGCATCTTCCCTCAAGAGTCCCTCTGGAGCCCCTCCACCGGAGCGTTGATGTCTCCTCAGTTCCCACCTCATCTCTCTTTTCACTCATGCTCTTCCTGAGCTGACTGACACCTATCCATCTGCTCTTCCTTTCGAATCACTGCTCTCTGCCATAGCAACGTTGCTTCCCCCTTTCACCTAAAGAAACAGCTGAAACCGCAGATTGTGCCAAACCCTTTTACCCTATTACTTGTACCCAAGCACTCTGATACCATGATAGGGAATACGACAGCTGCCATGGCTACTAAACACCTAAGCAGCGGGTACTGTATACGGAGTGAGTATGCTGGGCAGAGGGATGACTGACATTCTGGGTGGGACAGAGCACGGAGTGTGAGGTTTCATTAGACAAACAGCAGGCAATTTAAAACCCACGAATTGCATTTCTGGAATTTTCCATGTACTATTTTTGGACCACGGTTGGCCATGTGTAACTGGAGCTGTGGAAGGTAAAGCAACAGACAAGGAGGAGCTATTGTTCCCAGCTGCCAAATTAGGATGTTCATGCAGATCTCTCATATGTATTGGATTTTCAGTATGAACAAAACTTAACTTGTTTCCACCTAAGTCTCTAAATCTCTTCCTCCTCTGGTTCTGTCTTTATAGCATGATTATCTTCCATTTCATGACCAAGCCAGAAATCCAGGCTCCACATCCTTTCACTGTCACTACGGGCTTTAACTAGTTTTTAAGTATCTATCCTCACTGCCCCTGTTATGGTTTTAATATTATTTGTCCCTCTAAGCTCATGTTGAAATTTGAATCCTGATGTGACAACGTTGAGAGATAGTTCGGAATTAAATTAGTCACCTTCCTGCTTAAAAGCTTTCCCTGGATACTCATGAAAGTCAACAGTGTGATCTTTAAGGCCCCTTCACCATCCTGTCCCCTGCCTCCCTAGAGACCTCCAACTGCCCCCTCCCCCGGCCATTCAATTTCAGAAGACACCACACTTGCTCAGAGCTCCGCATCTTTGCACTTTTCCCTTTGCCTAGGATGCTCTCCTCACCCGCCATCTTTGCTCTGATTCTTCCCTAGTTAACACCTGGACCGCCTTTAAGACCCGGGTCAGTTGTAACTTCCCTCGGGCTGGATGAATTTCTCCTCCTTGCTATGGCCTTACTACCTAATCTGTCATGGTGTACTTCCCACGGTAATCTCTCTCTACTGTTTCATTTCCTGTACTACAGTTCTGAAGCAGCAGGTGATGTGTCTTTATCTTTGGAGTCCCAGCCTAGAGCAGCAATGCTGGTACTCAATACTTGGATAAATGATTACTGGTTTGGAATGATCCTCAGTAAGCATTCAGAGATGTGCTCAAAATAACTGGAAAGCTTATCTTAATGATCACCTGGCAAACCAGCTATTGTTCATCAGCATCTGTGGTGGCCTCTTTACCTGTTCCAGATCATAGATTTGTATAGAGGGAAGCCTATCCAGACAACTTTTCTATCTTTAGGCTCTGACTACAGTTAAATATTCAGGAGCAGTCATCATAATCACTCTGTCTTGTGTTTAGTAAGAAAAAGTGATGAATGCCTGAAAAAAAAATCTTGGCTTATGAAGTGAAATAAATGCATATGCCGTGAATCTCAAATATTAAAACCCAGTGTTTAAGTAATACGTAACTCTAGCTGACAATTCAATGTTTTGGTGATGCATAAATACATGAACTCAGAAATTTAAGTTTATAGATCCATCAAGATGTTCTATTTCAACTTTTGCTGCATTTGTAAATTTAATAGTAGTGCTAATAAAATACATCACCTTCATTAAGTACTTCCTGTGCCAGCTCCTGTGGTTTAAGTATGTCCTCTTATTTAGAAGAAAACCCCTCAAGGTAGCTGCTAGTTTTTTCAATTTGAAGATAATGGAACTTGGGGTAGCCAGTGTGGCACAGTGTGTTAGGCCAACTGCTTGGGACACCCACCTCCCCCATCTAAGTGTTAGGGATTGGGTATGACCTACCCTCCTTTCCCACTTTGGATCCAGCTTCCTGCTGATCCACATTGGGAGGCGGCAGGTGCCAGCTCAAGTACCTGGGTCTCTGCCACCCACATGGGAGACCCAGGTGGAGCCTGAGGCTCCTGTTTGTTCCGGCCCAACCCTGGCTGTTGTAAGCAATTGGGGACCGAACCAGCAGATAGAAAATGTCTCTGTTCCTGCCTGTCTCTCAAATAAGTAAAAGATAAATACACTTTAAAAAAAAGGTCATGGGCTCTAAAAGTTTGGTACTTTGCCTAAGACCATTTAGATTAGTCCCATCCACCTGCTTTTTTGTTAACATTTCCGCTAATGCTGTACATTGGGAGAATGTGAGAAATTGTTGGCAGCTAGAGCAAAAAAGAAAATCTTCCCTGGAATTAGTTTCTACAGTGTATTGTGTTACTGTCATGGAATAAAATGATTCCCCACTTTAGGACTGGTATGCCGTTTTACCTCAAGACTTTTCTTTATACATTCAAGATGTGTATTGCAAGTTTTCAGAATGTCAGGGACTCTGGCCAAGATGATTATTTGCAAGGCGTTCAGTTTGTTTTGCAGTTTTGATGTTATTTTTTTCCACGTGGAAATCACCTGAGAGAAAAGTTTTGTTTCTTCTGGGAGCTGCCTTTGGAAATAAAATAAGATACAATTTTATTTTTTGAAGGCCCTATGATTAATATTTATAACCTCACACATTTGCCACAGAACTTGGTTTAATTTAGAAAACATAAATGTTTTATTTTTCTTCCTCAGTCATTAAGTAAAGCTAACTTTTGAGTGCCTGCTGTATATGAATAACATGCTTGGGTGAATAACATGAATAACATGGTAAGAAATTCTGGGAAAAATTAGATGTAAGACCATCAATGAACAAGATTATACTTGGTGTGTGATTGCAGACACATGTACACAAATTCTATGTCAAGTAATGAGTGATTTGTGTTCTATTCAATGTAATAAAACAAAGCACCACTGAAATTCTAGAGGAGCAGAAGGATCTGGAGAGAGCTTCTTGAACAAGAGGCTGTTTGATCTGGATTTTAGGAGGAGTGCGGTTCTGAAGTGAAATGAAGGCAGAGGGGATGTTTAGCTCAGGACCAAGGATGTAGAGGAGTTATGGAAGAAATTCGCGGTTCTGTTAATGACCACCTAACCTTAGGGGATAAGGAAATGTAAGGCAGGTGGCAGTCTTGGTATATAACTGTTCCTGTGCAGGATATTATCATAGTTTTCTCCCCTTGGAGAGAAACCACAAAATCCACAGGTGGCTTGGTAACCCACTGATAGATTCATTTGTTTCTTCTGTTGTTGAAGTAGCTTCAAAAATTAGGTGGTCTAGCTTTTCCACTGTCTCTGCTCAGCCATATACCCCACAACCATCTCATCTGAGTTGTTTCATTCAAGCACTTCGTGGCTTGGAAGTTGAGTGAGGAGGAAATGAGAGTCAGTGTGTGTGTGTATGCAGGGGCGGGGGCGAGGGATTCGGCTGGTGTTCCTTTGGATCTTCTTTGCCTCTTGAATGCCCTGTCTTGGCAAATATCCTTCAGATGTAATGCTGGGGTTTTAGATTATCCCCAACAGGAGTCTCCATATTGTATTATCCTTTGGCTTTCTCCAACTGTTTCTCAAGTTCCTTCTCTAAGTAGTATACTTCTGGGATATCCTTGTTCTGGCCAGCCGCCATTTTCAAGATGGTTCTAACTTAGAGCCTTCTGTGTGCCACCATGGTCTAAGTCAGGGTCCCTCAACTTCAGCACTGCTGATGTTTGGGACTAGAACCTTCTTTCTTGGGGGTGGGGGCGCTATCCTGTGTATTATAGGATGTTGCAAAGTATCCTTGGCCTCCACCCACTAGATGCCAACTAAAAATGTTTATAAACTTTGCAAAATGTCCCCTAACAGGCAGAATCACCTCTGGTTGACACTAGCCTAGGAAAATCAAGCATTCTTGCTCTTCTTCCTTGCCCTGTTATTAAAGCCCTAGTTTCCAATGCCCCCACCCTTCTGGATGGCATAGGTCAAACTCTCCCAAAAACATTGCCACCATTATCCCATTCCCTATCTGTGATGCTCAACCTAAAAGATGCTACAGCTCAGCAAAAATCCTATCAGGAAAGGGGCTTTGATGTCCACTTCTGTTAAGCAATCTCCCAGCATCTCTGGAATGTTCTAATGCAGTCCTCATAGCTGGTTTGGAGCAAGGGTAAATGGCATGGCATGCTCGAGTTCATAAATCCTGAAAGATTCTCCCCTATGTTGAGTCTCTTGCTCTTCACTGCCCCCCCCCTTTCTTATGTTCCCTGCTGGTATAGGACTAACTGTCCTCCTGCATTCATCAAATGTCGGTCTATTACAGTCCAGTGTTTTCTTTAGACATATTTACAAGAGTTTTCAGAATCCCTTAATTAAAAGCCTCTTTTCAACTTCTGTAAATCCTGTGAAAGAACAATTTAGTGATATTTTGAACTCTGATGCTTAGGAGTTTGATTTCTTTCAAGTAAGAAATTTTTAGTAAAATGTAGTAATAAATTGGAATTTTAGGCTCAAAGGTGTTGCAATTATAAAGGATTTACTCCTAAAGTATGTGGTTTCACCTTGGAGGACTTTCAGAATAACTGCAGATTAATAGAACAGAAGAATTCCAAAGACTTCGATGACCAGAAATAACCACATATATCAAATATGAACATTAATTCCTGCATAGCAATATTTTCACCTAAGCAGTTCCCTTTCATAAGCTTTTAATGGCTATTCTTTGCCCCCAAAATAATTTTCAGTATGCTTATCTTGATATGCAAGGTCTTTCCATCATATGACTTTCAAACACTTACTTCACGACTTCCTACTTTATTTAAGAACAGCTTCTAGACTAGCTTGTACACCAATCATTTAGATTGTGTCTGGGTAATAAATTTATCTCAACTGAAGCATGCTTAAGACTAACCACTTAAATAGGTTAGAGGCCAACTGATTTTAATGCTATGAATAAAAAGACAATGTAGATGTTTTTAAAAATAAGATTTATTTGAAAGAGTTACAGAGAAACAGAGAGAGATCCTCCATCCTCTGGTTCACTGCCCAAATGGCCGCAAACAGCCGGGGTTGGGTCAGGCTGAAGCTGGGAGCTTCTTCCGGGTTTCCCACATGGGTGCAGGGTACCAAGATCCTGAGCCATCCTCTGCTGCTTTCCCAGGAGCATTAACAGAGAGTTGGATTGGAAGTAGAGCAGCCAGGACTTGAACCCGTGCCTACACAGTAAGCTGGCGCTGCCAATGATAACTTAACTGGCTATACCACAGTACCAGTCCCACAGGTAGACTTTTTTTTTTTCCCAGATTCTTTTTTTTTTAACTTTTATTTAATGAATATAAATTTCCAAAGTACGATTTATGGATTACAATGGCTTCCCCCACATACCGTCCCTCCCACCCACAACCCTCCCCTTTCCCACTCCCTCTCCCCTTCCATTCACATCAAGATTCATTTTCGATTATCTTAATATACAGAAGATCAGCTTAGTATACATTAAGTAAGGATTTCAGCAGTTTGCTCCCACACAGAAACATAAAGTGAAAAATAATAGATGATTTTTTTTAAATGATGATGAAATCAGATCAGACCTATTGTCATGTTTAATCCCAGTGAGAGTCAAGTTGGGAGTTGATAATTTCTTTCTTTTTTTTTTTTTTACAGAGGATCAGTTTAGTATGCATTAAGTAAGGATTTCAACAGTTTGCACCCCCAAAGAAACACAAAGTGAAATATATTGTTTGAGTACTCGTTATAGCATTAAATCTCAATGTACAGCACATTAAGGATAGAGATCCTACATGAGGAGTAAGTGCACAGTGACTCCTGCTGTTGACTTTACCAATTGACACTCCTGTCTATGGCATCAGTAATCTCCCTATGCTCCAGTCATGAGTTTCCAAGGCTATGGAAGCCCTCTGAGTTCTCCGATTCTTATCTTGTTTAGACAAGGTCATAGTCAAAGTGGAGGTTCTCTCCTCCCTTCAGAGAAAGGTACCTCCTTCTTTGAAGACCTGTTCTTTCCACTGGGATCTCACTCGCAGAGATCTTTTGCCAGAGTGTCTTGGCTTTCCATGCCTGAAATACTCTCATGGGCTTTTCAGCCAGATCCGAATGCCTTTAGGGCTGATTCTGAGGCCAGAGTGCTATTTAGGACATCTGCCATTCTATGAGTCTGCTGAGTATCTCACTTCCCATGTTGGATCACTCTCCCCCTTATTTATTCTATCGGTTAGTGTTAGCAGGTACTAGACTTGTTTATGTGCTCCCTTTGACTCTTAGTCCTTTCGTTATGATCAATTGTGAACTGAAATTGATCACTTGGAATAGTGAGATGGCATTGGTATATGCCACCTTGATGGGATTGAATTGGAATCCCCTGGTATGTTTCTAACTCTACCATTTGGGGCAAGTCAGCTTGAGCATGTCCCAAATTATACATCTCTTCCCTCTCTTATTCCCACTCTTATGTTTAACAGGGATCACATTTCAGTTAATTTTCAACACTTAAGAATAACTGTGTATTAATTACAGAATTAAACCAGTCATATTAAGTAGAACAGACAAAAAAACTATTAAGAGGGATAATGTATTAAGTTGTTCATTAACAGTCAGGGCTATGCTGATCAAGTCACCGTTTCCCATAGTGTCCATTTCACTTCAGGAGGTTTCCTTTTTGGTGTTCAGTCAGTTGTCACCGATCAGGGAGAACATATGGTATTTGTCCCTTTGGGATTGGCTTATTTCACTCAGCATGATGTGTTCCAGATTCCTCCATTTTGTTGCAAATGACTGGATTTCGTTGTTTCTTACTGCGGTAGACTTTTTTTTTTTTTTTTTTTTTTAACAATTGCCAGCCCATAGGAAAAGCAGCAGAGGACAGCCCAAGTGCCTGGGGCACTGCAACCCACATGGGAGACCTGGAGGAGGCTCCTAGCTCCTGGCTTCGGCCTACCCCAGCCTTATTTGTGGCCATCTGAGGAGTGAACCAGCAGATGGAAGATCAATCAATTTCTCTCTCCTTCTCTAACTCTTTCAAATAAATCTTAAAACACACACACACACACACACACACATACACGCACTATTGCCAAGGCCGTTTATTCTTCTACCTGACCTAAAGTAAGAAATTCTCATTAATGTGTGAATGCTACTAAAAATGTGATTATGCATATTAAAACCACACTAACATTCTAGAAATAGGCACTTAAAATTACCATTTATGGATTATAATGACATATCTGATGCCTCTCCCCCTAATCCTTTATATATTTCTATCAATAATTGAGGGGAAGTGGGCAGTGGGTGTAGTGGGTAAAACACCAGTTTAAGATGCCCAAGTTCCTGCCCCTGGCTTTGGCTCCATCTGGGTGTCTGGGGAGTGAACTACTGGATGGGAGCGCTTGTGTGTGCAGATACATGTACACACACACTCTCTCATTACATTGAAGTAAATATTTTTTTTTAAAAATTGCAAAACAAGTTTTTAAAAAAGTGATGCTTGTGGAGGCTGCCGGCACCATGACTCACTTGGTTAATCCTCCGCCTGCAGCACTGGCATCCCATATGGGCGCCGAGTTCTAGTTCCGGTCGCTCCTCTTCTAGTCCAGCTCTCTGCTGTGGCCTGGGAGGGCAGTGGAGGAAGGCCCAAGTGCTTGGGCGCCTGCACCCGTGTTGGAGACCAGGAAGAAGCACCTGGCTCCTGGCTTCGGATCGGCATAGCTCCGGCTATGGCAGCCATTTTGGGGGTGAACTAATGGAAAGGAAGACCTTTCTCTCTGTCGCTCTCTCTCACTGTCTAACTCTATCTGTCAAATAAACTTAAAAAAAAGTGATGCTTGTAATCTCTTGTGAAAGAAAAAAATATTCAGCACATTATACTCTTATGTATGTAAGCAGGAAAGATGACTGTACGCTTCTCAAAGATTACAGAAAGTAACCCGCCTTGCATTTTTTAACCCTATAAATGGTGTATTTTAAGTTTTTACCTTTGTATTTCTAAACAGTTGAAGATTGGCTCAACATAAAGCCAATTTCTCTGACAAGTCATCCATTCTTCAATGGTGTAAGAAAATATTGTCAGGTTTTTATTCCATTCATTCACAAGATCCTACAGTGATTGAAAAAATACAACAAATATACAAAATTATGAGTCATATAATAGAAACTAAGATCAAAGATGATTGTCATTGACATACAGAAAATAATGGGTCACAGTATTTTTTGAAATTTGATGTTCTGTTCATCCAATTCTCATATTATATATAAAAGATTTGAGTGACAAACATACACATGTAGAAAATTAACATGAATATTTCCCATTCAACATTTATTTGCTCATTGCTATCATAGAGAAAATACAATTAAGAAGTTTGGTATGTGTACTACCTCAGTATTTTTTCTTCAAGCATTTATGTACAGACATACATGTAATACCTTTAGTAGTTTAGTAACCATATTATTCTGTAAGTTACTTTTTAAGAGATGATGTCTTCTTTAAATGATTTCAGAAAATCCCATTATGTAGCTATAACAACTTTTTCCAAATATATTTCTTAAATTGAAAAAAAATCATGACAGATAAATTAAAACTGCAATACTTGTTTAAAAAACCAATGAATTGGCCCATCCTCTAACTCTGGCTACTCAGAAGAACTACCTATAACTGATTTATATTTCTTTTCTGGTATTCACTTCCAAATCTTATTTTGATAGTTTTGTTGAGGTATAATAATCAACCACGCAAAGTTTATAATTGAATATCTTAACATCTACTTACACCTGTGAAATTATCAGCATAATCAAGATGACAAAAATCTATTACCTTGAAGGATTTCCTTGTATAATCCTTTTCTCTTACTGCTATCTCACTTCTCATACGTGAAGACAATACAAATTCCCTTTATTTAAGTCCTAATTTTATTGTGCAGGGTTTTTAGTTTTCCTTGTACAGACACTATACATTCTTGATTTATCCTGAAATATCACATTTTACGTTACTGTCATTTTTAAAAAAAGATTTATTTTTATTTATAAGAAAGGCAGAATTACAAAAAGGCAAAGGCAGAGAGAGAGAGAAAGGGAGAGAGAGGGAGAGAGAGGGGAGAGAGAGAGGACAGAGAGAGGAGAGAGAGGGAAGGAGAGGGAGAGAGAGAGGGAAGGAGAGGGAGGGAGAGGGAAGGAGAGGAAGGGAAAGGTCTTCTGTTAGTGGTTCATTCCCCAGATGGCCACAATGGCCGGAGCTGTGCCGATCCGGAGCCAGGAGCTTCTTCTGGGTCTCCCATGCCGGTGCAGAGGCCCAAGGACTTGGGCCATCTTCCACTGCTTTCCCAGACCACAGCAGAGAGCTGGATCGGAAGTGGAGCAGCCAGGACTTGAACCGGCCCCTATATGGGGTGCTGCCACTGCAGGCAGTGGCTTTACCCATTACACCACAGTGCTGGCCCCATGTTATTGTCATTTTACATTTCAATTTCTAATTGTTCAGTACCAGTATCTAGAATGTAGATGATTTTTGTAGATCAATCTCCTGTCATGCAAACTTACCGAGTTTACTATTTAAATAGATTTTATTGGATTTTTAAAAGGTATTTACTATAAACTTCATCTAAATATGAGGAATATTCTACTTTTCTAACAAAATAAATTTCATTTCTAAGTCTTGACTTAATAGATGGGCTACAATTTCCAGTACAATATTTAATAGAACGGGTAACAGAGAACATCTTAGGGAAGGGTTCAATATTTCACCCTTAAGTATGATATTAGGTCTCCTTCATCAGGTTCCGGATATTCTCTTCTTGTCCTAATTAGTGGAGAGTTTTTTCCCCCCAGAGAAGGATGCTGTATTTTTATAAGAGTTTTTCAGTATGTACTAAGATAATCAGGTATATTTTCTTTTAAAGTTTACTATGGTGAATTATATTAGTTTTTTTTTAATGGAAAACCAACTCTGCATTTCTCAAATCAAATTTTCTTGGCCATAACACACCATCTTCTTTACATACTGACAGATTGATTTGGAATATTTTGATAATTTTCACAATTGTCGTCGAGAGATCTACTAATCTTTAGTTTTCCTTCAGTGTCTTTGTCTGGTTTTGTTGTAGGTAATGCTAGTCTCATAGGTTGAGTTGGGATGGATTCTTTCCTCTACAACCTTCCAGAGGATTTGATGCATTCAGCATTGATATTATTTCTCCCTTGAATGTTTTGTATAAGCCATCTGAGCCTAGACTATTCCTAGTGGGAAGGTTTTCAACTACCCTTTTAAAAAAAAGATTTATTTATTTATTTGAAAGTCAGAGTTACAGAGAGGAGAGGCAGAGAGAGAGAGAGGTCTTCCATCTGATGGTTCAGTCCCCAGTTGGCTGCAATGGCTGGAGCTGTGCCGATAGAAGCCAGGAGCTTCCTCTGGGTCTCCCACGTGGGTGCAGGTGCCCAAGGACTTGGGCCATCTTCTACTTCTTTCCCAGGCCACAGCAGAAAGCTGGATCAGAAATGGAGCATTAACCCGCTGTGCCACAGTGCCAGCCCCCCAACTACCCTTTCATACCTCCAATACTAGTCAAACGGTCTATTTCTTCTTGAGTAAGCTTTGGTAATTTGTATTTTTCAAGGAATATGTTCATTTCATCTAAGCTCTTAAATTGATTAAAGTTGTTACTAATATTCTATTGTTTTCCTTTCAAGTTTGTAGAATCTGCAGTGAAGCAGCCCTTTTTATTCCTGATATATGGTTATTCATATCTTTTCCTCATTGATTTTGAGCAATTGATTATGGTATCTCTTGTGCTTGGAATGTACTAAGCACCTTAGATCTATTGTTTTATAGTTTTGATAATTTGGTAAACTTTCCATCACTATTTCTTTTTTTTTAATTTTTTATTTTTTTAAACTTTTATTTAATGAATATAAATTTCCAAAGTACGACTTATGGATTACAATGGCTTCCCCCCCATACCGTCCTTCCCACCCACAACCCTCACTTTCCCACTCCCTCTCCCCTTCCATTCACATCAAGATTCATTTTCGATTATCTTAATATACAGAAGATCAGCTTAGTATACATTAAGTATGGATTTCAACAGTTTGCTCCCACACAGAAACATAAAGTGAAAAATAATAGATGATTTTTTTTAAATGATGATGAAATCAGATCAGACCTATTGTCATGTTTAATCCCAGTGAGAGTCAAGTTGGGAATTGATAATTTCTTTCTTTTTTTTTTTTTTTTTTTACAGAGGATCAGTTTAGTATGCATTAAGTAAGGATTTCAACAGTTTGCAGCCCCATAGAAACACAAAGTGAAATATATTGTTTGAGTACTCGTTATAGCATTAAATCTCAATGTACAGCACATTAAGGATAGAGATCCTACATGAGGAGTAAGTGCACAGTGACTCCTGCTGTTGACTTTACCAATTGACACTCCTGTCTATGGCATCAGTAATCTCCCTATGCTCCAGTCATGAGTTTCCAAGGCTATGGAAGCCCTCTGAGTTCTCCGACTCTTATCTTGTTTAGACAAGGTCATAGTCAAAGTGGAGGTTCTCTCTTCCCTTCAGAGAAAGGTACCTCCTTCTTTGAAGACCTGTTCTTTCCACTGGGATCTCACTCACAGAGATCTTTTGCCAGAGTGTCTTGGCTTTCCATGCCTGAAATACTCTCATGGGCTTTTCAGCCAGATCCGAATGCCTTTAGGGCTGATTCTGAGGCCAGAGTGCTATTTAGGACATCTGCCATTCTATGAGTCTGCTGAGTATCTCACTTCCCATGTTGGATCACTCTCCCCTTTATTTACTCCATCAGTTAGCGTTAGCAGGTACTAGACTTGTTTATGTGCTCCCTTTGACTCCCAGTCCCTCCACCATGACCAACTGTGAACTGAAATTGATCACCTGGAACAGTGAGATGGCATTGGTATATGCCACCTTGATGGGATTGAATTGGAATCCCCTGGTATGCTTCCAACTCCACCACTTGGGGCAAGTCAGCCTGAGCATGTCCCAAATTATACATCTCTTCCCTCTCCCACTCCCACTCCCATGTTCAACAGGGATCACATTTCAGTTAATTTTCAACACTTAAGAATAACTGTGCATCAATTACAGAACTAAATCAGTCATATTAAGTAGAACAGATAAAAAAAAAAACTACTAAGAGGGATAATGTATTAAGTTGTTCATTAACAGTCAGGGCTATGCTGATCAACCCACCGTTTCCCA